CATGAACATTCATTATGTTTAGTTATAGAATATATTAAAGGAATGAATGTATAAGAATTGATAAAATTAATGAATGAGAAAAATTAATAAATAGATGAAGAAATAGTATGGAAAATATTGATAGATCTATTATCTGTATTAAGATATTTACATATTGATAAGAACATTGTTCATAGAGATTTAAATCCTGCAAATATAATGGTAGATTCATCATATTCAATTAAAATCTGTGATTTTGGATTAGCTAAACATTTTTAAGAAGATATTATCAATAATTCATTTGTTGGAACATTAATATACACTTGTCCACAAATAGTAGAGAATAAAGCATATTCTGAGAAAGCAGATGTATGGGCTTTAGGATGTATATTATATGAAATACTTTAATAAAAGCCTGCATTTTAATCTGCAAATCCTTTGATGCTTGCAAAAAAGATTGTTTAATTAGAATATGAATAAATAAATTAAGGGATTTATAGCAATGAATTAATAAATATAGTTTAGTTATGTCTTTAAAAAGAAGAAGATAAAAGACCATCAGTTAATGAATTGTTAGAAATGATAAGTTTAAAGATGGTTATTTTAATGGATAATATAAAATAAGAGAAAGATGATCTGAAAAGTGAATTATAAGATTTATAATCTAAAATCAATGATTAATAGTATGAAATAAAAAAGGAATAATAAGAGCCTGGATTACAAGTATGGAATATATTTTAGAAACTATTACAATTATCACTTCATGATTATAAAACTATTGATGCTAAAAATTAGTATTTAATTGAATAGTTTAGAAGAAAGATAAGTAAACCAGATAATGAAATTAATATATAGACTGAATTAACTAAATTAACATAATTGTCTAAAGAATTTATATCTTATTTACCGAAGATTACTTATGAATAATTATTCTTTATAATAGAATCTGAATGTAAATAATAATAAATTTGATTAATATTTTTTTATGTTAAAATATATGTATATAATTTTAAATACTAATGATATTGAATTTAATAATATTACATATGAGGTTTTTAATTATATTCTATTATGAAGTAAGTAATATAAAATATATTTTATTTATAATAAATAGAGAATGAATATTGTATAAATTTAATTGTATATAATAAAATTAATGTTTGGTTAGAATGTTGATACTTAAGATCTAAAAATTCTTAAATGTGTGCATGATTACAAATTAATGAGTAAGAAATTAAAGATTCGTGCGTTTGCCTAATTTCATTAATGCTAATATAACTGTGTAAAAGACATAAATTCCAAAAATGTAGAAACTTGTTTCAAGTAATGTGAATTAGGTATTAATGTACCAAAATTCATTAGAGCTTGATAATTACTTTGAAGAGAAAAAAAAGAGAAAAATAGAGAATAAGGTGTTTTATGCATTACCAATTTATAACAATTCTGATCCATCAAAGCAATATGTGATTCCATAAGAATAATAAGGAGAATATCAAAAAAAGACTATACAATTTGAAATAGAATCACAACGTAAATTAAATGAATTGAAAACTATTCTTGATGAACGTGGCAAGATTTATAAGTTGTGATTTAAATATACATATATATTTATATAATGTAAATAAAATTAATTTTTTAATTCTGTAGCTACAAATGGCCACTCATTATAGATTAGATGAATAACATCATTTGCTCTCAACTCATAAAACAAAGTTCCAATTACCAAAAGGACACTTCTTATTTACATCTGAAAGTGTCAGTGCTGGTCATCCTGATAAATTATGTGATTTCATAAGTGACAGCATTCTTGATGCTTGTTTAGAATAAGATCCAAATTCTAAAGTAGCATGTGAATCAGCATGCAAAAATTCTCTTGTTATGGTATTTGGTGAAATCACTACTAATGCTTAAGTACCTTATGAAACAATCGTTAGAGAAGCAATCAAGAATGTTGGTTATGATAATATAAGTAATCCTATTAATTATTTAATCATTTTAGATAAAGGATTGGATTATAAGAATGCATCAATAATAATCTCATTAGACTAATAATCTAGAGAGATTAATCAAGCTGTTGTAGGTGCTAAGCATGAAGATGAAATTGGAGCTGGAGACTAAGGATTAATGATTGGATATGCATCAGATGAAACTCCTGAATTGATGCCATTAACTCATCATCTCTGCAATAAATTAATTGCAAGACTTCAAGAATGTAGAGAAAAAGAAATCTGTCCTTGGATGAGACCTGATGCTAAAGTTTAAGTTACTGTTGAATATAAAAGAGATGGTGCAACATTCTTCCCTGTTAGAATTCATAATGTATTAATCTCATAATAACATGATGAAAAAATAACACATAGTGAAATATAAGCTGAATTACATTCTCATGTTCTTAAGTATAAGTTAATTCTATATTCAAAAGACATGTTTTACCTCAATAATATGTTGATGAACATACTTAATATCATTTAAATCCATCTAAAGCATTTACAGTTGGTGGACCATATGGTGATGCAGGATTGACTGGTCGTAAAATCATTGTTGATACTTATGGTGGATGGGGTGGCCATGGTGGTGGTGCATTCTCAGGAAAGGATCCCACAAAAGTTGATAGAAGTGCTGCTTATGCTGCCAGGTGGGTTGCCAAATCTTTAGTAGCATCTAAATTATGCAAAAGAGTCATGATTTAAGTTGCTTATGGTATTGGTATCAGTGAACCATTATCAATTTCTGTTAATTCATATGGAACACATGCTGAAGGTTATGATGATGATGATTTATCTGAAATTGTTTAAGAAAGCTTTGATTTAAGACCAGGAGTTATTATTAGAGAACTTAAATTAAGAAGACCAATTTATGCTAAAACTGCTTCAGGTGGTCATTTTGGAAGATCAGAACCTGACTTTTTATGGGAAAAACCAAGAATTATTGATATTGCTTCATGGAAAGCTAATAAGGAATAATAATAATAAAAATGAATAGATATTATGTTAAAAATATAAATAAACAAGTAATTCATCATTTTTTCTTATTTAATTCAGCTCCTAATAATTTAATCTACTCTCTTAACTGTAAATTTTCAATCATTGTTTTCTATCATAATTTATAATATATATACTTCTATTATTTCTTAAATATTTTATTTCTTCTTGATTTATTGGATTAATTTAATATCCTCTTTTTCTATCCTATATATAATTATTATTATAATATTTACAAATCAGCTTCAGTTAAATTTGGATATGCTTTACTAAGATGATATGCTAAAAGTTGAATGTATGAAATTTTTTCTTCTAATTCATTTGTTAATTTAATTATTTTCCCTGAAAATTGATCCTTTATTGTTTTATTCTACATTTCTAATTCTTATATTCTATTTGCCAAAGATTCTACAACAATTTTATCTTTTTTTGTTAATGGAGCATCAGAAACTTATTTCTATCTAGCCTAAAAATCCTTTAAAGCATGAACATCCCTTATTAAACTCTATATTTCCACTTACATCTATGATATTCTTTATTATTTTTATTGATTATCTTTATTTAACTCTTCTATTTCTCTTGCACTTTTTATATTCAAATCCTCTAATTATTTTTCAAAAATTCCACTATTCTTAATTGATTCATTATATTAAGATTCCAAAATTTAAAAATCTTACAATTATGATTAAAGTAACCTTTCTAATTCAATTATTTTTGTATTTTTTTTATCTTATTCTTATTAAGATATTTCTAATTACTTCTTCAATTTTTCCAATTCTTCCACTGTTTCATTCAATTTTTCTTAAATCTAATAATTTTAATTAAAATTACCTTTTATTTCTATTTCTCAAATTATTTCAATTACTTTTTTAAACTTTCTAATTCTTCAGATTATTTTTGATTTCTCTCTTATAACTCTTAGGTTAATTAATTATTTTGATTAAATATATTTTTTTTATTTTGATGCTCTGCTATTACTGCAAGTGCCTATTATAGTTCACTTTCCAATCTAAATTTATCTTCTGAAATTACTCTTAGTTCCTTAAGTTCTTGATGACATAACCTTATGTCTTCTTTTAATTATTCATTTTATTATTTAAAAAGACCAATCTCAACATTCAATTTTGAATTTATTATACTTTATTCATCAATTATTTATTAAAGAGCTGCACATTTTTCAACTATTGTCTCCATAGAAGTAGAATTTCTTGATGACTTTTAATTTTATACTCTTGCTTACTCTTCTTATTGTTACTTCAAAGCATTAAGTTCATTTTATAATTATTTAATTTAATTTTATTATTCTTTTGACTTTTTCTCTAATATTTAATATTCTTTTTAAGGTATATTATTTGATTTATCACTTGATTAAGCTTATTAATAAGAATGATTTTATAAATATGGATTAAAATTAATTAAATTAGTGGAATCCTAACTTTATTTACTCTATTATTATTATTAAGTTAATGATTATATTTATGCTTAATATTGTATAATTAATTTCTTTTATTCTTAAATTTCTCCTTTAAATTCTACTATTAAAGTATTTGATTATTCTCTTTCTTAAATAAACTATTGTTAAATTTCCAAATTTTCTTATTAATATTTCTAAATTTAAGAATTCAACTCTTTTATTTCATCCTTTTATTCATTATTCTAATTATTATTTTAAATATCTGATTTCTGTGAATCTAATAAATTTTAGAGTTCTTATATTTTTAATTAAAGCTCTTAATTTTCAGTTTTTAATTCTTTACATTTAAAATCCAATACTTCCATTTCATTTAAACTATTTTACATCATTCTTCCTTCACTTTCAACAGTATCTAATTGTTACTTTAGTTCTTAAATTAATCTATGCAAGTCATCTATTTATGATTCATGCTTTTGTTTTTATGATAATAATTTATTTTCATATTTCTATTCCATTTGATATAGTTCTTCTTAATATGAAGATAATTAAATATTTAATTAATCTAATTAAGCTTCTCTTTCTTTTAATTAAAATTAAGACTTTTATAATTATTATATCATTTCATCTTATTCCTATCTTTATTTCTTTAATAAATCCACTTCTTGTTATTATTCTTTAGACTTTTTCTCAAATTATTCTTATTATTATTAATTTTATTCTAAATTCTTAAGTTCTATTTATTCAATCTACAACTATAATGTATCAATTTCTTATTGCATTATTTGTTTTTATTATTAAAATGTTTATACTGCTATTTCAAATTCATTACGTAATTATATTAAACTATTTTAGTTCTCCTGACTTATTTTCATCTATAAATTATTAGAATTTGATTCTAATTCAATCAAATGAGAATTTTTAAGTAAAACTATTTGTTATTCTAATTCTAATATTTAATTATTTAAAACAATAATTTAATCTTTTTACTATTGAATTTCAGATTAATATTATTATTCTAATTCTTTCATTTATTAAATTTTGGCATCAAGATTTAATTAAGATTATTCTAATATTATACTCTAAGCATTGAATTCATTTAATAGTTTAAGTTCTTTTTCTTATTCTTACTTCAAACTTACTTACATTAATTCTAGATCATCATTAATTTTTTCTTTATTTGCTATTAACTCTTAGATTTATTACTACAACTAATTATTTTTGTCTAAATTAATTTCATTATTTTTTTATTCTTCTAAAATTTAAGATTTTTAAATATCAATTTCTTATTAAAATTGTTAAACAATAATATTTTTTTGTTCTTATTCTGTTTTTATAATGTTTTATAAATTTAAATTCTCTTCCTTTAAATTTTCCATTTCTTATAATTATAATTTTATCAATTCCAAATCTTTAATTAGATTTGATTTCTATAATTCTTAATTTTAGACTATCTATGTTAAATCTTCAATTTCTTTTATGTATTATTCCATTATAAGTTTCTGTTAATCCTTAAATTATTGTTATTCTTATTCATAATCTAATAACTATTATTTTTATATTTGAATCTCCTTTTAAAGTTCACAAATCTATTGATCATATTAATTTATTAATTATTATTTTTATATATTTAAATTATTTTGAAGTGTTTCCTCATACTATTTAGATTGTTCTTCTCTTAATGAAGAATATTTAGTTTCAAATATTTATGTATTACTTTCCAATTTTTATTTTAAATCTAAAAGTTCTTATTAAAGCTATTCTATTTTTTTATCCTTTTGACTTTCATTTTGAGAACTTATTTCAATTTCAGAACTACATTCTTAATCTTTTGTTTTATTAGTTAATGCTGATATTTCTTACATCAATACTTTAGTATTTTAATCATTTTTTTAAGATAATTATTCTAAATCATTAACCTTTAAATTTATAGTTTCTGTCCATAACACTAATTAAGATTAAAAGGATTATTTAATATCTTCAAGTTATCTAATATTATTATCTTTTTCACTTATTTATTATGTTAATATTTCAACATTATTAGTAAATTCTTATAATTTTTCTTATTATTATTATAATTTTAAATTGTAATTATTGTTTTCTTCCTATAATTATGAAGCACTTTATTATAATTATTCAATATTCTATTGTAAATTAATTATAATTTCATCTTTTTCTTTTAATTCTATTTTTATTTATTCTTTAGAGTTTGTTATTTCTTCTTATTTATTAGATAATTCCTATTAGATTTAAGTTTTTTCTACATTACTACTTTCTTTAAGTTTATCAATTTATACTAAGAATTCTTAATTTTCTTTTTTCAATTCTTAAATTATGTCTTCATATTAATTTAATTACTATGTTAATTGTTCCTGTGTATTGATTTCTAATATTAACTTTTAATTATATTGATGCATCTCTTAATTACACTTTTCAATTTATTCTATTTATGTTTAATTTATTATTTATAAATTTTAAATCTATTAATCTAAATCTTAAATCTTTTGTGAATTTTAATTAATTTATTTTTCATAATCTGCAATTTATATATTGAGATTTTCAATTTAAATATTTTATTCTTACTATGATTTAGTAATAATTTAATTATTTTAGTTTTGTTACTATATTTAATTATTCAATTCTTAAATTTTATCTTCTGAAATTTATTTTTCATCTATTAATTTTTATTTTAAAGATTTAATAGTATTTTAAAAATTTTCTTAATCTTAAAGTGAATTGTTTTCAAATGATTTATAAATATTCTATTATTCTATTATTTTAGATTCTAATTAATTTATTTTCAATTCTGCATTATCTTTCTCTTCTAATAAATTTAAGCATTTTTTATCAAAATGTAATTTTTATTCTTATTCCTTTTAACATTATTCTTTAAGTTTAATTATTTGTTTTTATTAATCTTCAATTTATTTTTTAAATAAAGTATTTTCATCAATTATTTATGTAATAATCTCTTCTTATTATTTTAATTTCATTTTTTATTGTTCATTAATGTTATTAATCTATTAAGATTTTTATTTTAAATCTTTAATTTCAATATTTGCTTTTTCTATTTAATCTTCTAATAATTTGATAGTTTTTTGACTTTTTGATTCTGAAGAAGATAATTATTGATTTAATTAATGAATTTCATTTTATATCTTTTTAATTTATTCATTCTTTTCATTTAATTATCTTTAAATTGATTATTCTAGTTTTACTTTTTCATTATTTACATCATGTGTTTTTTATTATTCTTTTTTCAATTATTCAGCTAAATTCTATACAATAATTTTATTATCTTATTTAATTATATCAATTAAATTATTTTATTCTGACATTTATATTTTATAAGAATCTATTTCTTTTTTTTATTTGGTAATCAAATCTAAATTATTTTAATGCTTCTATAATTCTTATTATAATTTATCTTTAGATGATTCTGATTTCTATAATCTTTCTATTAATGACTCTATATCTATTCTATGTTAATTATTCTATTCTACTTAAATCTCTTAAAGTTAATTATATTTTTATTCTGATTTTTTCAAAGAAATCTATAATTTATCTTATTCCATTTGTATATTATCTAATTTATTTTAATACTCTTTTATTTTTCTTTAATTCTCTTCATTTTTATGATTAAATTCATTTTCTAATTATTGGATTTATTGTTATTAAGAAGATTGTAAATCACTAAATTAAAATTCTAATGAAGTATATTTTTTAATCTACTCTTCAAGTTCATGTTTTGCATTCATGAAATTTTATTGTAATTATTCCAATTATTCATTATTTATATTTACATTCTTAACAATTTGATCCCCTTGATTTTAATGTGCCTTCGATTCTTCATCTTATCCATTATTTTAATCCTACATAATACTATTAATTTCAACTTAATTTTCGTTAATTACTTCAGTTTAGTGATTTTAGTGATCATTATGAATAGAAATTAATTCTTCTACTTAATTATCCATATAAAAAAATTTATATTAGAAAGTAAATTAATTCTTTCTATATAATTTAATTACAAAGAATTTATTTAATTCAATCCTACCTTAATTCTAATTCTCATTATGTTTACTAATTCAATTCTAATATACATTTAATATAATTAATATATGTTTTAGAATAGTTTATAGAATATTTTTATGTAAATATATTATATAATAATTATATTTTCTTAGGTGTATCATTATGGAATTACCCATTTAATATAAATATAGTAATATACAAAAACTCTATCAATAATAAAGCTAATTAACTTAATTTACTATAAATTTTATTAAGTTAACCCATTGTTTTAGCAATAAAAAACATCTTCAAGAAGCATATTTCCAATGTTATTAATAATAATATATTAAAAAATGTTATTGTTTGAATAAAAATCGTAAAGAAATAGTAATGAATAGTAATCATTAAGAAGATTGCAAAATGATATGTAAGATGAAAAATTAAAATAATTGAATGATGATACCTGTGAAATTACATTTAAAATGCTTAGTGGAATATTATAAATTTTGATGTCACCAAAGATTGGCCCCTACAAATAAAATAATTTCTTAGTATTCTATTATCTTATTGTTAGTTTTTCCTTGATTTTAGAATAAATTATCCTTATTCTCCTCCTAAAATTAAAGTAGAATCAGATATTACACATCCAAACATAGATAAAAGAACTTAATTATTTTATTTATAACTTCTAGAACCATATTATTGGAGACCAATATATGAGTATATTATGATATATATAAAAGTTTAACTGACATCATTAAAGCTATGAGATAGACATTAGTATATATAGATTTCACAAATATACCAAATGAAACTAATTGCCTTTTGATTGCAGAAAAGATATTATAATAAAATTAAACTCAAGATGAATTTGAATTAGATTTTATACATTTTGAAATTAGTGAAAATTTTAAGATCAATTTTGAATTGAATTCAAATTAAGTTTTTGATGAGGATAATGTCTTATAAAAAGATTAATAAAAATATTCAAATTTTTCTTAAGAACCAAAAACAATTAATTTAATAAAAACATAAAGACATGGTTAAAATCAGAGAATGGTTTGCATTAAATTAAAAATTTGAATAGATTCTTATTTTCATTAATTAAAATATAAAGTATATATACATAAAATTAGAAAAGATTTATCAATTTATTTGTTATCATATCCAATTTTATATTAACATATATTCTAATATACTTTAAATTGAGTTAATATATTATTTGATAATAATTCTAAAATTTTAATTACTAATTTTAGTATTTAACAAATTTATAATTGCTTTTTTTGTCACATTTCTTTTTAATTTTAACTTTAATTAAAAACCATTAGCTATTAATTTTTAAGATTCTTTACTTTTTATATTCAAAAGTATTTTTAAGATCAAACAAGTTAGTATTTTCATTAAATTTATTATTATTATTTAATTTATAATCAGAAGGAATAAAAATAATAAGTGAGATTTACTACGCTTATATTAACCTGATTGTACATCAATGCTCAAAATTTAATATAATCTTATATTTTTTAGAAGTATAATTTATAAAAGAACAAAAAATGTTTACTATATTTTGTTTCTTATTAGTTACGATTAATTATTTTAATTCTTATTAATATACAAGTATTTTGCTTTCGTCTTCTTATGAGTTGCAATATTTCTACTAGTTTTCTTGAGATTTGAATAATCTTATTTAATTTTTAAATTTTGAATATTATTAGCAAATTTCTCAATGCTATATTTTATTATCAATTCAACCATTTCTTTCTTGAAATGATTATAAAATCTATAATTTTAAAATTTCCGAAAAGTATTTTAAAAAATTTGTTATTCTTATTTTATCTTAAAATAACTCTAAAACTACCCTATTAAAGACCATGAGAGATTTCATTTTCTATATTGATATTAAAAAAATGCAGGCATTTATTGAACAATAGAAATAAAGAGTGCTATAAAATGATTAAATATTTTTGTCTTATTTCTTATATTTTCATTTAAATATTATGCCAATTAAAACTGTATAGATCTAAGATCTAAAATTTATGAGTAAGGTATGAATTTTGATAAATAGTTTTTTAAAATAATTTATATGGAAGTATGAATTAATTGATTCCATCTGATGGAAGGAGTTTGATAATATATTTTAGATTTGGCTTAAGTTTAAAAATGATTTTTGATTCAGATTATTAAATTTGAGGTATATATTAATGTAGTATAATAATAAGAAATTAGTGTTAAATAACATCTTAAATAAGACAGTTTAAATTTTATTAGATTTGATATCAATAAATTTATTTAATAATGGGAGCATGTGGTGGTAAATCAGGAGGAGACAAACAACAACAAATGTCGAAAGAACAGAAACGTAAGCAAATTATTTTGAGTCTTAGAATTGGCTGTAAATAAATTCGAGGTTGGCCCTAACATCTTTGTTAATTTAAAGCAAGGTGATATAACTGATACTTATATCATTAACAAAATATTAGGTGAAGGTATTAAGATTAAATTATCAGTCAGGTTCATATGGATAGGTGAGACTTGTCTAACATAAGAAGACTGGTTAATAAAGAGCTATGAAACAAATATAAAAAAAAAAAATTCTTAAGGAACAAGAGGATGCTATGTTTAGTGAAGTGGCCTTATTAAAAGATATGGATCATTAGAACATTGTCAAATTATTTGAATTGTATTAGGATAGTCAAAATTACTATTTGGTTACCGAATACTTGAATGGAGGAGAATTACTAGATAAATTAACAAAATTATCAACCTTCAATGAGAGAACAGCAGCAGAGTATATGAAATAAGTATTGTCTGCTCTTTCTTATTGTCATGCATAAAATATAATACATAGGTATTTTGAAAATTTTATGTTATGTAGAGATATGAAACCATCAAATATCATGTTAGCATCTCCAGATCCTTAATCCCCTATAAAAGTAATTGATTTTGGTACAGCCAAAAAGTAATTAAGTGGAGAGTCTTAGACTTAAGTTATTGGAACAGTACTAATCCTACCTTAATATTATTATAGCCATTATATATAGCCCCTGAAGTCATTGATAAAAATTATACTGAAAAATGTGATATCTGGTCATGTGGAGTTATTTTATATTAAATTCTAACAGGAAAATTCCCATTTGATGTGAAGGTCTAAAGTTTACAACAATTATTCAATAATATCAAATCAGGAAAATATAATTTTAATTCAAAAGAGTTTACTAGTTTATCTTTTGAAGCTTAAACTTTAATAAAGTCAATGCTTTAATTGGATCCAAAGAAAAGACCATCAGCAAGTGAGATATTAAATGACCCTTGGATCAAAGAGAAAGCAAAAGAGGATAAGATAAGTTTGGATGTTATGAATGATTTAGGCAAATTTCATGTAAATAATATTATTCTATTATTTATCAGAATGAAAGCAATATGAGAGCAGCAATTTTATAATTGATTGCAGGAGAAATGATGTCAAATGAAGAAAAAGATTAATTAAATTAAACATTTTAGAGTATGGATAAAAATAAAGATGGATAATTATCAAAAGAAGAATTAGTTTAAGGTATTTTATAAATAACATAAAAATAGCTTATACTTAAGTTTTTAATGATGAATTAAAGGCAAAACATTTAGTAGAAGAGATTTTCATATAAATTGATTAAAATAATTCAGGAAAAATAAGTTATACTGAATTTCTGGTTGCATCAGCTAAACAAAATACAATTTTATCAAAAACTAAAATTGATTAAGCATTTAAAATGTTTGATAAAGTATTTAAATTAATTATCAAATAGGATGGCAATGGTTAAATTACTAAACAAGAATTATAAGATATTATGTGTGGTGTAGATATTGATAATACCTAATGGGCATAAATTATAGCATAATGTGATAAAAATGGGGATGGAATCATCTAATATGATGAATTTGCAAATATGTTATTATAAACTGCCAAAAAATGATTTATTTTAAATAAATAGTATTTGCATATTTGATATTTTTATATTTATCATAAATATTAACCCCATATTGATATTCAATCTTATTATTAAATAAATTAATAATTTCATAACTATAAAATTTATATTAAATGAATTTTATTTATTTTAATATAAATTTAAATATAAAATACACAGTATTCAGTAGTTACTATAAAACCTTATGCTATCTACTTTTTCAATATTACTTCTAAAACTACCTTAATAACATAAATCTTTTATTTTCATTGAACAAAGACCATCCTTTTGATTTCTTTTCATTTAACATTCAAGTGTCTAATTCTCTTTTTAAAAATAGATATTGCATTCTCCACTAATATAATTATCAAAAAATTATCCTTCTGCTTTAACATTAGAATCTAAAAAGATAATTCCTTCACCATTGAACAGACCCTCATTAAAACCACCTATATACTTTTTAACATCTTATCCTTCTGTAATGATTTATAACTCTCCTTTCCCTTCTGGACATCCTTTCTCAAAAAATCCACTATATATCAATTAACATCCAAATTTCTTATTCCATTAAGTTAATTTACCTTTACCTTCAGCTTCATCTTCTAGCCATTATCCTTCATACTAATCTCCATTTTTATATTACAATATCCCTTCTCCATGTTTTTAATTATTTTAAAAATCTCCCACATATATTCCTTCATTATTTTCAAGTTTGCCTTTACCATTAAATTATCCCATTTCAAAATCTCCTTCATATTTTGAATTTTACCAAAGAAGCAATCCTTTTCCATGAAACTTATTATTATAAAATCCTCCCTTATATTCTAATTCTTTAGTTTTAAAATGACCTTATCCTTAATATTTATCATTAACAAAATCCCCTTTATAAAAACAACTGCCATCAAAAATTAATGTTCCAAATCCATCTTTTTTAAACTCTTCATTAATAGATCCCTTATACTTATAATTTGGTCCATCTATTTACCACTCACTTTTTAAATCAGGTTATCCATTTATCCAATTACCAGTTAATGAGACTTTATTAATACTTAATTGACCTTCACCATGATATTTTCCATTAAAATATTTTCCTTTAAAAAATGAATTATTTTCATTAAACTTTAGTGTTCCACTTCCATTTAATTTATTACTATTTTAATCTCTTATACCTTCAAACTTATCTCCATTTTTAAATAAAATCATATTATTGATTATATTATTTAATAAATAATTTATTTAGTTATAGAATTTTTAATAGATTCATCATCTCTTATTAAAATTATTCATCTTATCATACATAAACTTTTTAATAACTTAATCAATTTTCTCATCCAATTTCTTTTCTATAATTTTGTTATTATCCACATAGATTCCTAATTTTTAATTATTTGATTTGGCATTTATAAAACGTCCTTGTTATGTTCCAGTCCCTTCAATCCATTTAGATTGAATATCACCTTTTTAGTAGTCTTTTAGAAAAGGAATTTTAGTATTGTAAAATTATTAAAAGTTCTAATTATCTTAATACATTTTTATTTTTTATTTTAAGTTGCATATAAAATTTTATCATCTAATACAATTAAAAAACCATATAAGAAAAAAAAACTAATTGAATTTAGGTAAAGAATAAGTTAGAAAGATAAAAAGATATGCTAATGGTGCTATAAATAATTTTAGCAAATTTCAATTACTATATAGATACTATATAAAATTGTAAATTATTTATTCAATTTGTAATTAAAAGAATCCTATTAACTTTAGATTAATATGATGATTATAAAGTAGAAGATTTTAAAGAATAAAATTACAAATAATAATTATTTTTATTCAATAATTATAATTTGATTACCTTTGCATAATGTTAGTTTTTCTTTGCTCAAAATATTTTTCTTATTAGAAAACAAGCTAGTTGTAACAAATAAGTTTTATCAATATATTCTAATAATGTTAGAGTTCTTATTACTATTCTTATTAACTAATGTGCTCTCAAAAAATCTTAGGTTCTAACAGATAATAACTAATTAATAATTCCTTTTAGTTTTTGAAAAAAGTCTCAATTTAAGTGAGAATAGAAATTAAATTAGTAAAAAGAATAAAATAAATATTAAGATTAGAAAAAAAGATTCATTTAAAAATAATTTAAATTAACAAGCAATGAATGATAAAACATCTAAGTAAAAAGTATAATATTAATGCCTTATGAGAAAAACAAAGTTAAATAGGAAGTAAAGTCTTTCTAATAAAATCAATCATCTAAAAAATGTTGTCAATTTATTTTATTATAAAATTTATATTAAAATTAACAATATCTAAAGACATTTAATTAAATTAATTATGGATTTTATTGATACCAAAGTAATTGAGTTTAGTTCTTAAACAGGCATTCCAGATGATTAATTAAAAATCTTCATTTCCTTAATCCTTTGCACATTATTTGGATTCCTTTTTAAATTATCCATTAGAGGTAATAAATTGAATAGATGATATAGGAAGGTAAGCTAGATTGATTGCAGGATCAATATTTGGTGTCATCATCACTTACTATATTTATAGATCTTAAATTATCAATGTGTTATTTTAGACAATAGTAGTTTATATAATGGTTAAGGTTTTGGGAAAGAAAAGTCCTTGGCCTGTATTTGTGGAATCTATGATTTTTGTGGCAGCTCATCATATATATAGATAATATACTGATTATGGAGGTTGGAAGATGGATGTTACAACAATATTAATGATGGATACTCCAAAATGGACTGCTTTTGCTTTTTGTGTAAGTGATGGATTGAAAACATAATTAAGTAAAGAATAGGAAATAAGAAAGATTGTTAAATTACCTTCTTTTTTTGAGTATTTCTCCTTTATTTTCTTTTTTGCTGGAAGTGTATTAGGACCATGCTTTGATTATTATGACTTTGATTAATTCATTAATGAAGATAAAGAATATAAAAATATTCCATCAACAATAAAAGAAACATTAAGACTATTAAAGAATACTATAATTTGTATGGGTATCTTTTTATTTGCTGAAAAATACTTTCCTTTACATTTTGTTACAACAGATGAATTTGGAACATATAATATATTATATCAAACACTTTGGTTTAATATTATGGTAGCAATTCAAAGAACAAAATATTTTGGTGGTTGGCAATTAGCTGAAATGAGTATAGCATCTTGTGGTATTACTTATTAAGGAAATGGATAATTTTAGAAAATTAAAGCAGTTGATGTAGATTGGGATTTAACATACAATATGAAAGATAAAGTAGAGAAATGGAATATCTCTATTTAAACATGGTTAAGAAGATATGTATATACTCGTATTTATACTGAAGAAGAAATGAAGAAGAGTGCTGCTAAATAAAATTTTGCTTATCAAATGACATATGTTGTATCATCACTTTGGCATGGATTCTATATTGGCTATTACTTTTCATTCTTTTAATGGGCAATTTTGAACAACGTCAACAAAGCAATATTTAGAGTTTCTTGTAATACTAAATATTTGAAAATATTTGAAACTAATCCATTAGCTAAATTTGTTAGATGGTATTTAGCCAATACTATTTTTAATGTATTTGGAATTACCTTTTTATTATTGAGTGTGGATCCAATTCTAAAATTCTATAGCAATATTAGATATGTTCCTCACATTTTGTTATATGCCACATATGCTTTCTTCTTAATTACTAATTTCGGTTAGAAAAGTAAAAAATAGAAAGAATGAAAGTATATATTTTATAAAAATATATAATTGTTGAATAACTCTCTAGTTATCTTTCTCTATTTTTTAAAGATAAATAACTAAAATTTTATCTTTGACTTAAAATATATAATATATACTAAAATTCATTGAGATCATCATTTTTATGTTTGTTTTGATATAATATTAGGTGAAAATGTTTTAGTAATTTCAGTTGACCATTCTTTTGTTCTTTTATTTTCACCATCCAATTAAATTTGAACTGGCATCTTTGATGCAGGATGTTATTCATGTAGAGCATAAGGCATCAAAATTATTTCATGAGAAGATGGAACTGTAGGAGGAGGGGATGAAATAATGATGTCATTCTTAGTGTATTAGGGTTTTTAAATATGGCAGCCCATTATTAATATAATAAAATAATGAATTGTAAATATGTATTAAATGAATTTTTAATATGATCTTAGAGACAGTAAAAACTGTTTAAGAATTGAAATATATAAATTCTATTCATACAAGGAATTAAAATATTGTTCTTATCAGTCTTTTGTTAATTATTAATTGATAACATTAAATTATGTTAATTATTAATTAAAAAGAACTTTATTTTTAGTTATAAAAATAAATGGGAATGAATTCTCATTTTTATCTACTTTAACTTAAAAATGATGTTTTTAAGAAATATAAAATAATAATAATTATTTTTTTGAGAATTTACTTTTTCTATTAATTAATTATATGAATTCATCAATAATATTAAATATTTATAAACATATTATAAATTTCTACATGTTATAAAGTTTTATTTTATGAATATCATCATATAGTAAATGGAATTTAAAAAAATAATTAATATATTGTATCAACTATTCAAAATATTAATGATCATAAATTGGCTTTAATAAATGATAATAATTTTCTAAATATCATTAAAAATTTAATTATAAATAATTTAGAAAATAAAAATAAATATGAAATCACTTTTTTTTCTTTGGCAATCCTTTTTTTTTTTTTGGCAAACTCTTTAAATAAACATCATATCGTCTACTCTATTTATTTATTAAATATAGTTACATTTAAATCTTCCTTTTACATTATGGCTCTTTCTCTTATTCTTTAATACATTTCTTCAAGATCCCAAGATCTGATTAGATGATCATATGAACCAGAATAAAGGAGTCCATTAGCTAATGCCAAAGTAGTAACTCCATCAATATGTCCTGAAAACTCTTCTTTTAATTCCCAAGTTTTCATTTCATAAACTTTGATTTTTTTATCATCAGTTCCAACATACAAATATGGATCATGAACCAACATACATAAAGCCCATCCATGTAAACCAACAATTACTTTAATAGGTTATGGATTAGGTTAATCTAATTATTGGATTTCATAAATGTGCATAAAATTATCAATAGTACCAAGAATCAAAAGGGTCTTATGTACTAAATATGACATAATAGTAAAATTAGGGAATTGAACACTTCTAACAATAGATTATTTATAAGGATCTATTTAGACTATAGTATTTTTGCCATATAATAAATTAATTTCCTTGTCAAAGATGACATTCATCAAATTGATTGGATATCCTATGTTAAAGATAACTTCACATTCATTGCTAGTGGTATCCCATAATCTCACAGTACCATCTAAAGAGCTAGATGCCAATTATCTAATATTTAAGAAATGAATAGATGTGATTTAAGCCTTATGTCCTTGATAAGCATAGACTGACTCTCCAGTTTTAATATTATTAGATTTGATGAAACCATCATCATATCCAACATAGATATTGAATTCAGAAAATGTTGCTGCACATATGATATTTCCTTTCATAGTTTATTGATTTTCATCTTAATCTTATACTGTAATATCATCTGATATTTTGGATATCAGAAATTTGGATGCAATTTATCTATTTAATAGATCCCAACCTTAAGTAGTTATATAAATACTTTTAACATTTCCATCTCTAGAAGCTGAATAAAGATAATTGCCATTATTTCCATAAGGACTAATCAATGTAATTATAGCATCTTTATGTCCTTTAAGTCTGTCTTTAAAAGCCTTACTCTTAATCTGTTTGGGAGGTTTTACAAATTATTATTAATACATTTAAAATATGAATATTAATATATAAATGAATCAATGTGATACTGATTTTATAATGTTGACTTATTATGGATCTTCATTAGAAAATGAAATGGCTTCATAATTACCTAATAAATATTAATTAAAAAATACATTTTTCTTTATCAATGCCAGCTACTTCAGCATCTGAATCAATTCTCAAAACAGCAAATCCTTTGAGAACTATTAAGATGAAGAAAACAAAAAAGGCAACCCAAACTGTGATAATTAATAATCCTAATAATTAACAACCTACTAATTTCATTCCTTTTCCATAAAATAATCCACCATTTACATCTAATAATCCAGTAAAAAAGACACCAATAAATCCACCATGCTAAGATTAAATTAATTAAATACCAAGAAAATAGGTACAATTTAGACTGGATCATCTAATTTAAATTTAGGTAAAGCTGTAGCTGTTAATGTATAAACAATGCCAGCAATTGAAGCAACAATAGAAGTAGCCCAAATCTAAGATTCATGAGCAGCAGCTGAACTTGCCACCAATCCAGCCAATATTCCTCTAGAAATTGAAAATAAACTTGTTGTTTCTTTTGTCAAATATCTTATAACAAAACTCCAAAATCCACCTGCAGCTCCAGCTATTAAAGTATTAACTGCTACTAATCCTTAAACATATGGAGTAGATGAACCAGATTAAATTTAACCACCATTTATGAACATCCAAGTAGCAAAAAGTATTACTGTTCCAAATGCCACATATATTGAACTGAATGGTTAAAAATTTAAAGTAGAATTTGTATCAAATCTATATTTTCTTGGTTTAGATACTACTGTCACTACTAAAGCAGCAACACCAGCTGAATAGAATATAAATCCAGATCCTGCCAAGTCTTTATATCCTAATTTAGTTAACCATCCATTAGCATTAGTCCAATGAACTATTGCTGGAGATACAAATCCTGAATAAAAGAGAGCCAAAACACCCCAGGCTAAAAATGTTAATCTTTCAGCTGCTCCACCAGATACTATTGATACTCCTATACATGATAATGTTGCTTTGAACACTAATATTATTATTAAAATTAACTACCAAAATTTGAATAATCATTTTATGCTTCTGTTGCTGCCCAATTGTATGCTCCAAGTTTTGTACCTCCCATAAAATATGTTCCAAAATCATCACCATAAGAAAATCCATACCCAAACTATTTTGAATTATTAAAACATCATTTTACCAACCAATATATTAATACTGTTAAACACATTCCAAGAAATACCTTTATAACTATTGATTAGGCATTCTTATATCTAACAGATCCAGCCTCCAAAAATCCAAATCCCAATTAAGAAAATGCTAGTACAATACCAGCAATCAACAACCAATCTTCATCTAAAGTACTTCTATTAGTAGTTCCTGCAGCTGCATTTGCTGATGGAGAAACATTGGCAGGATTAGTAAGATCAAGATAATGTTGTTACATAGTTTGAAATATAAATTAATATTTTAACAATCATTTTTCTTTAATTTTAAATAATGGAACTTTGGCCTTTGATAATTTATTTGATTTTGATTTAGGTTCTATCAATCCTCTTCTAACAAAACCATCAAATTCACTTTTCACTAATAAATCTCCTTATGTAACATGTCTCAAATGACTCTTTAATTAATCATCTAATACAAATTCATCTTATGTTACTTCCACTCTATAAATTATAATTATATTTACTTTTTATTTCCTATTTTAATTGGTACCAAATTTCTTCCTGATAATTTTCTTGCTCTCTCTAAAAGTTTCTTCTCTTTTCTTTATTACTTTCTTTTCTCAAGTCTCATTCTAGCTTCAGCATTAAGTTCTTTTTTTATATTTTTTACTAATAAAAGTCCATGATTCTTTTTCTTTTCAATTAATCTATCAACCACTTCTTTTCCATGAACTTTTTAAATCATACTCATCTTTCTCTTTAATTTTTTTTCTTTCTCTCTAATTTAGTTATTATTTTATATTAAATACCTTTAAATCAATTTTTATGCTTTCTCTACTTCAGTCTCTACATTTTATAATCTTTAATGTGATCTAATTTCTTTTTTTACTACATCATCTAATAATTCATTATAATCTTTTAATTAAGGATTATATGATTATCCTGGATGAGGTGTAACAATAGCTTTTACTTTTGGACTTTAAATTTTTTTTAATCCTCCTTCCTCTGCCCATATATCTTAAAATTCCTTTTATTTTTCTGGTTATTATTGCTTTTTCTACTATTCTGCCATATTTTAGATTTTGATTTTTTCTAATTTAGATAATTTTGTAGGATCAATAGGTTTTTTCTTGAATCTATCTTTATTTTCATATATATTGATAGGTTGAGCATCAACTTAAAAATCTACAGGTTTAGCATCATTTTATGTAAAATCTATATTATCAAATTCACCCATTTCTACAATGATGTTCTTTCTCCATCTTTGAGTTCCTTATCTAGCTCTCAGGTTTTTTTTCTTAATATTTACCATGTATTAATTAATTTTAATTATTCATAAATTTAATTTAACCAAATATTGTTTCAACTTACCCTAATACTTTAAAATATGTTCTTATCCATTTATTATTTAATGAATTGAGTTTAATATAAAATGTTGGAAAAAAATAATGTTAAAAAAATAAGTTATTCTTATTTTATTAATAATATAAGACATAAATAAAATAATAAATAAATAATAATGAATTCTGGTATTAGTATTTTGAATATTTAATACTTTTATAAATCAATAGAATCTATTGTATTAATAATGTTATTGTTGCATCATGTAATATTATTGCTATTAATATATCTGTTGTTACTACATATTGTTGTACAATTATTATTATTACAATTAGAATTGTTATTATTATTATTATTATTATTATTATTATTATTATTATTATTATTATTATTATTATTATTATTATTATTATTGTTAAAATTAATTATAATAATATGAAAGCTAATTATTATAATTAAGAATTTAATTATTATTATAGTCATCCTTCTATTATATTTATTAATGACACTATTTAATTGATAAATGAGTATCTATTTAGTTCTCATTATTCTATTCATTCAATTTTATTTACTTTAAATTTGATTATTCTTCTTAATTATCAGATTAAAAATTTATTAAGCTTTTTTAATTGATTAAATTAGGATATAACTGTTTATAATGATACCTCATTCTTGAAATATCTTCAATTAGTGTATAATCTTCAGGTATTTAATCCTGTTTCATATAAAGCATAAATATTTCGTTTTCAAAGATTTGAGATATTTCATAAACCTTATGATAAATATAATTATTTACTTTCTTAAATTCTAATTCATTAGTTTAATCAACTTAAAAGAGTAAAGCCATTCCTTTATCTGAATATTTTCTTTCTTAATTTGATTTCATCAAAATACTCTATACTTTTATAATAGCATCTTTTGAATTTTTTACAAAATATTATTTCTTCAAATATAATTTTACACATTTGTCAAATTTAATAGCCAAGAATAAAGGGTGTTTTATTTTGTGTCTAATATTTGGAGCAGTGAAGTAATTAATTAACCCTTGAATTGTATTATCAACTTTTAATAAACATTTAGGTTAATTTTTTCTTTCCTTTTTTACAAATTCTTTATCCAAATTCTCAGGTAAAAAAGGATCTATAATTAATTATATGTTATTATTCAAAGCTTGTTATCTGGCATGCTTTCTAGAATCTACAAATATATAAGGGGAACATTTAGCATCGATAACGGATTACTGGCTGCTATTGATCTAACTTATTACCACAACTATTTGGAACTTTTGATACTTAAAAATTAATCATAACATATTACTTCATTCTTATATGAGGTTGTATTGAACTTTAATTATCTTAATATTGAAATTCCATTTCTGAAGACACCTTCAGAAGAGCCTTTGCATCCTATGCTTTCCATTTCCATTTTATCGTAATTATGTTTGACAATGTAGAGATTTGCCACTATTGTTAGTGTATTCAGTATATGATGGTCCAAATCATCATCGATCTATATGTTAAAAGTATGTATATTACTTTTAATTAACACTCTAATTCAGGGATGTTCCAAGATTTGTGCCAATTCCAACCAATATTTGAACTAAATGGAAAGGGTTTCCATAACTTTAAATCAAGTTAATACTCTTGGTTAGAATTTTAGTATTTAATAACTTTAGAAGCTTCTATTCTTAGAGTTTACCCATTATGTATAATATTATTGTTGAATGGCTGCCATTCCCATCTTACAACTTCATTTGATGATAACATAGACTAATTTAATTATGCAAAGATTCAATTTATGTTAACATTTATATATGAATATAAAGTAATTCAAAATAAAGATTAATTAACTCTACAATGTGATTGAAAAATTTTAACTAAGCCATTAAATTTAATTAAACTTTATTTCATTCAAGTTTATTATTTATATTAAAATTAATTAGTATAAGTTTATTTTGATTATTAACCATTCTTGTATTTACAAAATAATTATTTAATTCTATTCTTATTTTCTCAAAACCTCTAATCTTTTTATATATAGAAAGCTTTTATCTTTACATATCTTAAATATAATTTTATTGTCCATTTTATAGCAAATTTATAAACAAGTAAATTATAATTTAGCTTAATTCTAAGGCTGTCATTAATTTTTCGAAATTATCATCTATCTTCTTAAAATCTTAACAAAATTTATTATTAACTAACAATTTATAAATAATCAATTGATAAACCATATAAAACCAAGAATGACAAAAAAATAATAAGAATAAATTTGCTTTATTTTATATTTATTAATGTTACTAAATATATACTTCATTATTGTGCAATTTCCTATTCTTTTTCAGTATCTTCTTCTGTGTAAGGAATAGGAGGATCAACATCTGGATAGAGACGTTTTGTTAGAATATAACAATGAGGAGGATCAATATCTGTATAATAATTTTTTTTGTAAATAGTTTTCTCAAAACCATGTCTAGAATAAAATTAAAATCCTATTTCGTTGCTAACCCACATATGTAAATATATAGTTCTTATTTCATCATGAGATTTAACTCTATTTATTAATTCATTCAATAATTATGTGCCAAATCCTAAACGACGGTATGCATCTAATACACCAAATGTCATTATATATGCAGTCTTCTTACCATCTTTTTCCTCTATTCTTGCTGTTATAGCTCCAATTGCAATGTCATTATAATATCCTGCACATTACTTAAATTTCAATACCAAGAGTAGAAAAGTCTGAATATGTGAGAATTTTTATATAAAAGTTTTCACTATAACTTACTGGCAAGGTCTTCTATGTAATAACTTTGAATTATTCCAAATTTTTGTAATTGATTTCTCCAAAAGCCAATTTTGGTTTCTATTCCATTAATAAATATATATAAAATTAATGGATAGTAGAACCGAATTTGATGGAAGAATTCATTTTTTTGAATATTTTTCTCTTGAAAAATTTGAAGAGTACTTAATCATCCAATAATCATCATAGATCATTAAGAAATGCCTTGTAATATTCAATAGGAATAATTACACAATAAGATCGATTTATATAATATTTTCAATATTCAAAAGAAATTGCTTATCTGATTGAATTTTGTATTAATCTACCTTATGCCTTAAAGTATAATGCTTCATATGCTGAATATTTTTATGGATTCTTTTTATCAGAATAAAAACAAAATAATAAAGTTAAACGAATTTTAACTTTGATTATAAGGATTATGATTCCTTATTTATTACAGAAATTACATGAATATTCAAATAATGCAAATTAAGATAGAAAAAAGATAGTAATATTATGGATTTATAGAGGATTTAAATTGATTGATATTTTAATGAAATTTTAGTATTTGTTAAATGATGAACAAAAGAGCTATGCTATTTTTTATTCTTTAATAAAATAGGATCTAATCAGATTCAAAATGGAATCTCCATATAAATATGGAATGTTATTTATTTATTTGGGATTAAAATTTTTAGATTTCTATTTTTCCAAAAAAAATAATAATGTTTAACAATAGAATTAAATTATTTAAGCACCAAAATAAGTTGATGCTAAAAATGTCTAGAAATATTGTCCTAAATGTAAAAGAATACCATAAATACCTAGTGTATTAAAAACTACTGGATATGTTTATTGTTTAGAATGCTTACAATAAATGGTAATTAAAAATGAAATTACTAATCATCATATAATAAAATTATTTTGAATCATTATTATAATGCAATTAACTCTATCTATGGTACAAATGATACTGTTGTTTTCTTAAATGAAATTTAGTATTTTTGATTTGATATTAATTTCATAGCATTTACAGATGTTACAACACATATCTAATCATAATTAATAATAATAAATTACCATAACCAAATCTTTTGATTAATCTTGCATTTGCTAAGGAACAAATTTATTGTCTTTAACTTAGGCAAAAAGTTGTTATGCTTCACTTAACGAGGAACTGACAAATTTGAGTGTTTCTTAGAAAGATCCATAAGACTTCATTTTTTATGTATATTCATCAAATTTAATTGGTTTGATGTAATAACAAGTGTCAAATATTTTCATTCTGTTAGAATATCGATGATCCATATCTTGGACTTTCTTAATGAATCCATTTTCCATAAGGGTATAGTATAACCTTGATAAACCCTGTTATTATAATAACATTTTACTCTAAAGAGAGAATTCAATCCTTTCCAATATTGAATTTCAAAGTACATTTAATCTATCAATGGAGATACTTTTGGTTTCTTTTTGTTTTGGTTCTGTAATTATTCTCTTTATGAATTGGTCAATTGATTAACATAATTGGTTCTATTTCTATCAAGAATTGTAGTTAAATATTCTAAATAAAAGTAAATACTAGCATAATCTACATCTGAATAGAGTTCTAAATCAAATCCATATTATAATTATTGAATCATTGATTAAACAGCAATTTCATAACTGAAGATCATCAAAGGATTTTTATTTTTAAAGATATCTTGATCAATTTAATTACTATGATGAACTAATATTGATAAATGAGAATAATTTTTATGAAAATCTCTACTTTTTCTAAATTTGGATCTTAATTATTTAATTACGTATTCATAAGTAACAGGTACTATACAATCTTGATATTCCTTAAATACATTTTGATATAATTAATCAAAATTCTATGAAAACATTTTATTAAGAGTTCCTATAATGATATTAATCCAAGGAGTTTAATGAAAATATAAGAATTAATCATATTTAAATAGATTTTATTCTAAATAAGCTCTAATTAAAATATTCTTAGGATAATCATGAATTAGAGTACAAATTTTCTATTAAATATTAAAGTAATTGCGTTCTGCACTTAAATCAAGTACTGCTTCTAATTAATTTAACATGGTACTAAAATATTCATAAGGTTTTTCCATTTAAGGTATTTTTCTCATACTAATCATGGATTTGAGATGTTTAAGAATAGTAGAACTTTAATAATTTGACATATCCTTTCCCATAGCCATAGTTTAAACAACAGTATCATATCTTTTTCTAATAAACTCAATATGATCTGTTATTTATTTTTATGATTCAGCATTAAATGTTTATTAAAGACATTAAACAATTAAACAAAAACCCTTAAGCAATTTAATTCTAGAGGAGAGTGCATCTGCTATAGTTAATTATTTAGATTTCTTAACTTTTCCACTTAATTCAGTATCCAATGGATTTAATGTAGTTGTCAATAATTCTTAAATAGTAGATATTCTTTTGTTTCTGAAACTGAATACAGATGGATTATAATCCTCTTCTCTTAAGAATGGAGCATCCTTAATTATTTTAAAGATATGACTTCCTACAGTATTTAAAGTATCAAACAAAGCTTTAACAAATGGATTATCCCATAATGAATCATCATATTAATATACTAATGTGTAAATAGTCTATGCTAATGCATTTCCATTTAACCAACAAGTAATTTTCTAGAAAACTAAATCAAAGAGTCCTATAAGCTATAAAATTATTTTGAATATGCTTTACTTCTTCATTAGTTAGTTGTGATCCTGTTTTTATCTATTGTGATTACAATAATTTTTAAGGTGTATCTGCATCTGCCAAACCAAGTTTTACATCTATTTTTTTATCAAATAATTCAGTAGCTGACATAGCCTCAAATAATGAAAATCCTTCTGCCAAAAGAATATCTCCATTTTTGAGACTCTTAAGTTCTGCTGTAATATCCATTAATTAAATTAATGTATAAAAATAAAGTACAATTATATGAAGACTAAGAATATGTGCAATCACAATCTAATATTAATTTATTCAACACTCATAAATGTATTAAAGAAAAAAAGTAAGTGTTATACTTATAAAAGAATACGAAAATTCAAACATCAAAAAAATACTAAAAATAATTAGATTACTCAAAATTTGTCATTATTATATTAATTAGAAACTACAACTAATTAATAATCAAAAGTATCTCTATCCAATAGATAAACTATTTTTTCTATAAAGAAGAAAGACAAATATAATTGTGTTAATGAATCTACTAATAATAATTTTGGATTTCTATAATTAAATATAAAGAATAAATCTTTAGATATTAGATCCCATTTTGTTGAGATGAAAAATAGTTTACATAAATAGATATTCCTTCCATTATCTCCAATTAAAGAAATTGAAGAATATGTGTTTTATTAAGTATTTGTTAAAAAGTTAATAAGAGTAAACTTAAATAAGTCATGATAAATGATTAAATATACTGTTAAGACAATTTGGAAATTATTGTATTTAAAATTGAAAAGTAATACAAAATCAAAATAGAGTATTATATCCATTAAAATTAGACCAGGCCTAATTGAAGGTTTGATATTAAATGATAAAATATTCAAGAATCAATTTATTATTTACTTAGAATGTTAAAATTCAAATGGGAGAATTTATGAAGTATAAATAGAATTTGAAAATTAAAATGATTATGAATAATTTCAATTATTTTGAATAATCTAAAAATAAAGTATTCCTCTTTTTTTTAATTAAAATTAATAGATATACATATCTACATCATCCTATTTTAGAGAATTCTAGGATGAAGGATTACTACATTTAATATATATATATAGTTATAGTCAGATAGTTTTAAGTCCATGCGTAACAAGAGTTTGGAGACCAGACTTGAATCCGCAATTGGATTTAATTCTCGCTCATCATTTGGTCAATCTGACCAGGGAAGGATCAAGGAAAATAAATATATATTAATTATTTAAATATTTATCACAAATCTCATATTTTATGGGTTATTAAAATATATAATGAATTTTTAAATCCTTGGACTTTTATCATAATTGCCATCTAAGAAATATGTGAGAAAATTATTTGAATATGCTTATTTATTTAGAAACAAACTTAACTCATTTTAAGAATTTATGGAAACACCTGTAAGTGCTTCATTGCCTTAAGATTTATAAATGACTGAGAAATAAGCTCATACACTCATTATAGGATTAGTTAAACTATTAGAAAGTGCAGAATTATTATAATGGAATGAATAAGCCATTTTATAACTATTTCCATCTACTTTTGATTAGCAATTAGCTAAATTATTAACAGATTCTATACTTTAAATCTCTGAATGTAAGATATATCTAAACTCTTATTATAGTGTGTGATAAAATTACAAATAGAGAGATATGTTAAGCAGATTCGCTAATTGATATTGATTGGAGAGTAGATATACAAATTTAGACACATAATTAATAGAAGGTATGTTCTTTATAAATAATTAATAGGTTAATATGCCTGTCTTATTCTTATAATTGGAAACTCTAAATACTTAAAAAAATACAAAGGAGAATGTGACATTTCAGCTTAACTAAAATGAAGTTAATAATTTTCACAACAATTTGTGTAAAATAAAAGAATAATTATAAACTTTAGCTTAGTGATTATTATTTATATAAAATTTAAAAATAAAATGACAGAAAAAGTCAAAATTCTAATGTTAGGTGAAGGTGCAGTTGGCAAGTCATCTCTATTAAGTCGTTATGTTGATGAAAAGTTTTCTGAAAATATATAGGCCACATTAGGAGTAGAATATAGATAGAAAATTCTTATTTAAGGAGAAAATTAAGTCACTGTTTAAGTTTGGGACACAGCAGGTAAATAAAATTTTAATTGTTTAGGTTAAGAAAGATTTAGAGTTATTACTCCAATTTTTTATAGAAATGCTTAAGGAGTGTCTTTAGTTTATAGTGTTATTGATAAAAACTCATTTTAATAAGTTTAAACTTGGATTGATAATTTAAAAGAATAAATAGATTGTGAATAAATCTCTATTGTTTTAGTTGCAAATAAATGTGATATTTCATAAAGAGAAGTAACTACTTTGGAAGGACAACAATTAGCATAAAAAGTATATTATTAATTCAATCCTAGTATTAAATTAAATATTTTGAATGCTCAGCAAGAACAGGGGCATAAGTAAAGGAAATGTATACCGAATTAGTTTAATAGATTCTTGTTAGAAGAGGATAAAATTAAAATTCTCAGAATGGAGAAAAAATTACAAAAAATATTAAAATTGATGGAGCTGAAACATAACCACAAAAATGTTGTTGATAAATCTTATATAATAATTGATAAAAATTTATCATCCAATTTAATTCTATATTACATAATTAATTATATTTCATATATCTGTTCAATTTTTATATTAATAGAGTAAATTGTATAATTTCTTATATAGATAATTAATGTTTTATATATGATAATTCTTAAAATGAATAGAAATATGACTAGATTTATTATTAAATAAATTATTTCATAGATTAGTTTTAAATATTATACTATTGATAAATCAATATATTATTATTCTTAATGATATTTATTCTTCAAAATAATATTATATAATAAATATTTATATAAAATATGTATTATTATTGTTCTTATATTTTAAAATTATTAATTCATATCACAAGTAAGGAAATTATAATAAATAAGACATGCTTTTGCTTTCTTCAGGTTGCTTATTCATTTATAAAGCATTTATTAATGGTGATAATGATCTTGAATTTCTTGATTTGCAAGAGGCAAGGCTGAAAGTTACAGTATGTGAACTTTTATTATCATAGAAGCTACTATAGGATGTATGGTTTTATTTTGTGTGAGATTTGAGAATACTTTTTGGTTATTCTAATTTTTACAGTGAAACCTTTTTATTTCTTTTTTTTAATTAATTTTGTTTCTGACCTCTTAAGATAACATTATTATAGTTTTTCTAATGGTTAGGTATCAATTTTGATGGATTATTCTAATGTATATCATTGTTTTCATCTATGTGACATAAAGAAGGACATTAAATTAAGTTTAATCGATTAATTTCTTCAATTGTTGAGCCTAAATGAACTTTTCTTGTGCTCTGATTTCTTTAATTATCAAGTTAGAAATCTAAAATAAACTCGCTTTTATAAAAGTCTTCTTCAAAAGTATCCAAATTTTATGATAAATTTTAAATACTTGGTACTAAAATCATTTTGTTTGGACAATTCAAGCGAGGATATCCATTTATTTTAATAATTTTTGCTCTCTAATTTTCTTATTTATTTATACAAATATTCCCCATAAAAATTAATTAATACAATATCATATAATTAAGTGTTAATTAACTTTATAATTGTACTATATATTTCAAGAAATTAAAACCATAATATAACATTATTAAATTATTATTATTTTGAACATTTTTTAACTTAACAAAACAACATAGTTCTGTAAAATATTGGGTAACATAATTAAAAATACTGAATTTTTAAATATATTAATGAGGAATTAAAGAATTTATATATTATATTTCATTTGAAATTAAAATAATATTTAATTCTCTTAATAATTTATTCCAGTATCAATTAATATTCAATTTATTAATATGAAACAATAACTTTTGATGAATTGTTGATTATAACAATATTTACTTTAAATTTTGAGTATTAAGTTGATGAAAATAAGAAATATAGATGACGTAAATTAAATAGTTAATAAAAATAAATATTAATAATATAATTAATAATTATATATAAAATTCCTTAAATGGAAGCAAAAAATAAAACTAAACCAAAATCTACTAAATAAAAAGCAAAACTATAATAAATAATGGCAATTAGTTTTGAAAATCTCTAAAAAAAGAGTAATCCATCTGAGAATCAGAAGAATGCTATTTAAGAAGAGTAAGATGAATCAGCACAATAGTTTTAGAAAATTTCTGAAGATGAATATTAAAATTAATTAGATGCTTATTATCAAGAATAAAATAAAAGATTTTCATTTAGTTAACCCTAACCTGATTTATATTAGGTTTCATTGTAATAATAACAATAATAATATTAACAATTATTGAATAAATAATAATAAAATAATGCTCCAGTATCACCTAAATATAAGCAATCCTAAAATTAAAACTAATCTCAATAAATTTATAATTAATAATTGTAACCATAGTAATAAGAATAAAATATAAATGAATCACATTTAACAAATATAACTTAATAAAGTCCTGTATTTATTCCATAACTTCCTATAAATTAAGTGTTTTAGTAATAATTGGATAAAAGTACTAAAAAATCAAGTCATTAACATGAAGAATTATTCTAAATTAATTCATAATTGGATGATAGTTAAGACATACCATAAATGAAAAAAATGTCTATAAAATCTGAACATATTAAAAAATAATCAAGATAAAATAATTCTAATACAAATAATATTAGTAATATTTTAGATAATTTCTTAAGTCATCGGTAAAAAGTAAATGATTAATCAGGACTCTATTAATCAGAATTATTTGAAGCACCTTAATTATAACATTTTGGTGCAGGTTAAAATGAATAATCTGTAATTTAATAATAATCTCTTTTATAATCTATTCATAATGAAACTATGGAAATTGTAAAAGATTAAATTTAATAATGTCATTTTGATGATATATATTAAAATGCAAGAAAAGATTCTTCTATGTATAAATCTCTTGTGAATGATAAAGATGAAGAAGACTTAGATAACTTATTACAAGATCTATATGAATGTACAACTAAATAAATACCAAAGCAAGTTATTGAATCAAACCCAAAATTGGTAAACTAGTAGGTTAAAGAAGTAATGAATAATGTTTTCGAAAAGCCTCCTTAAGAAAAATTACCATAAAATACTAAACCTGTACCATATCTAACAGGCAGTAAAATTATAAGTGAATAAAAAAATGATAATTAAAGTCCCATTTAAAAGAATAATTTATAAGATGAAGTTGCAAAATTTTCAACTTAAGAACAAAAGAAAATTAATATTGAAGATTATTTTAATGTAAAATAACAATCTTCATAAAACTAATAAAGCAACTAAACTGTTAAAACTTAATAAAATACGAATAATTAAATATTTCATTATTAGTCTATTCAGGACAAATTAAAAAACTCTATTTAAATCAAAGAGGTTGAAAATTAATAGTAATAATAATAATTATAAATGAGTTTCAATACTAAACCTTTTTAAATAAGTTCTACAGATAGAAATTACAAAGCTAAATAAAGTTTTGGTTATGAACTAACATTTAGATAACCTTAAAAACATTTACTCACTATATCACAATATCTTTTTAAATATTCCAAATTAATATAAGAACCAAATTTGAAGAGACTTTCAGAAATTAAAATTGAAGCTGTTACAGATAATAATAAAAATCATTTTATATAATGCGATTAATATGATGCTTAATAATTTAAAAAATTATTAAAAGAAAAAGATCCTGAATTTTTTTAATTATGTTCGACAAATTTTATACTTTTCGAACAGGGAGACATAAATGAAAATAATTCAGCTTGGACAAATTGCTATATGTTATCTGAAAATTTAAAATCTTATTTATTTTCTTTAGGATTTATTGTTGATGATGTAAATCTTTAAAGTATTTTAAAAGAAACTTATTTATATTAAGAAAAAAATAGCAAAGATAAATACTAATTAGATTTGGATGCAGCCTTTTATAGTGTGTATTTATCATTTAAATTGATTTATCCAGATTTTGATAAATTATTGGAAGTTGTAAAACTTTTTTCAGATCCAGAAACAAATCTTATTGAAATATCCACAGCAAAAATAGTATTGAATAAAATGATGGATGAATAGTAGATTAATAATATCTTTAAATGGCCAGATTCCTCTATTAAATATGATTAATTATTTAAAGTGTTAACTTTATTACCTTATTGATAATAATTATTATAATTAATCATATAAGCTTATATATTCTTTTTATTATTAAAAAACATATAAATATTTATTAATATTATAATAACAACATTTATTAAAAATTTATGAAATTATTTGAAGGTCAAGAATAACCAAAGCTAAAATTAAAAATAAATAAGAAGTTTGCTGAAAAGTATTAAAAGAAAAAGGAAAGAGAATTATTAGATAAGAAAGGAGAGATTCTAGATTAAGAAGAAAGTAGTGAAGATTAGATTCCAGAAGATGAAAATGGAGATTTAATAAATGACAAAGTAACATAAAAATTCATTGAAACTCTTGCCAAAATAAGATATAAACATCCAGATATTTATTAAAATAAAGAAATATTTTAAGAGGAAGACTTTGATGATATTGATATAAAAGATTAGAATTAAAAGAAGGTCACATATGCTGATCTTTAAGGTTAAGGAATCAATGAAGAATAAGAGGGATTAGAAGAGGAAGAGTATGAACCAAATATTGGTATAACTCCAAATGAAGAATAAATTAGATTGAAAAATGCTTTTATATAAGCAGCAAAGAATACTACTAAATAACAAAAGGATTTATTAAAAGTAAAGTAAAAAACAGTTAAAGAAATTGAAGATGAAAATAAAGAATTTGAAAAACTATTAAAGAAATAGAAACCAGAAGAATAAGATATATTATAAAGATATTGGGGAAATGAGGAAAATTTGGATGAGAAAGATAAATTTCTAAGAAAATATATATTAACAAAAGGATGGATTGATAAAGATGATATGAATGATATTATTGATTCTTCTGAAGATGAAGAGAAAATGGATTAATTTGAAGAAAAATATAATTTTAGATTTGAAGAAGAAGGAGGAAATTAATTGATTACTTATGAAAGAGATTTAAAGGATACATTAAGATAAGAACCAGAAACAGCAAGACATAGATAGAGATTAGCTAAAGCTTAAAGAGAAATGGAATAAAAATAATAATTAGAAAAAGAATTAAAGTAATTGAAAGCAGCAAAAAAGAATGAAATTATATCAAAATTGTAGAAAATATAATAAGTAGGAGGAATAAAAGATGCTAAATTATTATTAGAAGAAATTGATAAGAAAGATTTTTAACCTGAAGAATTTGATAAAAAAATGGAGAAGATATTTGATGAAGAATATTTTGAAGATGAAGAAGAATCTCCAGAAGAATTGGAATAAAATGAAGATGCATAAGAATAAGATTAAGAAGTATAAAAAAATGAATAAGGTTTAGATGTAGATAATGTTATAAAGATTAAACCTACAATTCCAACCATTATGAAAAAAAACTTAAATTAAGAGTAATTAATAAATTTATATTATTTTTAGAGAAATGGATGCCTTAAAAGAAGAAGATATAACAATATGGTGGTTTTGTGATTCTTGTAAATAAACAATTGAACCAAATCATTTTAGATGGGATTGTTAGGTTTGTGAAGATTATACACTTTGTGAAAATTGTATTTAATAACATCCATAACATAAATTAAAAAAGGCTTTGATTCCTAAAAGTTGCAAACCTCCTAAAGAAGAAGAAGCTTAATAATTAATTAATTAATTTAAGTATTGTAGAGCATGTTAAATCAAAATGACTAAAGAAAATGATTATTATGAAAGTATAAAGGATTATTTATGTGTTGATTGTTTTGAAAAAGATAAAAATTAATAAAGATATAAATTTATAGAAGCAGAAGTTTTAGATGTCAATAAATTACTTGAAGAAAACCCTGAATAATTAAAAGAAAAGCTTCCTTCTAATCTCAAAAATATTATTGATGAATACTATAGTTTGGACTTTGAAGATGTCATAGCAGGTGGAATCAAAACTAAATTTTAATATATTGATGTTGAAAAATAAGATTTTGGTTTAACAAATGATGATTTACTTTATGCAGATGATAAATTATTGAATTAATATGTTTCAATAAAGAAATTAGCCCCTTATAGAGATGGTTCAATTAAAATTAAGAAAAATAAAGCTGAAAGATTATTGGCTTAAATAAGAAAGAGTACTAAAAGGAATAAAAAATTAATTCTTAAAGGAATTGATCCAAAAGAATTTTAAAAAAAGAAATAAGAAGAAGAATAATAAGAATAAAAATAAAAAGTCTAATTAGAAGTGGAAGATGTAGTAGAAAATACAACCCTCTAGGTTAATTCTAAGAGACTTAAAACATATGGAGTCTGATTTTATATATTATTGTTGTTAATAGTTATTTATTTTGTTATATTATTATTCTAAATATAATTATTTTTAATTTGAGTTTAAGTTAAATGATTTAATAAGAATATTAATGACTTATGTGATGCAAATGAATAAATTCAATTCTGGATTAACTCCTAATGATTTTGTATAACTTTCTCTAAAAATTAAAATTCATATAATGCTAAAGAGTTTCAAAATTATTAAAATTTGTTAAGTTGATAGTATTATAAATTCCTTTTCATCGCCATAATAATAAATGAAGAAATATAATTGCTCTATTATCAAGAACTATTTAAATATCTTAAACAATATATAATGATTATTCAATTATATTAATCAAATTCAGTGGTATTGAATTTTGTATTCTTTTTTTACATTCCATATTCTTATGGTACAATGTCATTAGTAACAAAGGAACCTTTATATTCAGGCTTTTCTTCAGGAGAGGAAAAATCGACAGTCAAAGTAGCAGCTCTAGTTTAGGCAAAAAAGGTCTTCTTTTGAGCACTAGTTGGTTTATCATAATATGTAAAGAATTCATGATTTAGACATTCTGTAGCAGTTGGTCTCATTTTTGGATCTTTAGATAGCATTTTTTAGACAAGTTCCCTCAATATTAATTATAGATTACTATGATATTCTGTGGTATTTTCTTTAAAGTAAGAACCGAGAAATCAATATAACATTTCTTATTTAATGATAGTACAAAGTTAAAGCCTGTTCCAGGAAATACATCTCTTCCTGTTAACAGTTTAAAAAATACTGCTCCAGCACTAAAAATATCACATTTAGAACTATATGTAGTATCCTTGTCTGTCAGATTGGCTATTTCTGGAGCAACATAACCAGGTGTTCCACATTTTGGATATTTATATCTATTTAAGAATTTTATTATACTTTTTTAATGTAGTATATGTTGCTAAACCAAAGTCAACTATTTTGAGAGTAGTCAAATTGTTATTTTTTTATAATACAATATTTTCTGGTTTAATGTCTCTGTGCATAATGTTTTTTTAATGCATATGTTCAATCCCACTTAATAAAGCCTATTTAACTATCAATTTACATGCATTATTTTTTATGTTTACTCCAATGTTAAGCCAACATGTTGATTTTTAATTAGTTACTACAAATTTTTTCCTGATAATAAATCCATTATAATATAGTAGCTAGTATCTCCTTAAAAGACTTCTTTTATTTTAACAAATGCATGATGATCTAATTCATTATTAATCTCTATTTCTTAATACATAAGTTCATTCTTTTCAACACATTTTGCTGCAAAATATTAATCACTATGTTTAGATTTAACTAATAAGACTTTAGCTGAGCTACCTTAACCTAATACTTATAGTGGAGTATAAAAATCTTGGATTCTTGAAAAAAATAGTTTTCCATTTAGTAATTCCTTTAACTTATAGGTTTAGTCTGTGAAATAAGTAGTATTGTTAATCATAAAGCCTACTAAGTCTCTTTTGAATTGCCAACTAATAAGATTTGGATACGATAAAGGTAGAGAAAATAAAGGTTCTTCTTCTTTGTAAATATGTAAGAAGTCTTTCTTTAGTATAGCTTTGTAAGGAGGCTATAAATCAAGAGATAGTATAATTTCATTGTCAATAAAGTTTATTTGAGTCTTCAGCAACATAGAGTAAACATTAGGACAACAAGTCAGAAACATTTCTTAGATTACTAAAAATAATTATGATTAGCATTATAAAAATAGTTGTCTATTTATATAATAAATTTATGAATCATAATTAAAATTGTTAAATTTTATAATAAGCATTAGATTTTAATAACATATATGATTAAATCATTTTATTGAGTATAATAATATAAACTATTAAAATCAAAGTGAACACTTAAATTTAATATCTCTATTGGGAATTTGATTAGATGATTAAGATGTCCACTTTAGATAATTGAGTAATTCTTTGTCTTCTTGACGAATGATATTGCCAATTACTAACCATTAACTCTTTGGTCCATCAAATTCTTATTTATTAAGAAATATAGTGTAGGTTTAATCTACTTCTCCTGATTCAATATTTCTCTATTATCCTATAGCTCCAAATTAAGTATATAAATTATTGATTTCTGATTTCCATTTCTTGTTTATTATTGGATTTGTAATTTCCATTTTTTATTCTGAAATGTGACTAAGTTTGAAATCTTAAAGTTCTTATATATTAAGACAAGATTGTGGAGTTGAGTCACATTGTAATTAGAATGTTAATTAACCCTTTTCTATTCCATCAACTTTCACATCACAATATAAAATTTAAGCAACAACATAATTTATTAAGAACAGAATTATCATTTTTATTTGGAATAAATTTTATTTTGTCAGTTTATGCAAGACATTCGCTAAATGAGATAAAAATATGAAACAATAAAACAATCAAATTAAAACACTCCTAAGAAATGCCTCACTCCTGCCTTATCAGCTTAATATGTCAAAACTAGTCCAGGATTATAAATGACACCTCCATCTAATCCAAGACTTAAGAAAATTTGCAATAATTGTTTGAATCGATCACTGATGAAAGAAAAAGAATATAGAGTATAATAATAACGATAGGAAGATTAAGTAATTATAATTTCATTGATAAATTAGAAATTGTATTAATAAGTAAAATAATCAATAGATTAAGAAAATTAATATAGAGATTAGTTGGCTGAAGAAAATAGAAGGAAATTCTTTACTTATCATAAAATTAATGGAGATTTAATACAATTGCATTAATAAAGAGTTAAAACAGAATAATCAAATGAAAAAGCTGAAGTAGCTAACTTCTTTAAATAGTTAGAAAGGGATGACAATATTAAAAAGATAAAGTAATAAGAAAAAAAAGAATAATTACAATAATATTATTTAAGAGATCTTAAAAATTAAATAACATTTAAAGAAGAAGAAAAGATTTAATAAAAGTTATAAAATAATAAATCTGATATAATAGAATCTCAATATTGGACATAATTGGAGAATGAGCAAATACATAATCAATAAATTAAAGCTTAATAATAAAGATAAACTATAAATTATTGGAAATATACATTAAGTGAAAAATAGAAATTAAAATAATAATAAGAAGAAATGAATAAAATAGAATAAGAATAACTTAAATATTTATAAAAAAAAGATGAAGAATTGAATAAAGCTATTGAATTAGCTAAAAAATAATAAATGGAATAATTTAAATAAGAAATTTAATATCAAGTTAAAATTAATGAATAAAAAAGAAAAAATGAAGAAAACAAAAAATAATAAGAGTATTATACTATGATTTAATTAAAATAATAAGAAGAATAAATTGAAAAATAAAAATAATTGGATAAATCTATGGAGAAATAAACTTTTATTAAAGAAATAGAATAGTAGATTATTTTTAAGGTAAATAATTCTTTTATAATAATATAGTAAAAAGTTTAGAAAGAGTAAAAAGAAAAAGAATTGAGTTAAAGTGAAAAGAAATTATTAATTTAAGAAATTCCTATAAAATTGGTCTGCTGTGATGAATGCAAACATAATTGTCCATAAAAAGTTATTACTAATATATTATAATGATAATAATTTTAAATTAATGTAATTGGATGAGAGTAATAAAACAAAGAAAAATGATTAATCTATCCTTAAAGAAACATCTAAAAATAGAAATGTAATTACCCATAATTATCATGCAAGATAGTTTCTAAATTACAAGGAAATCCTGCAAGATTATAAGGTTTGAAAGATAGTTTTAAATACTTTACTTTATTAAAAAAGAATCAATATTTGGAAAGAAAACAATATAGAGTTACTCGAGATGAGACTCTTGTTTGTTCCTGTATTATGTGTCCTGAAGATTAAATATAAAAGTATATTAAATAGTTAAAATAGTCGACCTTAAGGTCCATAATATTCATATAATTGCGGTGAGAGATGCTTGAATAGATTTACTTGTACAGAATGTGATGTAGAGTTATGTCCATGTGCAGAATAATGCAAAAATAGAAGATTTTAGAAACATGATGATGCATGTGTATATCCATTACGTTGTGGAGGAAAAGGGATGGGTTTATTTGCTGGTGAGCGTATTTTGAAAGGACAATTCATAATGCAATATGTTGGAGAGATATTTCAAATAAATAGTGCATTTGGGAGAAGACGAGTGCAAGAATATTCGGTTTGAATTGTGTGTTTATTTTAGAAATCGACATGCACATATTTAATGAAACTTAACAATTAAGAAGTTATTGATCCAACATCTAAAGGGAATCTAGCAAGATTTATAAATCATTCTTGTGAACCAAATTGTATTACTGAGAAATGGAATGTGTTAGGTGAAGTATGTATAGGTATATTTGCAATAAGAGACATAAATGAAGATGAAGAATTAACATTTGATTATTAATTTGATGTATTTCATACACCATTAACTAAATGTTTATGTGGAGCAAATAAATGCAAAGGATATTTAGGTTTGAAACCAACTGATGTAACATAAGAAGAATGGGAAGAACATTTAGAAAATATGGTATGTAAAATATGTCAAACTAAAACACCTTAAGATGATGAGTAATTACTGTTATGTGATAAATGCAATTGTGGATTCCATTTATTATGTCTTATACCTCCATTATCATAAGTACCTAAAGATGCTTGGTATTGTTAAGAATGTTAGGATGAGAAAAGAATATTAGCAGAATCTGAAAAAGAAAAAGAAAAAATAGAAGGTTTATTATTATAGAAAGCAAAATAATTGAATAATGAGAAAAAAAATAAGAAAAAAATGGATTCGTCATCTTCATCAAGTGATTCTGATAGTGAATATGATAATAGATATAAGATGATGAAATCTTTAGAGAAATAAACAGTAAGAGAATATTTATAATAAAAACAACATTAATAATAATAATAAATTAATAAATTAGAGGAAGATGTAATTTATAATAAAAAAGAAGAAATAGATACTAATATTTCAGATCTACTTTTACCTTCAAATAATATGAAATCTACAGGAACTTCATTAAATAACCTAGATCAATTTGTTAAATAGTCAATTGAATTATAACCTTAAAATAGTGGTAAACTATAGTAAATGCAATCTATTGTTGATGTAGCTTAGAAAAAATTTGAAGAATAATATAATGATAATATTGAATTACAATAATAAATAGAATAGATTTAAGTATAAAATATCCAAAATATTGATACTAAAAAAGAATGTTTTAAAATTAATATACTTGAATAGAAAGTAGTCAAAAAGAATGCTCCATTAATTTATAAGATTGGAAACAAAATTAGTTTTGAATAAATAGATTAATAATATGCTGATTTTTTTAAGAAAGAAAATAATTTGACTGTTATTGGTTCTGTATAATAAATAACTATCTTTAGAACAATCTTAATTATGATTGAATAAATAATAAAAGAACTTAAAAAAGAACTTGGAATTATTGAAGGGTAGATTAAAGTACCAATTATTTATTTAAAAAGATTAATAATGAAATTGTAATTATTTAATTATAATTCTTAATAGCAATAGTTTAGATAAAAAATAAGAAGTAAACATTATATATAATAAATCATTGGCTCATAGTGAAGAAATATTTCCTATGGATAGAGCTACTCCAATTAAAATTAAAGGATCTAAATAAAATATAGAATTAACTGTTTAAGAAATATCAAAGATCTTAAAAACATTATGTGTTTAAAGATTGTATATTAGTAGAAGTGAAACTAAAACAGTTTAGTAAAATATGTATCATCTAAAATAACATGCTGAAATCCGTATTTCTAGAGATTCTGTTTATAATGCAAAAGGAGAATAAACTTAAAGAGATATAAATCATCCATTCTTTTATATATAATATAGAGAGAAAGAAGTCTGTCTAATTGGTACTCTTTAATAGATTTAAGAGACTAGTAATGCTATTAAATTACTTTTGGAATAAGAAACTAATAATGATAAGGAAATGACTTATTTTACTGTTCTCATTTCTCCATAATATAAAGAACAATGTAAATAAGTTAAATAGAGGATTGAAAAAGATTCTTCTTCAACAAAAGTATTATTGTTTGAAGCATCACATCCTAGAAAGAATATGACTATTTTGATATTATGTTTAAGAAGTCAAATTAAATAAACTAAATAAATGTTTTTTGAAATGATTTAAGAGGATTGTTAATTAAAATTAGAATAATATTAAGATTAAATGTCTATGCAAATGAGCAGATATGTTTTTAAATATCTTTAAAATACAATGATGACTAATGATATGGCATTTATGAAGAATTGGGATCTTATTACTCCTTATTTTTATTAATTTAATATTATGAAATATAGAGAATAGAAATTTGATAATTGGTTTGTTAAACGTTGTTATCCATCATTACTTAGAGATTATGAAACATAATTATATATTTAATATTGTTTAGGAAAGGAAATATAAAAGAATTTAAGTGATTAAGAATAAATGTTGAGAAAAAGGAATTTAATTTTATTAACTAAAAAGATTCTAAATGCAATATTGGGATATAAAAGACAGTAACCAGATTAAATATAAATGGATGGAAATTAATAATAAGATTCATTCAAAAGATTTAATAATTTTTAAGAAGATGATACTCCTAAATTATAAAATTTACCTTTAATTTCATTAATATCTTAACCATCATAATACAGTAAAAAAAGTGATAGATAAAAAGAAAGTAGTGATAATAGTTCATCTGATTCTAGCAATAATTAACATTAAAAAAGATAGAGTCGTTCTGATTCAATGAAAAGTAGAGATTTATCAACTAAATAAAAACATAAATCTCATCATCATAAATATAATTATAATTAAAAAAGTCCTATTGATAGATATGATAAATATAAATATGAAAAATCACACAATTATGATAAATCAAAATAGAAACAAAAATATTAGAGTTATAAATATGAAAGACCTAGAACTAGTAGAAGATATTATGAAGATAATGATTATTCCAGAAATAGGGGATATAATAAAAGAAGTAATAATCTTATCTAATATAAGGATCCAGCAGTGAAAGCTCACAAAAATCATAAGATTACAAAAGAAAAAGATAGGAATCTGTAGATTCTGATAAATATAAAAATAATAAGTATTATAGTGGATTTTAATTTGAAAGAAGACATTCCAAAACATACAAATATGATTATGAAAGTAGTTTTTCAATTTTATTTATTAGAATCTACTAAAATGCAAGAAAGTAAAGAAAGATCTCGATCAAGACAACGAAATAAATCTGATAGTAGCGATGGCTATAGAAGAAGATCTAAATCAACTCATAAATCCAAAAAATACTATAGAAAGTATTAGTGAAAATTAAATATATAATTTATTATGGATTAAGTTAAGCCAAAAGTATTTTTTGTTTTAGGAGGTATATTCTTATCCATCCATCAATATAGGACCTGGAGCAGGAAAGGGTACATAAAGTGCAAAAATGGTAGAGAAGTATCATTTTGTTCACTTATCTGCAGGGGACTTGTTAAGGGAGGAGGTATATAATTAAATATGTTTTAAGAGATCTAAAAAAACACAAAATGCTGAATTGATTGAGGAAATCATTTAGAGTGGGTAAATTGTCCCAGTAACTATGATACATAAATTTCTAGAGTCACATAACAATAGGTTTATTAGAATCGGCCATGCAAGCTAAAGGTCTAGATAAAATGTTTTTAATTGATGGATTCCCCAGAAATTAAGAGAATTTTGATGTTTGGATTAAATTGATGGGTGATAAAGTGGAATTTAAAAAATTATTTTATTTTGAATGTGATGAGGAGACCTTAAAAAATAGAATAAAAATTAGAGCATAAGAAAGTGGAAGATCAGATGATAATGATGAAACACTAATTAAAAGATTGAAAACATACAATGAATCTACAAGACCAATTATAAGTATACATTTATTATAAATCTCATTAGAATATTTTGATTCCCTTTCCTAATGTATTCATATAAAGGCAGATAAAACTGTTGATGAAGTATTTCAAGAAATTACAAAGAAGTTAGATGAAATCTTATGATATTATATTTAATAATAATACATACAGATTTATTTAACACCATCAAATAAATTAAATTTAATCATTCTTTAAGTACAACTAAATCTTATTCAATCAGTATATGATGCTATTCTTAATCTCAAAATAAAATATAAAACGTCATAATGTCCATTTTCTATATTATATCCATCACACAAATATATCATGACTTCATTATCCTTTCTAACAGATTAATAATGAAATTTAAGTTTATGAAAGAATTAATATAAATTATTTTTTTTGATGATATATTAAAGAATAATTATAGTTTTATGATTGGGGGAGTATATTATTAGAATCTTAAATTTCTCAATGAATAAATTCAATTTTGAGAAGCACTAAATGAATATTGATAAAGAATATAAGAATCTCTTTGTTTGGTTTTTAGTGAAAATAAAATAAATTCTAGAAACTCAAAATTGTTTAACAAGTTATCATAATAATACACTATTATACAATAATAAATTTTATTTTGTGATGATTAATAAAAGATTTAAAAACAGAAGAATTTATATATAAACAAGGTTCTTCTTTTACAGTAGTGAAGATTTCTAATATTAAAAGATAGTTTAACTTATTTTAAAAAATAACCTTATATTATTTACTTAAATCAATGTTACAATCTAAAATGTTTATTCCATTATAGGTTTGATTTTCAAAATTAAATTATTTATTCCTCTTAATAAAATAATATGATATCATTCAAAGTTTATACTAAATCCAAGATGTTCAATTAATGTCTTTTATATTTCTTATCTGTTTTTTCCCAAAAAGATAAGCTTAAATGAATTTTATAATTTACTTTATCATTTTTTCAAGTAGGCAAGAAAGGTTTTAACATTTTATAAAATTCCATTACAAACCCAGACATATTAATGACGAACACCTTATTTTGTCTTTCTGGAAAAAACTGTAGCACCATGTTAAGAAGACTTTTAGTCATTTAAAAATCAAAATTAGAGAAACCAAATTCATCAACATCCAAGATTGTAATATAGGAATCAACAAATCCTTTTCAAAGATCTACAAACATCCTCTAGAAAACCAAGGAAATACCATTTATATCTCTCGAGATCTCTAAATATATTAAATGAATTAATACATTTTATCAGGTTACAATTTAGATTATTTTATGTAAACAACTTATCTGCCACATTTACTTTCCCCCACAATTTCTAAAATTCCATTAAATTCTGGAAATTATTTTGCAGATAAACGATTTATTCTATGTTATCTTATCCATTTCTAAAATAAATAAATAAGTATATTATATTATACAATCCAATTCATAATAGCAGCATATGAAGCATCAATATCAAATTTAAAATTACAAAATGCTATAATTACACCCTCTTGCAATAAGCCATCTTATTAAAATTTTACTAGAGAGTTTGCATTCACATACTTTTTAAAATAATTTATAATATATATCTTAATCTTCTTAATGTAGTTTATATCATACCGATAATGTTCATTAACATATTTTTCATCAGTTTCTTTAGGTTAAAAATCACATGTGTCAATATAATTACATAAATATTTATTTAATTCTTCTTCATCTTCATCTAAACATAGTTCCGATTAAATTGATTATTTTTCAAATAAATATGTTAATACCAAACTGGAATAATTTATAATGCATTCTTGTAAAAACTTAAAAAAAAGTATAATTTGGTTATGATTTTAGATGTTAATTAATGATTAAGATTGTTTTTGATTTTTCTACTTTATAAAATACTATTTGTTAAATCATAATATTATCATCATATTTTCTATGAATTTCTTTAGTTGATTCATAAAATTGAAAAAAGTGATATTTATATTTAAGAGAATATATTTAATCTTTGAATTAACATCTTTCAATAAAGCTTCCATCACATATTTATTCTTTATCCATTCTAAAATATTCGACTCTATCATCATATTATGAATTGAGGGGAGGTAAATAATCAAATATTATATCTCCTCTTTAATAGAAACAATTAATTCCTGTATAAAAAATCTTTAAATTTGACATTTATTTAGATTAAATCCAATTCATTTTCCTAGCATTGTCTGAATATCTAAAGAAATTCCTGTTCTTGTTAATTCATAATTTAAATATATATATATATATATAAATTTCGTTTGTTTAATTGTATTGAGGGTGTGAGTCTTTCGACCCTTCAGAAATTGGTGAACGACTTCACAAGGAAGTCGTACACTCGCATTGGAGTAGTTTTCAATTAGCAATCTCGCGTATCCGTTGGTACGTCACTTACAGCGATATTGCCCCTGAATAAGGATAAGTGTCTAACAATTCAAGTTTAATTTATATATACAAGACAATTTTTTAATTTTATGGGTTTCTATTCTTCAATTCATTTACAATTTATTTTAGTAAATATAAACAAATAAAACTAAAACTATAATTGGTCATTTTTAATTAATCAAGTATTTGGCTCCCTTCTTTGCAAGAAACTGTTTAATATTTCTCATTTTTTTTTATTACTCTTAAGATCCTTTATAATATCCCCATAAATTAATCCAATTCAAACAAGCTCCAATACCTGCAAAAAATATCTATTTTCATTAATAAAACAATACATCTATTAATCCAAATTAAAATATATTAGCAAATACAAAGAAACCCCATAAACAAGAAGATCCAAATTGACAATACCAAAAAACTGTTGAATCTATTGCATTTACTTCCCCTTTGTTATAAAATTCATATTTATAAATTTCTTAACCATGAAATGATAAATCTGTGTACCATCTTACTCCAATTAAATATCTTCCGGTAACATTTTTTACCAAATAAAAATCAACCCCATGACAAATCAATAAAATGATCATCTCATAAAACATATTTTAAATGAAATATCCAAGAAACAAATACCTATAATAAAATCAAATATGATTTACGAAAAAAAGGCGCATGCTTTTAAAAGAATATGCAATAACCACATTATAGGATGACTATCATCTTCTTTTAATAAATCAAGATGGGATAAATATGTCTCTTATGGCTATACATCATGCATTTCTATTTCTTATTGTTGCTTACTCATTATTTGTATATATATGATTATTAATCAAAAAAATTAAAAATCATGATTGAATTATTGAATCAAATTGCAACCAAAAAATTTGATAATAATGATAATTTTTGACTTCTAGTTGGATGATGTATGAATTTTTGCAAAACTTTGATGAATTTATATTTTTATAGAATTAATTAAAAATTACAATATTCATTTATTTTAATATTTGAAGAGTCCTTTATATTGTGTTAATTATATCTATAATAAAATTAATTAATATAATATATCTGCAATTCATTAAAAATCTTTGACTAATTGTTATTATATTAATTTTTGCTTATCCTATTGTTTAATAATTGTAGAAAATCACTAATCTTTTGGATCATCAAGTTATCTAATACTTTAAAATCTAGTTTGATTAATGATTTCTCAATCTCAATTCTAATATTTTAATTTCTATAGTTAGTATATTTAATTTGGAAATTCTATTTAAAAATCAAAAATTAATAAAAATCATTTACATAATTCAAAAATTTATTAATTCAACAGATATTCTCTATTTTTTTAATGAACCGTTTAGACATAGTTGTTTAGTACTAATATTAATGATTAATATTTATTATACAATCTCTATTTATGTATATTTTATATAAATATATAATTATAATGCAAATATTCTTATACTTTTATATACATTATTATGTATTTTTAATATTATCTAATTAACTAATTAAACTAATAATTTTCTAGTAAAATTTATATTCTAATTTTCTTTAATTGAAATCTAATTAATTATAATGACTTTTCGCTATAAGAAGGTTCTGGAAAATGGAAGAAAAAAATATTATTTTTTTAAAATTATTTTACATGGAAGTAGAACACAATACAGGAAGTGATAATCTTAAATAATAAGCAGAATTACATAAAAATAAAGGAAACGATTATTTTAAAAGAGGATTATATTCAAATGCTGCTGAGGAATACGAAAAAGCTATAGGTATCAAAATATTTCCTATTTTAGAACTTTGTACAAATGAACCTAATTATTATGGTAATAGGGCTGCTTGTTTCCTTCAGATGAAAAAGTAATTTTTATTAATAATATAATTAGGTATAACAAATGTATAAAAGACTGTGAAAAAGCTCTTAGCTTAGATCCAAATAACATCAAGTTTTTAAGAAGAAAAGCCTTGAGTTTGTAATATATGGGACTTCTGACAGAAGCCAAGCCTATTTTTGAGCAAATTGTTAATTTAGATAACAGTGAGTAATCCCTTAAGGAACATAAATTAATTAAAGAATTAATCTATAATTTGTAGTAAACAAGATAGAAATTGGATGCTAATTAATATAAAGAAGCTATATATTTTATGGAAAAAGTTGCAAAGGAAATTCCAGATGCTGTAGACATTCTAATTCTATATTGTGAATGTTTAGCAAGAACAGGCAATATTTGTTAAGCTTAGGAATAATTAAGACTTATTTAGGATAAGTAAGGATCAAGGGCTGAAATATCATACTTAAAAGGGTTAATAGAATTATATGGAGGAAATCCAGATAAGGCAAAATCAATACTTTAGGAAGGTGTAAGACAAGATTAGAATAACAAAAAATGTTTAGTTGCTTATCAAATGGCAAAAGATTAAGATAATTATAAATCAAAAGGAAATGATTGTTTAAATTAAAATAAATTTAATGAAGCTATTGATTATTATACCAAAGCTTTAGAAGTTGATTCTAACAATTCGAAATTCAATTCTATCATATATGCAAATAGAGGATTAGCTTATTAGAAATTGAAGGATCATAGAAAGGCAGTTAATGATTTTGATAAATCAATAGAATTGAATGAAAAATATTTTAAACCATATTTGAGAAGAGGAGATTCAAGATAAGAATTAGGAGATTTAGATGGTGCTTAAAGTGATTATTAAAAAGTAATGGAATTAGACTAAGGATCAATATAATAAATGAGATAAAAGATAAATGATATAACAAGAAAATAAAAATAATTATCAAAAAAAGATTATTATAAAATATTAGAAGTTGACAAAAATGCCACAGATGCTGATATTAAAAAAGCATATAGAAAATTGGCTTTGTAATGGCATCCAGATAAAAATAAAGAGAATGAAGAATAAAAAGTATAATATTTTATAATATATTAATAGAAATTAGCTGATAAAAAATTTAGAGAAATTGCTGAGGCTTATAGTGTTTTGAGTGATAAATAAAAAAGATAATAATATGATATGGGAGTAGATCCAAATGATCCAATGGGAGGAGCTGAAGGATTTGAAACAAATATTGATCCAACTTAAATATTTAAAATGTTCTTTGGTAGTGAAGGTGGAGCAGATTTTGGTTTTGGAAATATTGGAGGAGGAGAATATCCAGGAGGATTTACAACTGTTTTTACAACTAATTTAGGTGGAATGGGTTAGAATATGAGAGGAGGATCAGGATTCCCATTTTAATTTGGAGATTTCTCATAATAAGGAGGATCAGGATTTACTGGATTTTCATTTCCAGGAATGTAATTTACATAATAATAATAAAGAAGAAAATGATCATGATTCTCTATATATATTAATGTTTTATACCTATTTTATAAATAGCTGTATCTATTATTAAAGATAAATAAATTTATCTTCTGCAAAAAAACGCAAATGAAATAAAAAGATTAAATCATGAAAAAAATTTAATATAATTAAAAAAAAGAATTATTTTCAAATTCAATGAATTTCTATCCTATAGATTTTGAAGAACAAGTCTCATAATGTACTTATTTTATTTATCTCTAGAGTTAATTAATGAACCTCTTATTGAATAAACTAATGAATCTTAATACTATGAATATGACCAAAGTGCTTAATAGGAGCATGAATAACTCAATACTTTTGATGGATACTTATAAGAAGAGCCTGTTCTTTTGTTTAATTATGTGGAAGAAGCACCTAAAAAGAGGACTAAACATGTTAACAAAAAATCAAAAAAGATTAGGAAAATTGATTCTGAAACTGATGTTCCTTCAAGAAAAAAAGTGAAATCTCTTATAACTAATAATGATGTCTTGAAATTATAGTAATGTTAGAGATTAAAAACAATAATCTCATAAATGGAGGCTCTCTTACAAAAAACAAGAACTTCAATACTCAACTAATATATAAAAAATCACCCTAATTGACCATTCTAATGATTAAATATATCGAGTTATATATATATATTTTGTAACAAAATAGTTTCAGCATAGCTTTTCTCAAAATTTAAAAAGAAGCAAAATTTTCTTAAGAACAATCTTGTAATATAATTCTCATGTTTAAATTTTATAAAAACTATTCACAATTAGAAAATTGTTTTATAAAAAGAGTGCTATTTCATAATTACATCATGTTATATTATAGTATTATACATAAACAAGATGAATATGTGATAGTTTTTAAATCTTTATAGTTATGATAAATATAGATATATGTATTTAAATTCTGATGATAAAATATGATTTTATATTATTTTTATAAACTATCTTTCTTGATATTCATTATAATTGTATTACCTATAATCAATTATATAAACAGAAGCAATTTTCATAATAATTAAAATAAGATATTTTGCAATATTACAAGCATAATAAGTTTTTTTTAAACATATGCTTATTATTCAATTAATTTAGAAATTTATTTTATTACACTTCTAATGGTCTAGAAATGATAAACAAGTAAAATATTTTAAAAAATAATGATATATAAATAAATATATTTTTTAATTATAAAAGGATACACTATTTATCATATATAGCATTTACACTATTTATCAATATGAGTTAAATAATTAATTAAAATATTCAAATAATGACTCAAATTTATATTGCTTATGAGGAGATAATTGTAAAAACTAAAGAGAAGATAGCTAGTTAATCAATTTATTGATTCTACTCTAAATTTTGAATAGTAAATAGATATGAAGATTATGCTAAATTTCCTATTTTATTTATATATGATTTCTTATAATAATAAAACATACATATTAATGAACTATTAAGGTTAATCAACAAATAACAGGAGTTTATTTAAATTATTGACAAAAAAATAAAATATTAGAACCAAACATCAATTAATTAATAATTATATTTAATAATTTATTATGAGTACATCTCTATTAAACAAATCAACAATCAATTTAATAAAAGTGTTTATAAAACTATCATAAAATTGATTGATAAAATTATATTATCATTTTCTGATGATATTGAAAATAATATCTAATCAAAAAAAGGATACAATTTTCAAAAATATATATATATAATAAATATATAATTTATAAATTCAAGGTGATTCTCAAATCAATTATTATAATTTTATCTTAATTTTGATTATTTATACTAAATACATCTTCTATAATAATAATTAAATGTAAGAACATCTTATTAGCTCTATGATGAATTAAACTAGATATTGACTCTATTTCTAATTTGATATACATGATAATATTGATTTGTTATTTTTTTAAGAGTATAATTATAATAAAAAATTGGTTTTTTATATAAAATCAATTTACTCTATTATCTGAATTTTTTTTCATTTTAATCTTGAAGCTATTTTAGTAATATTATAGGCACTTGGCATTTTAGTAGGATCAAATCTGGAAAGTAATCTGTTATCTGATTTTTCTTCTAATTATTATCTTGTAATTCTTTCATGATATCCATATTGATATCTATTTCTAGAAGCTGTTGGTTTATCAATTGCATCTCTTCTTTTATTATATTCTTTATATTATATCAACTATTCTTTTTTTTTAATAATGGATATAGATTTAAAAACCTTTTATTATTATTAATCAGTAGCTTTAAGTATAGATCTAAGATTTTTATCTTTAAACTTGATTTCATCATAATATGGTAGGATATAAACATCAGTAGGTCTTCTTAAATGTTCTTTAGTAGGTCTTCTTTTTATTTAATATTTTGATTCTTCAAAATCTAAATCTTCTATTTAACTATTATCACTTTCTATTTCAGAAATCTTAACATCCACATCACTTTCAGTAAAATCAATAGTATTTTATACTTCTCCTGCAACATTAAAAAAATATTCTGAGAAACTCTTCCAAGCCTTCAAAGCCATATAAAGATATAAATATTCCTATAGAATATTAAAATTACTTTATATATCTACTTTTTCATTTACTCTTTCTCTTCTAAAATGATGAGATCTTTAATTATATAATCTATATTTTATTTTTTTATCATTTTCTTTCATTATTGTTTTACCAGCCTCTGTAGTAATTTTGAATATACTTTCTTTAAATGCTTATTTAAAAACTTCATAAAGTAGATTTCTAAAAGTAAGACAACCTGCAAAATCCTTTTTTAATTCATAACTTGATGCTTTTTTGGCAGCATCCCAAATATTATCACCTTTTTAAGCTCCTAATGGTTCTTCTAAATCTAATAGAAAATGTCCTAAATATTTAGTTTACATTTTAGTGCCTTGAAATTCTTCAGTATATTTACACCATAAAGTTCTAAATTTATCAATGGTTTCTACATAAGTTTCTAAACAACTGCTGCTTGTATCATAAAATTTTTCAAATTCTTAAACTAATTCACAAACAATTAAATTCATCAATACTCTAGCTCCAATAAATATTAAACTATAATAAAATATAGAAGCTAGAACCCAAGGTTTGTTTTTTAATTTCATAAAATTTTATGAATCAACAAAAATAAATCTCCATCCATTTTCTGTTGTGCATTTAAAACTAGCAAGTAAACCAAAGAAAAAATTATTAAAATTTAATTAATCATTTAAAATAGATCCAGAATCAGCTTCTCCAAAAAGAGCACAACCTACATATGAATAACATGATAAAACAGTAATAAATAATCCTAAAATTCTCAATATAGCCATTTTATTGAAATATATAACATTTAATAGTTTTCTTATTCTTGTAAATTATTATATTATTAAAGACATTCTTAAACATCTATTTAATATGAAAACTCTTAACCAAATAAAATATGGATCATCTCTACTGGCTCTTGCATATCTCATATAAAAGTTAAATTAAATATCTATATAGAAATCAAATAATGATAATAATACAAAAATTAATTACATTTATCTCCAAATATCATCAAAATATCTTTTAATATGATATGTAAATAATTTCAGAATGCAATCTATAAATAAAATGAAGCTAAAAAAATGATTAAGCCAATTTAAACTTTGTAAAAATCTTGTACTCCCTTATTCAAAAAATAACATCAAAGTAACTAAAATTATGACAACAATTACATAAATTTAATATTAAACTTAGTTTTGTAATTAAACTATAAGTTGAATTTTCTAAAAGCTTTTTTGCTTTTAATCTTAAACCTTTCTTTGGTGGTTTTGAATAATTTGGAGTATCCAACATAATAATTTCTGTTAATTTTAAAAATAATTCTTAATCTAAGGTTAAATCTGGATTTAATAACTATTATTTATTTTATTAAAAGTTAACAAAAATAACTCCTGCAAAGAATTATAAGAAAAATAATGCTCCTATAAAAGTGAAACTAAAAAAAAATAAATATGAAATCCATTCATTATTAAATCGTAATGGTCCAGTCTATTCTGAAGCACTGTTTATACAAACAAAAAATGTTATACCCCAACCATCAAGGGTAGAAATTATAAATAACGATTGCATAGCTTCAATTATATTATTAAAATTATGAGGGTAAATTTTCCATTCTCCTTAACATTCCTATCTTCCAACTCCATAATTAAAATAAGAATCACAATAACCAAGTTTATCTTTATAAATAGTCATTCCAAAAATAGCAAAGATGAACCAAAAAAGTAAAATAACATAAAAGATTCTTAAGATATCTGAAAATGATTTCATAATTGCTCCTCTTTCATTGACAAAGAATCCATAGGTTGATGTTACTTTGAGTGGACGTAAATAGCCCAAATATAATATCCATTTTAAAGCAGAATGATTAGATGCTAAATAAAGAAAATAAGTAACTACATATACAAAATCAATACTAACCCAAATACTACTAAAATATCCATCCTATGCAATAGCTCCATATGTAATTATTTAAATTATTGCATCAATTAATATTAATAAATTAAATAGACATTAAATTATCTCGAAAGTATTCCAAAAATTTTAATCTGTTTCATCATAATATGTAATCAAAATTAAATTTATCAAACTACTCCATAAAACAAAACATAATAATATTTTAAATGGATAAATTTCAGAGATTAAAAAACATAACTTTCTTAGTGGATTATTTTTCTAAATTATGAACAATGAATATTCATTTTATATATTATGATATTTCTCTTTATTTTCTGGTTCAATTAAAGATTCAAGTAAACTTTTCATATTAATATTATTATTATCTTTTTTTATCTTACTCTCTTTTTTTAATTCTGATCCTTAATGATTAAAATCTAAGACTAAGCTATATTCTTTTTCTTCTATTTATTATTAATCTGTCTCTTTTGTAATATCTAAATAATTTGCAAATCCATCAAGGATAATAACAAAAGATAATCCAAAACCAAAATAATTAACAATAAAAACTAAAGAAATACAAAATAGGAAACCTATATAATAGATTCCATATGTTGTACTTAGTATAACTACTCCATACCAATCATCACCAGTAGATATATCATAAACTGCTATCCAAGATTGATATATATTACCAAAATAATGATACATTTTTAATTCAGCAGTATCAGGGAAATCAAATATTTACAATGAAAATATGGCGTAATTTAAAATAAGAAAGAAGAGTAACAATGCCATAACTGCATAATTTGGAAATGTTTAATAAGATATCATCATCATATTTTGTGCAAATGTATTATATTTGATGACTCTAAAAAAAAAGAGCGATTTTAAAATTCTAATATATGTAAAGATTACAAATTTTGGTTGTTATGCATCATAAAGTGAAAAAAATAATAGTCTTTCTATTAAAACAAATGTAATTATGATAATACTCAAAAAATTAGTAAAATTATATATATACTTATGTATTGTCAGCAATTTCAGTATTGTTTCCAAAAATAAAAGCAAAGTTACAACTAAATCAAAATAATCTGCTATGATTTGATCATAAAAATCCGAAAATGTTAATATTAAAATGTTTAAACAAACAAATCCGTCTAATAAAATCTAAATAATTGAATTAGTTATGAAATAATATAATTAGTATTATATTTTTATTAGATAAAAACGTATTCCCTTTAAAAAATAATAATTCCATTATTTGTTTAGATATTAAACTACTGATTCAAATTGAAATTTCTCTATTAAATCATTACCAGACCATTAAATTAAATAAATTCCTTCTTATTATTAATTTCTTTATTAATCATATAAATCTTCATTATTTGTAACTTCTATAACTTCATTTTTCAATTCAAAATTTATTATTTCAACTACATCATTATATTTTAGATTAAATTAATTTTAATTTATACTTGTTCTGCTTTATGTATTAATTTATAATTATTTTTTATCTTAATTCTTTTTCATTAAAGAATTAAAATATTTATTTTCTTATTAAGAATGTGTAACAAAAATATTGTTTCCAATATTCTAAGATTAGAAATGTTCATGATTATATTTTGCAGAACTTGAGTCTATACTACTTTCATTCATACTTGAATTAGCTAAGCTTTCAAAGAACTCTACTTCATTATCCATAAGTATTTTTTTTTTTATATAAGGAAATTTAGGTTTTGGTTTATCTTCTGTTTTAAATGTATTTTATACTTTTTAAATAACAAAATATTATTATTATAAATGTTACTTTTTAATAATTTTTCTATCATTCTATTTCTTTTTAGGCTCTGTTTATAATTATATATCTTAAATAGATGTAAATTCATAGGATTCATCATATCGAACATGCTTATAAATACTCAAATAATCAAGACTTCTTAAAGTATAGAATGCTTCCAAATTATAAAATTTATTTTCATTTTAATTGATAATATTTTATATCTACTATTATAATTAATGATTTGGGAAATAAAAAGAAATAATCCAAGATTCATGAGTATTTTATTTCAAAATTAATTCTCTTACATTCTATAGATCTATTTGTTATCTTGCAGATAAAAGTTTAACATTATTATGTTCTTGAATTGGTTAAATATTTAGTTTTTACTATTTGATTTTTGGGTCTACTTTTGATTATGTAAAATATTTCAAGTTTTCATAATTTTAGATTTATAGTTTTATGGCTTTCCATAAATCATTTTCCAATAATTATGACAAAGTAATTTTTATTTAATCTTCTGAAAATTCAGGTTTCACAGGATTATTTATATAATATTCTTAAGTCTTATGATAATTGACCTTTAAAACAGCAATTAAAAGTTGAAAGTAAAATTTATTAATTGCAAATATGATAAATACATATAAAATGCAAACAAATGGATTGAATTATTTCATAAGCATATACATAGTTATAGTCCAATCATTTACTATACTAGTTCTTATTGTTTAAAAATAAGCAAAAAGGATATTATCAAAATTAGTTGGAACATCAATACTCTGTAATTGTCTTGCACATACAAAATCAATCTCACATTCTTTATATCCACAAACAGCAATTTCATATGAACTCAATGAAAAAATTCCTAGTTCCTCATGCATACATCTATATTTTAGTACTCCATTAAATGCATATAACATAAATATTGCAATCAAAATTGTAAATAGAATTAATATAAGTAAATTTTCTACAATTTGTTTTACTGCTTCTTTAATAGATAATAATATGATATTTAATTTGTTACTGATACGTCCAACATAGATAGGTATTCTGATTAATCTAAATGTAGATACATCAAAGGGTATGTAATGATTTTATAAAATATATAAAAGATAAAGGATAAGGATTAATAAATCATAAATATTCCAAAATGATTAAATGTACTTTTTAAAACCTTATCCAGCTAAATGTATAATTGCATCAATAAAATATAAAACACAAAATAAATATTAGTATTCGTTTATTTTAGGTGACTCTTTAGTAGATCTATTCAAAAATAATATTATATTTGCTAATGTTACGAACATTTCATATAAATCAAAAATAGTGGATTATAATAACTTGTAACTTAATATTTCTAATGAAATAATTATAGTAAATATTAATTTTCTAATAAATAAAAATCTATGTCCATCTTAATAATAAGAAATCTCCTTTATTAACCATTAAAAATTATGGGAAACTCTTAAATCTATAGAATGATTCAAATTTTTCTACTCTATCAATAATTAGTATTCAAGTTCAGGTTTGAAATCAAATCCTACATTTTCATTGCATTATTCATCCTAATCTATCTACTATATAGTATTTTCATCTTTCTCTATTTTTGTGTTTTCAATTGATTACATTTATTCATTTTTCTGTTGCATTTCATCTTATATTTCCTCCAAACAATTATCTAGTTCATATAATTCAACAAAAGCTTTTTTAGATGCTTATCTGGAAAATTATTCGTTTAATTTTATGATTGAATGCTCTTATTCAATATTGAAAGTATTATTGATTTCAGATTCTGATTATTCCTCCTTGATAACTTTATTTTAAATTAAATGATCTTCTGTTATATGAGGTATCGTTTACTAGTTAATGGTGTTTTTATTGATTTATTTTTAGATAGATTTTGATTAGTTTGATTACTTCATGCTCTCTTTCATTGTTTAATTAGTTAATATTATTTGAGAATTATGTCTTTTTTTATCTACAATAGTAGGTAGCTTTTATGAGACAGCTTTTTTAAATTATTTGACATCAATTTTCTAATCGAAAGGGGAATCATTAATTTTTGTTTTATTTATGAATTTATCTTTTTTAATTTCTCTAGATGGTTATGATTCTTGAGATTCTTAATGTTATTACTTTTACTCATAGAATCTTTCCTTATTATTTGACATCTTGATTAACACTTAACTTTATTTGATTTATTAATCTAAATTTTAAAGTGAAATATAAATATTCTAAATTACTTAAGTCTCATATACTATATTTATTATTCCATGAAGTAAATACAACAAATGGGCTATTTATTTAAGAATAAGTTCTATTATAGCAAAAATTTGAGTAAATATTTTTTCAATTTCCGTTATCCAATATATACTTAATAATAGGACAAGACATGAAAATAAATAAATATTAAGTTATTTGATACAACAAAATCATTAAATGACTGTTATATCATTCTAAACAAAATACTTTTTATTTCTAATAATATTTTTATGAATCTCAAATATGGAGACTAATAATAAGATTTTATATGACTATTACTTTCAATAAATTGTTTGACCATAATATCTCTAATATTTAAATCAAAAATGAGTACTGGCGTTGAATAATTTTACATTATCAATTAAATAAACTAATTCTAAATTTGATTAATTAAGATGAAGTTTAATAATAATGCAAAAAATATTTAATTATTATATATCATTAAAAGGAAACTGTGAATTGAGCAAAAACAGGTCTATGATCACTACCTAAGATATCGAAATTTGCATCATAATTTTATAATTTAATTTATAATGGTGCATTTTCGATGAAACCTTGAGTAGTTGATGAAGTTTTCTATTGTTTATATTCTTTAAATAGAATTCTATCACACCATCCAGGTATTCTGAAATCATTTCCTATAGCCCATTAATTTTGGTATTCTAATAGTTTATAGGTTGGTGGAAAGAAGATCATTCCTTCATAAAAAAAGGATTGATAATCTATATATAATTTATATAATAATACTTAATGAATTATTTCTACTTAAATACATCTAATCCTTTGAAAGCCATCCAAAAAAATCAGAATGATTTCTAATAGTTTAAGTTGTTATTTTTTAATCTATCCTTGAATTAAAATCACCAGTCCATATCAAATAATCATATGGTACATTCTTATGACTAGAGAAAACTTCATTTTCAAAATGAGTTTCAAGTTTAGAGAACTAAGTCTATCTTTTAGCTTCTGAGTTTTATCCACTTTCAAGATGACTATTTGCAAATAAGAATATTTTATCATTAATAGTAACTGAGATAGCAATACCTCCTTTATTACCTACTATTCCCATAAAGCCTTGTGAAAGTGTATATGGTCTTCCATTTTTTATTTTAGGGACCAATAATACATGAGCAAATACAATTAAATGCATAGCATTCAGTGATGCAGATTAAACTTTAACGTAATTTTTGCCTAGTTCTTCTTTTAACTTGGATTCCCAACTTCCTTTTGATTCACAAAGAAGTGATACAGCTATACTTCTTGAACATTCTTAAGTGCCTATAACAATTAAATCATGATGGATTTATTCAATATTAAAAAGTCTTTTTAAAGAATAACCAGGTATTATTCCATGCATATTCCATGTAATAACAAGTATTTTAATATCATTATCGAGAGTCCATTCTGATTTTTTTTAGTTGATCCATTTATATGAACACTTATGATTAAGATGTAACATCAGTTAATTGAGGTGTCCAATTAATTTTGAATCTTAAGAGAATTCATTGAAAAATCTCTGATTAAATAATGGAAATGGAAGAGGGTCTTCTCGAGGATTAGATGTATTGTTCATAATCAATATTTTTCAGTTTTGATTTTGATTTTATATTAAATATATACTCTATTATAATAGATAGGTTCTTTAAAAAATAATTTTGAAATCATATATTCATTCAAGAAAAAGATAAAGAGTTATCCTCTTCTATAATAACTGAAATCAATTAAATTTTCATTACTTCTTCAATCTAATAGCCTTATTTATGTGTAGTTTTGATAAATGTGGAGATTACATATATATATTTACAATAAGAAAATAAGAATATAGAAAATAATATATTTCAATAAGAACTAAAGAGATATAATAAATCTATTTTAAGTAAATTTAAGATATTTTAGTATTAGAATGTGATAGACTTTATTTAGGAGTAAATATCATTAACTAGTATTCTAAATAGTTATTTAAATATTAAATTATAAATTTAATTCATAATAGTAATTATATCTTATGTAAATTAGTCCCCTAATTTTAATGATTTTAATAAGATAAGATATTTCAATTATATTTAAAGGAATGTATTAATTCAAGTTTTAAAACTAATATCATATGAATTTAAAGTAATGAAATGATTATTATATTAAAGAACCTAGAAATGTCATATTTAAAAGAAATATAAATCAAATTTATATATTAAAAAGTATTTTATTTTAACAAGAATAATATAAGCAAAATAATTATTAGAATCATAATTATGATAAAATATTAATATTATTAAAAATAAATACTCTTTATAGGTATATGTAATTATGTAAATGTTCATTTCATGCTTTAGTTTTCTCCAAATTTCTCTTCAATCCATCTAAGAGTAATTGATCCTGGTCTTTCAATTGGTAATCCGAATGCTCTTGACCAGATAAGGTTGGCCATACATCCGAGGGCTCTTGATACTGCGAAAACAACAGTATAATATTAGAATTCTTTCATTCCATAGTGATAAAGAAGTACACCTGAATGTGCATCAACATTTCTATGATAATTAATATATAATTACGGCCATGGGTTTTAGATTTTTCCAATAGTCTTCAAAACAGGTGGAATAACATGATAACATTATCTGACTAAGTCAACCAAAGGATCATTCTTGATGTGTCTAGCAGCAAAGTCTTTTTGATGAATGAAACGTGGATCTGTATATCTAAGAACTGCATGTCCATATCCTGGAATGACCTTTCCTTCTCTAATGGTTGTAAGAACATAATCTTAAATTTTTTCATTTGATATATTCTCACCCAAGGATTCCTAAAAAAGATATTAATATAGATATATTACTCTCATTTCTAATAACCATTTGAGTACTTCTTAATTTGCAAGACCATGTAATGGACCAGCCAATCCATTAACACCAGCAGAATATGACAAATATGGATCTGCTAATGCTGATCCAACCAAATGTGTTGTATGAGCACTCACGTTACCTCCTTCATGATCAGCATGAATGCTTAAATATCCTCTCAAACATTCTCTAACTTCAAATTTATTATATCCAAGCATATGGGCATAATTTCCTGCCCAATCTAAATTTTCATCAGCAGATATGATTTCACCATTCTTAAATATATAAACAACTAAATACCTTGTATTTGTGTCTGTAAATTAAGGCAGCAACTCTTGGGATTTTAGCCAATAAATCCATGGCATCTTCATAGAAGTATTCCCAATATTATGGTTTTGAAACTTTTCCTTAGTCATAAGCTTGTTGGAATTGAGAGTCCTTTTACAAAAACAATAATGCTTATGATAACATAGTCATTGGATGAGCAGTCTTTGGTAAGTTCAAAATGAACTTTTGTGTCTCACTATCCAATTATCCTCTTTATTTCCATTCTTATTGAACGTCAGCGAATTCTTGTTCAGCTAGAAGATATATAATAACATATATGTACATGGGAAGTCACCTGTGCATAACAACCAAAATAAGGCTTCTGGTAAAGGCTCATGTCCATTTTCAGACTTTTATAGATATTCTTACAATTCAGGGATATTGTAATCTCTCATTGTGATACCCTATTTGTTAAATATGAATGTATTACTGTTTTAGCATCCAACAATGATGCATCATAGAAAAGACCGAACACATTTCTCATTCCTCCAATTGCTTAGTCAACTGTCACTTTACACACTTCCTTTGCTCCATATCTCTTTCTGACATCACGTAATAAAGCTTATTTAACAGGCACAAGCTCTCTCATTCTCTTCTTTAAAAGTCCATGTGTATTGTTATACACACTTCTGTAAAACATTTACACTGCACTTCTAGAGTTAACTTACATGATGATATATTATAATTATTATCAAAATTCAAGATATTATTTGCATTTATACATACCCTATGCGCATTAATTATAGCATAATTAAAAAGATTCGCTAATTCCCTAATTATTATAAAAATTATTTTTATAATTTGATATTTATTTTGTGGTTAATTTTTTATTGAAAACCATTTATAGCACTACCATTATTATAAAATATCATCTAATAATTTTGTGAAATTTACAAAACTCAATCCTCCAATCTTCATATCCCTTCTTCAAATAGTTTTCAAGATAAACAAATATTAATAAAATTGATTATGTCTTTATTAATATTAATATGTCTAATTTACTTTAATTATATCTTCTATAAAATTAAGATAAAAAATGGAATTAAAATACAAATGCGATCAACGATATACTTATAAATTCAATAATTTTAACTTATATTATATACTAAAAATTAAGAAGTAATAATTAGTTATTATATTATTATGGAAAAAATATCTTTTTAATTAATCTTCTTAAGTGTCCCTTATTTTTTAATTAAAAAACAATTCAATATTACTCCTCAATTTGATGATTAGATTAATTTAACAATTTATTTATTATTAATTATACATTTTAGTAATCTATAATTCTCCTCTAAGAAGTAGTCAAGTGTTTCTAATGAAGAATATAAAAACTAGTCTGCAAAGATTTTTTCAAAATTATTAGATTCTCATTATTATTTAATATCTCTCAATATGAAAATACAATTATAATAAATATCTTATTATAAATGAATCTAACCAAAATGCAATTGCTTTATTAAAAAATATGAAAGGCTTAAATTAGAAGATCTCTTTATATGAATTCTTTTAAGTTATTATTATTTAATTGAATATCTCTAAAATATAAGATAATTACTTTTAATAACATTATCTTTTATTATCATTCATTATTAAATGAAGAAACATATGTTATTTAACTATTATAAACTACTTAAAAGTCTTGTTACTTTAAAAAAAAATATTAGACATTTAATATTGAGAAAAGAAAATTATTCATAATTTATAATAAATTCAAAATCTGTTAAAGAATGAAATAATTTATTAGTATTAAGAATAAAATAACATAATATCATAAAATTTGAGACTTATTAAAAACAAATAATCATAATGATATAATCTCAAAATTCAATAAACTAAAATAAATTTAGAGATATAAGTCATTTATATTAAAATAAATTATGGATCGATGGAAATTATAAAGAATTATTTGAATTGATAATAAGACTTAATTCCAATTTAAATATTTTTAGTAAAATTTATTTGATAAGGATGATTAAATGAAACAATATTTAGTTAATAGAGTTAAAATAAATTAATATTGCATGGGAAAGTGATTCCAATAGGAGAGCACGATTGAAATATTTGAAAGAATTCCTTTGTATAAAATAAATCCTAGAGATTAGAAGGGTATAATAAACAATCTTAGTTTTAACATATTAGTAACTTTAAGCTGATTATAATAAATATAATTAATGGATCAATGTAAAACTTATTCTCGCATTCGATCAATATCTTCATATCAGTCTAAACATAGAGTTTCTAATAAGTCTCGTGATTAAATCAATCCTTAAAAGAGGTCTGTAACATTTAGCGGTGATGTTGATTTAATACAATCAATAAGTTGCCAAGAAAATTTGCTTGATTTAATAGGAAAGGTATAGAAATAATAATAATAATACCTTTTATCTCTTTAAAATTCTTAAATGAAACTACTTCCACCTTTGAAAGTTGGATAGGATGAATATAAGATATAAAAGCAACAAGCAAAAAAATAAATTAATAAACAATATAATGAATTTTCTATACCTATGGATCCTTACAAAAAGCAATTGTATTAAAAATTAAATATATATGGAAAATTCATAGAGCCAACCAATTATAAATAAGTTGATTACTAATAGATTTAGACATTGTATATTTTAATATTAATATATTAGCAACCCAACAATTTCTTAAATATAATTTTAAGAATGCAATCATAATGAATAACCTATCAAAATATAAGAAAAAGATATATAATAAAAAATGGATAAATAATTTTAATAAAATAATAATAATAATATATCAAAATTTGATCAACAATATAATTCTAACTTTGATCATGATTATGATTTATTCTATGAATAATAGAAAATGAATAAAATTATTAATGAAGCTTTGAAATTTAAGTAATAAAAAAGAGATCCCATAAATGCATCTAAAAGTGTAAAATAGAAAAAAACATAAATGAAAATTTATCTTGAAAATCAATACTAAAATGCATTAAAATAGATTATGTAAGAGGTTAATGTAAATAAAGATGAGGATAACCTATTTCTAAAAAAGAAATTTTAGAAAAAAATGAAATTAAATCCTTTTTTTAATAATTCTAAAATTACTTCCTAATACACAAAGAAAGCTATTTCTTCTTCATTTATTCATCCGGATAGATAAGAATTTGTTAATAAGACTTTAGAGATATATGATAGATGCAATACTTCTCTTAATTGATAAATACAATATTATATATTTTATTAATTAATGCAATAATCTTTAATTGATTCTAACATTATTTAATCTACAACTGTTAAAACAATAAAAGAACTCAAAAAATTGGGAGACTCTCGAACTAACTTAGAAGCTGATGAGAATGAGATAAATGACTCAACTTTGAGTGGAAAAAACACTCCTGAAGATGAAACATCAAAAATATAAAATACAAATATTACACTAAATAAGAAACACAAATTATCATTCAAACTTTAAACATAGAATAGAATCACTTCAATGAAATAAACAGTTATAAAGACTTCTGATGATGTTGCTGAATAAAGTAATGGATTCAGAAAAGCATCAATAAAATAAGGTTCAATGAGACTTTAAAAACCTTAACCTTAATTATAATTAGAATAAAATGATCCTATTGATATGAATAATGCACTTATTTTAATATTAACTAAATGCAAAACGATTAAAGAAGAATTTGAGTAATTATAACTCACTAATACATTAATAAATAAATATATCAAAAATGATAAATACTTTCATTTTTCATTTTAAGTATTTTTGGATAATTTAGTATCAAAGGGTAAATTAGCTTAAACATTAACTAATATACAAAAGCCAATTTTACAAAGAATAGAACAGTTTACAATAAATCATGTTAAAAGATGCATATAAAAAAATTAAATATCTCAATAATATGAAGAAAAAGCTAAGCATGTTGACCTTCTTTTTAATCGATATTATAAAGAGTTAACAAATATTGAATAAAATATCAAGTATTTCTGATCTATTTGATTAAATCTGTATTTTAGTATTTAAAGATTGTTAAGAAATTCTCTTTATAAAATATTTCACAATATTCTTTTTCTTATTTTTCTAATTCTAAAATTAGATTTTTCAAATTCTAGAAATAACAGCAATTTTAAAAAATATATCATAAAAATCTTAGACACGTTTATGAAAGAAGAAGTAATCAATGTCTTAGATAAAATAAAATGATAAGCTTAGAAATAATAACAGGTATTATTAATCAAAAACAAAGTATTTAGTTTTATATTACTCTAATTATTTTGAAATATACTTTATAATTTTATATTATATGAAAATAAAACGATAAACGAAAGTGCCAGATAAAATGGTTTTACAATTCTTTGAGTTTTTATAAAATATAAAGTGCAAGTAACTTCTCATGTTCAATAGGTAAGAGATTTTTATCAGCAGTACAATAGGACATAATATTTTTGTAGATTCTAAATCTAAATAAACTTGATAATTGCAAGACTTTATTAGTAAAACAAGGATAAAATTCTTGATAAATATAGAAGGAAATTGTTTTTAAATTGATATATAACAAAATATTAAGAAAGATCATTTCATTTTTTAAGGTTCACTTATTTCTTTGAACATAAGAAGTAGTTTGTAAAGGGCTTATGATGGATTTTTATGAAGCTCTTCTTTAGAAAATAGGATTCTTTTTTATCACATAAGGATCTTCTTCTTGGCTTTAAAATTAGATTTAAATTTAACTCCGAGCAGATTGAATAGGTTAAGATTTTGATGGACGTTTAGAATTCATGCATCCCATTTATTTATTTTAAATATTTATTTAAAACTAAATTATTCATGCTTATATACATGAACATATCCATATGAATTATCATTATTGACTAAATAAGATAGTTTTGTTATATAAATTAAGAATAATACATAAGTAGTTGTTTAAATAAATATAGAAAATATGGGTATCAAATTTGTGTATTTTATTAACTTTCTGATAAACTTTTAGCTGAATATTCAGTTTGTTCTATCTCTTCTTCAGGAGTATCATATAAACTAAGATTCTTAATAGCAAAGCTATTTTTTCTATAGACAGTTTATAATGGGGAATCATTTTCGATTTGTTGCATTATTTCATCAAATTCAAATTTCGACTTACTGTAATGTGTACTCTAATTCATTTAGTAATTTGTAAATTTATTATTATTATTATAAAGGATAATCAGGAATGCTTTATAATGTCTGAAATATCTTCTATTTAATTATACATTATTTTACATATTTATAATATGTCATATATCTTCTTTATTAAAAAAATAATTATTCATTATAGAGAAAATAATAATAAAAAAATCAGTCAAGAAAATTATAATGAATTGACTTGAAATCTTGAATAGGGTTTTTGTAATTGTACAAGATTGATTTATAGAATAACAAGTTATACTTTATTGCTAAATCTTAGTTTTCAAATTCTTATAATTATTATTCTGATTGAAGAGGCATAATAAATAAGTCTTAAGGATTGGCATCAAGAGTAGAAACTCTCGCTCTTTCTTTTTATTATAATTAGATTGGACTTTTTTTATGTTAAGAATATCTAGAAAATTTTGAAGGTTCATAACTAATTGAATATCCTACTTTTACACTTTCTTTACTGTTTTTTTCATCACTCAGACTACTTTATTATTGATTATCATCACTAGAATGATAAACAGTTTTATCTTGAGACTCTGGAGACACATATGTTTTATATAATTTTTTAATAGGAGTTTGTGGTTATTGAATAAGTTTTTATGATGATTCAAAGGGGATATTATTTTAAGTTTTTCGAAATTGTGATTTAGATTTGCTAAACACTTTTGCAGATTTAGATGTTTTAATGGATTTATTAGAATTCATTTTCCGATTTACTTTAGCTCTTTTATTCCAATCAAATGGCATATTTGATTATTGGTTAACAATAGTAAATAACTCTTTTAATTATGAATAATTAGGTTTCATTTTAGAAGACAGTCCCTTGACATACTTCATATATCTATACTAATAATAAGTTTAAGGGTTTTTACTTTAAAATTGAATTTGGTAAGTTTTCACATAATTCTTCAGGAGACATATCTTTTTTCAAAAGTCCAATTTTTTCAATTCTCTCATTGTCATCCTTCTCAACATTCATCCAAGGTAAGCTTCCATTTAGAAAATAAAGTATTATATAACCTAAAGATTCTAAATCATCTTTTTTGCTTTATTCTTTTCCTAAATGAGCAGCTATACTAGCATATCTAGTAGTTCCAATAAATGAAATTTTCTCTTTGTTTTTTTTATTTGATTCTAAATTCTTAGCAATACCAAAATCAATTAGATAAATTTTATCTGATTGTGATGCTCCTAAGATATTTTCAGGTTTAAGATCTCTATGAATAATGTTTCTTCATATTTTGATAAAATTCTTACTTATTATGAATTTATTCAAGTATTCCAATCATCTAATAAGCAATATTACAAACACATTCATATGAAAATTTCTTCATTTTTTTCTTATAATGTATAAGATCTTTTCCCAAAAGATTTTGGATCATAATCTTCATACCTTTTTCTGATCCTGACCAAAAAACTTTAGGTACACATGGAACTCCTTCTAATATTTTCAAAATTTCAATCTAATAACAATTTATTCATGAATATACCTCTCTGGTTAAACTATTGAAATATGAAACCTCAGTCTTTTCTACTTTAATTGCTACATTCATGTTTTTAGTCTAAGATTTCCCCAAATAAACTTTTCCAAATGATCCCTATGCTAACATAGTAATAATTTGATATTCTTAAGCAATGACATCTCCAGGCTAAAAGTCTTACATCAATCTTAATATAATATTTTTAATTGATTATTTTAAATTGATATTACACTAATGGAAATAAAGAGGTAAATGTATTATCAATATTATATAGATATAAGTATAAGATAGTATTATGTATATTAATGATTATATATCGTAAATAAATGTTTTTAATCTATCAAAAGTAAGGACAACTGTTGAGGGAAGAACAGAAAATTCCATTTTAATTTTCTATATTTAGTGTGTATATTTGGTACCATTCTTTGACCATGATAATCCTTTGTTATAGATAAATTTAGATTAAGTTGATTATTCTGATATGGTAGTGGGTAATCTTGCTGCTGGATAATGATCATTCGAATATGGTTTTATATTGGAATTACGAGAATTGCCAAGTGGTGAGTTTATTTCTACAATCGAAAGCTCAGGACTTATTGGCTAATTTTATATGCATCCCATTAATCTATCTTATTATTATTAAATTAGAATATTAATTAAATTATGGCAAAAAATAAAAGCAAAGCTGTTCATGCAATCAAAATTAAACATAGTGCTCCTTTTAGTTAAAAGATAAAAAAGAAGGAATAAAAGGGATAAAAGTAAAGGAGAGTAGGAGGATTTAAATCATTAGCAAAATTTGATGTGAGTAGAATTAAGAATAAAGAAAAAAGAATACAAATTTTAGAAAGAAAATAAAATGAATAAAAGAAAACAAAAAAAATGGAAAAAAAAGAAAAAGAAGCAAATCCTGATAGAGAAAAATTAGATCCATTAACAATTGATGATAAAAGAGAAATTGATGAAAATTTTGTTTTTGATGAAGATGATTAAGAAGAATTATAAAATGAAGAATTAATTGATGAATTCTAAAATTATTTCTAAGAAGGATAAGATCCTAAAATTATTATTACTACAAGTGAAAGACCTTCTAGATAATTATTCGATTTTTTAAAAGATGTTAAAGATGTTTTTGGACCAGAAACTCATTATTGGCCTCGTAAATAATTTTCAATCAAAGAAATATAAGAATATTCCATTAATAAAGGATATACTGAATTATTAATATTTAGAGAACATAGAAAAGAAGTTAGTTAATTAATATATATTCATTTACCAAAAGGACCAACATACAAATTTAAATTAACTAATTATACACCATGTGATGAAATCCATCATCATGGTAGATTTACAGATCATAATCCTGAATTGATTCTAAATCATTTTAATACAAAAGTAGGTAGAAGAGTAGGAAGAGGATTAGCAGCTCTATTTCCTTCTAAACCTTAGTTCAGAGGTAGAAGAGTTGTGACTTTTCATAACTAAAGAGATTTCATCTTTTTTAGACATCATAGATATATGTTCTAAGAAGAAGGATAAAAAGTAGCCTTATAAGAGTTAGGTCCTAGATTTACACTTTAATTAAAATAACTCAAATTGGGATTATTTAATGATGATGGAGAAATAGAATTCGAAGCTAGAGATGATTACTATGTAAAAAGAACTGCTGCTTTTTTATGATATTTATAATATCTTAATTTATTAATCAACTTTAATCTTATAATTTAAATTACCAAAATTCTAATCTATTAAATATATTATTCAAAATTCTTTTATGATCATTAATTATGTGATTATTTTTTCTATTCATTTATTTAGTTTCTTATATTATCAGTTTCAATGATATCAATCAATCCTTGATAATTATTTAAAATAAGTACTTCTTTTTCCATCTTTTTCTTTTCTTTCTAACACCATTTAGCAGCTTCATTTTAGCAAATTTATTAAAAATGAATATACTATTATAATGATTCTAAAAAGGCCTAAGAAACCTCTACATAATCAAAGCAAGTTGGAATATCATATTCTAACTTATAAATTATTATATTAAAGACAAGAATAAATTTAAATTAAGAAATTATATCTGGGTATATCCTATATCTATCTCTTAATAACATTTATAATTTAAAAGTTATTTCTTCAAATTCAACGATATCAATGGATTTATAATATTCTAATCAAAGTAGTTGATAGAGATATCTTAATTTACAGTTATCTGAAGTGAATATATTTTAATGGCTTTTGATTCTTAAATAATGTTTTGAATTAATTCATTAATAGTTTTTTCATTAATTTTATTTTATTCTCCTTTTTTTCAATATTTTAATATATAACTTCATTTATTCTATTCTTTCTTCTATAACTATACCTTCTTTTTTTCTTATTATTTATCTTTTATACCTTATTTACATTATTCCATTTATTCGCAATTATTTTTTAGTTGTTTCCAATAGCAAAAATCGAGTTCTAAAATACATGAGTAGCTTATTCTATTATTGATTGGTGATATAAATTGAATAGTAAGATTGGGAGATACAAAAATGATAACAATTTCCAATATTAAATATTAAATAAATACTAGTTGTTTAATTAATGTATTTCCAACGAGCAACTAATTCTGTTCAAAGAAACGTTCCTTAAATTTAAACACAAATAGCTATCAGCAATCAATAATATGTATTGAATATTAATGATTTTAGCTGTCTCCTAATGGTAGGTATTCCTCTAATCAAAGTTAAGTGAAGTCAATATAAGAGACTCCAAAAGAGAATTTTGTAAAGGAACAATTAGATTCATTATATTTCAATCTGAAGAAGGAAAATCAAGTTCTAAAAGAGAAATTATAAATGATTAGTTCATAAGTAGAAGAAGCAGAACAAAAATTATAAATATATAAAAAAACTTGATATATGATAGATTTGGAATTTCAAAATTATATATATATATATATAAATAGAGATTAATAAGTATACAAAAATTATGTGGTTTAAAAATGTTTAATTTATAAAATTATGAAGAAAAATTGTGAAGTGTAAAACTAATAACTTAATCCAGAGTTATATTCTGCTCCTTAGAAGATCAAAGAAGAAGTGATAAATCCAATTATAAAAGACAAAAAAGAAAAGAGAGAGTTGAAAGTAAAAATAAATGAAAGAGCAATAAAGAATGAAGATTATAATGAATTAAGTATTTAATTGGATGAGAAAAGAAAGAATATAAAAAATAAATATAATGAATTTTAAATAAGAATGAAAGAAGTATTGTAGAAGTTTATCTATTATAAAAACAAAAATTTCATGAGATTCAATCAGAATTATTATGGAAAGAATAGAAAAATATTTAAGTTTTTAGAATAATTGGTTAAAGAATTAGGTTTGAATACAAAAGAAGTTGGATTATTGGAAAAGGATATAGTTATATATAAGAAAGAGGATGAAGTGAATAACTTTTCTATATATCTACCTTAGAAGAGAAATGTTGATCATGAAAGATAGAAAAATAATTAAGAGAATTTATAAGAGGATAATTAATAAGAGGATAATTAAAAAGAATAAGAAAAGATTTAGATTGAATAAGTTAAGGATTAATTGTAGTAAAATAAAAGACCTCCATTACCTCCAGATGTTATTAATCAAGTAATTATTGAGAGAGAATGTAATAAAGAATTAACAATTTAAATTATATTTGAAAAACCAGAAGATTATGGTTATGAGATTAAAAAATATACAATATTTTAATTAGATATGAATGATACATCATTATCATTATAACCAAGTAAAAAAGTAATTTTAGAATTTGATAATAATAAAGAAAATGTTTAGAGAAAGAGTTTAGTTTTTAAAAATAATCCTAAAAATTAAGGAGAATTAGGCTTTAATGAAATGATATATCTTTCAGTAGAAGCATTTAATTGTAATGGATGGTCTTCAGATTTAGAATTGTCACCAGTCAAAATATTTCTAAAATCTTTTCAGCCAAATTCTTTATTTTTAAAAGGAACAATTTCTACAAAATTATTTAATGAAGATTCATCTTTTATTGAATTAATAGATATTCCAAAAAAGATTGAAATAAATTAATAATCTTATTATGTAATTGAAGACTTTAGTATAATATTAATAGAGGAAAATAAAGTTAAAATGGTTAGTACTAAACATGGGTAATTCTATTTCTAATATATAGAACTATTGGAATAGTAAATACATCATTTGAAGTATCTTAATTTGGAAACATACTCAATTTTGAAGATACTACTATTACTTCAAGTGATGTAGTTGATCCAAAAAAAGATTTTGATGTTTCTACACCATATTAAATTTATACATTAAAAGCTGTTAGTAAATTAGCTTGTGGGTTATATCACTCATTAGCTGTTACTGTAGATGGTGGTGTATTATCATGGGGATACAATAATTATGGTTAATTAGGAAATGGTAATAATATAATTGTACTTTAGGAACAAATATAAGTACTATGGATGCATAAGAAATTATATATTTTAGAAAAAATAAATTATTCGTTGTTGATATTTCAGCTGGTGAAGGAATTTCAATTTGCAGAACTGATTTAGGAGATGTATTTACTTGGGGATAAAAATAAAATTTTGATGGAAATGGAATGGTCAAAGTATTGAATTCATTTAAAGAAACTATAAATTTATAATGCTCTGATGCAACTAATTGTTAATTAATACCTCGCAAAAATAATATAAAGGCTAAAGCTATTTCAACTGGGTATTCATGTTTTGGAGCTCTCTCTTTAGAAGATAAAATATATATGTGGGGTAGTAATGAATATGGTGTTTTTGGTTTTGATTAATGTCCAGAATTAGATGATTAATATATATTTCATCTTCTAGAACCTATGAGAATTAATATTGAAAATTATCAGATTAAGTAAGAATTATAAATTAATCTAGAGAATTCTAAATAGGAGCATACCATTGTATAGCAAGAGTATAAGGATAAGACAAAGATTATGAAGAATATATTTCATGGGGCAATAATACTTATAATTAATGTGGATAATCATAATAATATGAATTATCTACTCTAAAAGGGAGTAAATTTTGTAAGAAAAATAAAATGGAGTATATTTATATAATTTAATTAGTTTATTACCAAATTAGAAATATAAATCTTATAGTTGTGGTTTTGATAATTCAGTATTTTTATCAAATGAAAATGTGATTATTTCATTTTAGAATGTTAATATGACTTAAAAGAAATGTAATGTTTATGGAAATGTAAGTATAAATGATTATATTATATTAGTAATTGTTTGCAGGAGAACTAATGACTTTACTTTTGGGATTGGAATGAAAATATATGAAAATATTATATCTATATTAAATAATCATAAAAATAATAATTATTTCAATTATATTATAACACTTAGATTATATCCTTATCTTCTTCTTAAGCATAATACAGAGTATTTTTAGATGCAAGGGTTATGTGGCCTCCAGATTTTCCAGATGATATTCTTGAAGGTGCAATTAATGAAACCTAAAATTGTTTGTAAACCTTTGAAGCTAAGGATGGAAAAAAAGTAAATGTATAATATCATTTCGAAGGCAGAACATTTAAAAAAAGTATTTAGATATTAATTTTTAACCTTATTGGCATGTTTTTTTTTTGGTAAAAATTTTGGGTGTCATTCTATTCATGAGAAAAGGAGATTTATCTACTTTTATATAGATAAAACTGTATATCTATTTTATAAAACATAATGTAATATATTTTTTAATAAATTTGTATCAATAATTTCAAATATAAAACATAAAATCATTTTAAGGCAGGTCCACCTTATTAAAAATTAACATTTGATTGATATGGTGGTTGATATGCATTCGGTTGATTTTGAGTAGGAATTTAATAAGGATTCTTTGCTTCTTCTGCACTCCATCCAAATTTTTTACTCTAATGAATGACATTATGCTTTTTATACAAATAGTTGCATTAATATGTAAATTACACCAACGACAAACAATACAACGGCAGTTGCAATCTACAATGGTGGAAACGCTGATATCATTAAAGTACCCAAACTTGATTAGTAATTCAGATTTACAAGAAACAATACAATCCTCTTCCAAAATAACTAGTCAAAACTTTGAATTTTTAATGAATATATGCAAAACGAAACTCTGCTAATATTAAAACTGCTCCCATCCATCTAAATATAAATAAACAAATTTTTACAAATAATGAATTGTAAGAATAAATTATTATGGATGTTCAATAGACAAATTTGTAAATCTTGATATAGCAAGAGCGATAATCAAACCTCCACAAACTATTGTTAATATTTTTGTTGCACAATGAATATCGCATTTCATATTATTAATAATATAAATATAAATAATTTATATAGATTCCCATTATCAATTTGTTTTATTTTCAATAGAATATTCATAATTGAGATTAGATATATTTTGGTAAATTTATTTTTATACTTTTTTGTTATATTTGAAAAATATATATATTATAATATACTTTATAATATATTCACCCAACCTATTATCAATCTAATGAAGCCATTTTGATTTTCACCATAATGATTGTCTATTTTATTCAACAATTAGATTAATATAATTGATGATATGACAATAAAATTACAAATTTATTTTATTCATGATTAATCATTCAATATATTCACATATTTAATAAAAAATATTAAAAAAAAGAAAGAATACAGTTTAGATAATCCACATAATATCAAAAATATATGATTATCTTCTTTACCTATTTAATTATTAATATTCATAGATAATTTTTAAATTTTTAGATTTAATCATTATAAGAATCTTAATTATGTTAAAATTCTATACTCTTATTTAGATGTTAATTAAGATTGAATAAACAACCAATTAACTTCTTTATAGACAATTATATTAATGATTTAAGAAAATATATTATATTTTATAAAGCTTTTATTAATATATAAAAATAAATTGAAATTCTATTTTATAATTTATATTTTAATATATATTTTGTTTATCATTATTATTGTGTACTTAAATTGGATGCTGTAATTTTTGATTTAAATAATGCTTAAATAGCAGGCAGTGATTCATAGAATTAAATAAGCTTTTAAGGAGCAATTTGATGTAATTCATTAATATTAATCCAGGATGATTTAGGTTAATCATTTTTTGATTTTTTGAAATTAACCTAAATATATATAAAAATAAGATTGTACTTTCAATTATTAGTTTGTAATTCCATTAATTTTAATAGTTCTGCCTAAATTTTCGAATGATTATATTTAATCTTGATTTTCAAAGGTTCTAGTCTTTTTAGATTTCTTTGATTTTTTCTTTGATTTAGTAATGGCTTTCTTAGATACACATTTTGTAGTTATAATAACATTATTAGATGTTTATTATTGATCAAATTCATCAAGAAGTAATTAACAATCTTATAGATTAGAAAGAGGTTCCCAAGTCAATTCTGAATATCCTTTCCATTTGACTAAATATTATGATTCTTCTTTATTAATTTTTTTCATTATTATGGATTCAACTTCATATAAGGGTTCTTGTTAACAATTTTAATTTTGATTATTAGATTCTGGATTTGAAGATTGATCAATGCTTAAAATGTCAATAGTTTCTAAGAAGTCTTCCTAATGTTTTTAAGGTTATGATTTGATTCTCATGGAATTAAAAATATTAACAACTCAAAAGGAAAATATCAGCGTGCTTTTTAATTTAATAATTATAAAAATATTCAAGGATAATATGTAGGATAATATCTGATACCAGGATAACTAATTACCGAACTATTGAATTATATATCAATTTACTTATTAGTTTCATACTATTATTTATCTATTACATCTTTGTAATATGGCTTTCTTACACCAAAATCTCTTCTTGGTTCATATTAAGTTAATGGTTAATCTGGTATAATGTAAGCCAACAAGCCATACTCTTCTGATTTTAGTTCAAGAGTAAACTCTTCTGAAAAAACAAAAGAAAATTCAAATTGAGCATCATTTTTAAAAAGAATGATATTCCATCGATACTCTAGATAGATCGTTAAATTTACTAAATCGTTACTCAATCTCTGACTTAATAGTTTCAGCTCTTTTGCTTAAAAGATATGGATCTTCTGTATCAGTCATAGAAAAGAGATTGACTAATTCATCTCTTAATTAGTTGGTTACTTGATTGCCTTGTTTTAAAACTTCAATTTTATTCATATATAATTAATCAAATACGAAATTTATCTCCGCAATTAAAACATTCAAAGAACTTAGTAGTAGGTTCATCTGCACATCTGGTTTATTTTTCATCAACTAAATATACTTTTTTTTAATGGCATCCTTTACATTCTTTACCTTCAATTCCATCCATTTCTCTTTTAGAAATCTCTTTATAAAATCCAATCTAATTAATTTCAAGTTCTTCCTTTTAAGCAGCCTTTTAATTTTATTTTGTTTTTGCATCAATCCAATCTTCAGATTTTAATTAAGCTGCTTATTAATAAGATAGACTTTTATTAAATACTCTAATAAGTACATCTCCAGTCTTATCTCTTTTCATAAATTATACTAATGTTTTAATATCCATTTCATAAGCCATTTTTTTAGATTCTTTGAAAACATTTCTTAAATAAATTTCTTTTTCTAAACCTATAGTAACTTCTTTGATTTTATCTATTGATATTAATTATTCTTTATTTGTTTAATCCCAATTCTTAAATATATGTAAAATTAGATTGCTTATTAGATTTAGATTCTATATTCTATCCACATATCCTGTAAATTATTACTAATATCCAGCAAATAAATTATATTTTTTCATTGGTTCTGGTTTATCTTTTTCCACTTCCATTTATAAAGGTTATCTTAATATTTTAAGTATAGATTTAGCTTTATCTATCATTTTCTCATAATCATATGATTTATAAATGCTATTTGGAGGTATTTCATGTAATTAAGCTAATTTTTATACAGCCTAAAAGAATTTCTGATGTACAATTCTATTTTAGTTAAAATTCTAAGTCCCAATTAAATCTAATAGATTATAAATAGTAGTAGGAGATAAGTTTTTCCATTCTATTAGTTTCTTTAATACTTATGATAAGTCAACATAATCCATAATAAAAATAAAATGAAGTTAAAATTTTAGTTAATTATTAAAATAGACAATTAATCATTGAAATAAAATGCCAAAAAATAAAATAAAAATATAAAACCAGTCAAATCAAATGATAATATTTTTTTAAGATGAAGAATTTCTATTCACCTTAAAATCCTATAAGAAATATTCAACATTCTTCACCAATAAATTAAAGTGATTAACAACAACCTTGGCTCCTTCAAGATCAGATAAATCTATCTGTTCTGGTCTTAAGAAACAAGGGGCAAATACAATTGATAAATTATTCAGTCCCATCTGAGTTTAAAATACAAATTACCAGATTCTCTGATTCATAAGCTGCTACATGAGATAACAATCCAGCTATTCTTTTAGTAGTTTTACGATTGACTTCTGGCATATAAGCAAAAAATACTTAAAACATTTCTAACAATTTCTCCTTACTTATATTAACTAATTCTATTAAATTTCATAATAATTACTTTACGTCTCTTTAAGAATGTCATACATTTCAAATGGAAATATTGGCTTCTTTAATTAGCATAATAGATTCTTAAATACTGTAGAAATAACATCAGGATCATAATCATCAATAATTGAATAATTTCTGATTTAAAACTATTATATTAATCTCTGTTCTTATTAAACTGATCCTGATATTCTAAATACACCTAAAAGTTTAATTACTTAATATTCTTACCTTATTTTTTGAGATAATCATCATGTCTATCATAATATTATAAAATAGCTTCTAAACATTCTGGTACACCTGTATTAGCAATTGGGTATTCTGAGATATCTTTTCCATAAAAGGGAGTTTCTTCTTAATAATTATTATTGATTCTAGATAAAAAGTCAATCTGATTTTAGGTTAGTTCAATATTATGATCAACCAATTAATTGAGTCTGTATAATATTTCTAAATACCTTAAAATAAGATGAACTTTATTTATTAAAACTGTTGACCATCCACTAGGTATAGCATTAACTAATTGTTAAAATTGGATTGTGTCGCTTATAACAATTAATTTATCTATTCTTTTGAATTGTTGTAATGGAATATTTCTTACAATTAAACTAAATATCATACTTGTAGAATGTATTCAGCATTTATTTTACTTGGTTAATTTCTAATTATAATGTTTGCTGGTTACAAATAACACAAGTATATGGACTAAATTCTAATTAATCAAATACCTAAAAGCATTGAATGTTTATAAATATTAATTCATCTATAGATATACTTCTTTCATGTCTTTTATTTGATTTAAGATTAATATATAAATTGGTTAGTTTCCATTTAATAATCCTGTTATTATTTAGTAAATAGATACCTGCCTTAAGTAATCCAGGAACTACATAACATTTTTCTTATTTCATTTTTAATAAACTATATTTTGATTTTAAAACTATCTTTATTAATCATAGTTAAATATACTTATAAGTTTTCTATCAGTATAAAATATTATATAAAAATAGACTAGAAAAAATATTTCAAAACTACAACATATTGATTTTTTAACAACTAGATATATGTATACTTTATTTTAAACACTTATAATAATAAAGTCTTTTTGGATTTAATATTTCTTATCTAATTGTTTTTAATAATAAAACATAGATAATCAATTATTTATTGATGTATTATAGATATATTTTAATGAATTATTATAATGAATAAAATTGATAATTATAAATATGACAATAAAGACTATTTAGGTAAAGGTTCATTTGGAAAGGTCTATAAAGGAATTATGATTGATAAAAATAAAGAAGTTGCTATTAAAAGTAAATATCTATCTATAATATTAGTAATGAACATGGCATAATTTTAAGACAAATCTATGCTTATATCTTTAGAAACTGAAATAACTGTAATGAAATAGTTTAGACATGAAAATATTGTTGAATTAATTGATGTTTTTGGAGATAATAAATATACATATATGATAATACAATTATGTGATGGAGATTTGAGAAATTACATTAAATCTAAAGGAGGAATTCTAGAAGAAGCAGAAGCTCTTGGAGTGTTAAGATAATTTATGTAAGGTTGTTAAGAAATGATTAAGAAAGGATATATACATCGAGATATAAAGCCAGAGAATGTTCTATATAAAGGGAACTGTTTCAAAATTGCAGATTTTGGATTTGCAACAAAAGCTGATACTGGCAGCAATGCTAAGATTTTTAGATAGTCTGTTGGAACTCCTTTATATATGGCTCCATAACTCTTAGAAAGACAACCTTATACTGCTAAAAGTGATATATGGTCTATTGGTATCATGGCTTATGAGATGGTTTATGGTAAATAACCTTGGCCATGTAGAGATATTCCTTCTTATGCATTAAATATAAAAAATCAACCATTGAAATTTCCTGTTGATAAAAGAGTATCTGATGAATATTAAGATTTCATTAAGAAATGTTTAAAGAAGGATGAAAAGGATAGGATATCATGGGATGAATTATTTAATCATGTAATATTGAATGAAATAGAGAGAAACTATGTAATAATAATTATATTATAAATAGAAAATGGAGAATCGTTTAGATTAAGAGTGTTAAAAGATTTTAGCATAAATATAAAAGATAGTTTAGAGCAGAGGTTTAGATGTATTTGAATAATTTCAGAAATATGATAAGGATTCAGGAGGCTCATTAGATTTTTTAGAATTTTTTTCTTTTTTAATTTAATTAGATCCAAGATTAAGTGGAAAAGAAATAAAATTATTATTTGATAAAATGGATATAAATTAAGATTAATCAATAGGATATGAGGAATTTAAGAAAATATTCTTTGATTATGATTATGTGAAAGAGGATTTTGCTGAAAGAATAATTATAGATTTAAGAGAAATAATTAGAGCAAATAATTTATAAGTAGAAGAGATTTTTGCAAAATATGATAAAGATTAAATGGGTGATTTAGATTTTGAAGAATTTAGTTTTATGATTAAAGAGATAGCAAAAGATATAAAAGATGATGATATATAAGCAGTATAAAATATATATAGATATAATAATAGATTTTTGATAAATTTGATACTAATAATGATAGAAATATTAATATAGATGAATTTAGAGATAAATTGATAGTAAAGAAGGAGTCTTAAAAAAATTAGATTTAAGAGAATTTAATATAAGTATGAATGTAATATATTATTATTATAGAATTTTGTTAAAGAATTGAGAAGGATAGTTATTGAAAATAAAATAGATATATAATTAATATTCAAGAACTTTGCAAAAAGTATGAGAGATGAAATGAATTAAACAGAATTCTCAAAATTATGTTCAGTTATAGATAGAAGATTGAAACCATTTGAAAGAGAATATATATTCAAATATTTGAACTTAAATGATCGTGATGGGATTACATTTCATGAATTTTCACAAATATTTAAGTGATTTATTATTTAAATTTCAATTTAAGAAAATGATAGATTATGCTGGGATTATAAGTATGAAAAGAGAATAATTTCATGTGAATATTAGAAAATAAAGAAATGAAAAGTAATTCAAAGAATCAAGAAAAAAATATATTCAATCTTTATTTTTTCAATAAACAGAAATGCAAGAAATGTCCAATACAATTAGAGATAAATTAGAAAAAGGTGAAAATCTTTAAGGAGAAGTTTTATAGATGATGGTTGATACAATTTTAGATGTACTTTAGAAAAATAATAATATGAATCTATTAGATGTAAGGATCAAAATTAATTTAGACAATTGATGCAGCTGTTTGGATGTTAAAATCTATAGAAGAATAAACTTATGAGGATGAATTAAGTGATAATTTAAAAATGTTAAGAATTGTAGATAAAATGATATTATATTCATAAGGATATGAGATTGATAATGAACCACTTAATTCTTAAATCATTATATATGCTGCTAAAGTTAGTTTATATTCTTAACTAGTTCCTCAAATATTGGACTTAAATGGAGGATAAATCATTATATCTTAAATTTGGAGAAATTGCAGAAACTATATATTTCTTACTTAATAAATAAGAATAGATGTTTATTAAGAGAGGAGCAGATATATTGTATAATATGGCATTAATTGAAAATGGAAAGATATTAAATTAGATACATGAACTCACAATTTTTGGTCAAAAATTAGTTAAACCTATTTGTACTATATTAAAAACAAATCACAATATAAAAATCTTATCTACTTTATGGAGAGTAGTTTTATAAACATTTTTAGATTAAGATAGAAATGGACAATTATAATATGTCAATTTTAATATCTAAGAAAATTAAGAAAATATTAGTTTTTTTAATTTGTTAATAAATTAGGTTATAGAATCAGAACAATAAAATCTAAAATTGTTTAAAAATTAAATGCATTTGATTCAGCAAATACTTGATTATTATTAATCAGAAAATGAATAAATCTATGAAGAGTTCAAGTAATTGCTAATTACATCTCAATTTTCTATTAAATTGAAAGATCTCTGGTTATTTCATAAATGGAATTCTATAGCAACAACTGCACATGAAATTTAGACACATTTAGATGAATAATAACTATGAATTCAATAAAAAGTTTTGTTCTTCGTTTTTTATTGTAATTTCATTCTAAAATTATTCAAAACTTATTATTTTTATTCAGATTAAAATGGTTTAATATTTTAACCAATTAAATTGTTGTTCAAAATCTCTTCATTTCTATTCTTTTGAATTATTTTATAATAATCAGTCAAAGATATCAAATTATTTTATAAAGATTTTTTATAAAGAGTTTTTATCCAAGAATTCCTATATTTTTAAGTGTAATTTTTTTGAGGAGACATACTAATCATCTAGAATTATTATATTTAAGATTTAATTTCTATTTTAGGACAACTATCTTGATAACTTTGATTAGATGTTTCCATTGATCTTCTTCTAGTTTAAGTTGTCATCCTAATTGGAATCTTTATTTTCATCTTTATAGGAGATATGTATTTTCTATCCTATTTGAAAATATGATCATAATTTCCATTCCAGGGTTCTAAATTTAATTGATTCTACATATTATTGTTAACATTGTTCCATTCTTCCTCTATATTTAGTAATGTAAATTATGGATCATTATATTACATTAATAAAATATAATGATTCATGGTCCCAATTCTTCTTTCTCAGGTGCCTTTAGTATTGGCAAAAAATCTCAAGGTAATTTAATGATGAACTTCCTTAGCACATGGAACTTAGAATAACAATCCTGGGTATTCACTATTCAAATTAATGTTAGACCTGATCACTACAATCTGACAACTCCTTAATCAGGAGGATTCCAATTTTCTAAATCAGTCCGTAAATAACTTTATGAACCTAAACCAATTCCAGAACCTGGTGCATATGATCCAAATCTATCGGTATATAAACATTCAATTAGATTATTCAACCTAATCCTCCAAATATCAAATTTAGTAAAGCTCAAGAATAAGAGAAACTCCCTCTTGACATTGGACCAGGTACTTATAATTGGAGTGATCAAAAGAAATCTCCAGCTTTTACTTTCTAAAATAAATTCGAAAATCCAGTAAATGATGTTATAAACACTCCTGGACCTGGTCATTATGACATCAAAGAAAGTCATTCACTTCAACCAATTAATAAAGGTTTTACAACAAGTAATCGCTTAAATATGCTGCTTTCTAATGGACCTGGACCTGGATCTTATAATTTGGAAACTCTTAAAACATAAACTAGTATTAAGTAACCTTTTATTTTAAGAAATAGATTTCCAAAATAAAAGAGGACTATTGATAAACTTGATCCAACTCCTGGACCTGGGGCATTTTTATCAATTTTGCCTAACAAATAAGGGATTTCATTTGGAAAGAAATTATAAGCTTAAAGTGAAAAGTAATTTGTGCCTGGACCTGGTACATATCAATTAAAATCTTTTGCAGAGTAAATCTCTAAAGGAACAAAGTATAATTAAATATCATGTTAATTAAGAATTGGAACCTCTAATAGAAGTCAAATGCTATTGTAATAAGGACCTTCTCCTTTAAATTATGATATATCTCTATACAAGCCTCCGTCTAAATATTCAAGTTTTGGAAATGCAGAAAGAAAAACAATGTAAGAGAAAGGTGAGAATACTCCTGGACCTGGATCATATTATTTAGGAGTAAGTCTTTCTAAATAAGGACCTATAATTGGTAAGTCTTCAAAAGAATAAATGTTTATTCATGATTCTTTACCAGTAATTGATAAATTTTATTTTTTAGGGTCCAGGAAAATATAACTTAAATGATTCATTTTCAAGAGGACCCAGTTATCATATTGCAGGCAAATATGATAAACAATAAGAGTAATCTCTTGTGGGTCCAGGAAGATATTAGATTAATAGGGATATTAATGATGGTCCAAAATTCAAATTTTCTACTAAAGAAAAGACAGATTCTAAGGAACATTCTTAATCATAATTCTATGATATTCAGGCTAGTCTTGGATTTATACCAAAATATTTACTATAAAATTGAATATGTTATTAATATACTATGTATAAAACGGATCATTAATTAAAATAAATGAGAATTGCTATATTGGCTCTTGTAGTTATCTGTGCATTATGTGGTCAAAACATGAGAAGTAAGAAAAGGTATGTCTTATTAAATAGACAAGCACTGTAGGAGAAGTTCATGATTTAAGCAATAATGTTGGAGTGATCAGCAAATAAGAAGTCTAAGTAACACCACCTCTTACAAAATAATAATTTTAAATTAATAAGGCTGCTAAATCAACTACTTAAGCAATTGAATAAGCACTTAAGCATTCAACAGCAACATCTTTACTTGAAGTTGAACAATCTTTTAATGATGATGTTATAGACAATATTCCTTATGTTGAAGAAACCATTGATTAAATGTAAAGTGCAAAACCAGAAGATGTCTATTCAAATGATGGCAATTCACCAGATATGGGTACAAGTGCTGAGAATTTTGATGGATCTGAAGCTCCAATGACTTCAGAAGATAATTAAACTACTCCATAAGATGAATATTATGCCACAGAAACTCTTATAACTAATGAAGAAGTTTCATTAATTCAATTAGGAGAAATTGATGCACTTGCTAATGTTGATACAAGCATGCCCTTATTAGATGAAGATTTTAAATTTGATGAGTAAGCTCTTTAAGAAACTCCATTGAATGTTGGAGTTAATGATATTCCTGAAGTTTAAGTTAATTCAAATGAGGAAATTTCAGTTGATTTAGAAAGACAAACTAATGAAATAGTAGAGGCCTTGATGAATGAAGAGGATATTATGATAAATGAGGTTTAGCTCATTTAAGTTGCAGATAGAGGATTCTATTGATTAATTATATTCAATAAAATAAATATCATTTTCTTTTATTTCTCTCTACTCCACTCTTCTAAAGTTACTATTATTTATATTAAATATGATTAATTTACTTATTTATAAAATTGCTTAGAATTTTTAATTAATTATTTTATAGTTAATGTATAGAAGTGGGAAATAGCCACCAAAACCAGAATTACCTTTTTATGCTGATATTACTTATTGGATAAGCTTTATGTTATCAATCTATTTCAAAGATGAAAAGATTTTGCATGGGATTTTTTCTTGTTTACCATTATTTATGATTGTACATCTAACTTTGAATAGATTAGTAAGAGGTGAATTAGGATCTACAGTAATGATGCTCTCTTTACTTGCAGAATCAATAGGTATTTATAATATAAATTAATAGCTCATTTGTTTCATTAATTTGCTCATGATGAAAGATTCATGAATTTATATTTCTTTGAACATTTAATTTGTGGAATGTTTTTAGCTATGGGGAATTTCATTTATGTATTTGAAAAAAGATAAAGGAAAGAAATTTTTCGTAAAAAGAAATCTTATTTGAAATCTAGATTACCAAAACCTTAATCTATTATAGTTTTTCCTATAATTGCATCAGGATTTTATTTAATGCTTTATGAAACAAAAAATGATAATACAAATTGGATATTGTATTATATGAAAGTGTTTTATAGTATACCATTAACAATTTAATTAATTTATGCAATTCAAAGATATTAAACAACATCAAAAAAGAGTTATTGTAATAATTATCATATTATTTATAAGTTTGTGGCTTGGCTGCCTCAATCATATATGTATTATCTGATTTGTCATATCAACATTTTCCATTATTCCATAAATTGTTCCATCGCTTTAGCTTGTACTTACAGACTCGATAAATATTCTATCATATCAAGTGGTTTTAGAAGAACAGATACAAGTTTGAATGATCATTAAGTTAATCGATTGACTATAAATCATAAATATTCTTATATTGATTAGAGATGAGATTGTACTCTCATCCCTTTTAATAGAGAATCTTCTATTTCTGGATCCGTATAATTAGTACTTCTTAGATGTTATAATGAAGTCAAATCTTGATCTGTAATTTATAATTTCTTTTTAATCTAATTGAATATTATATAATAATTGTACTTTATTGTATTCTCCTACTTTATCTAAAAAGATATCTAAATCAGAGAGATTTGGAAATAACTCTTTTCCATTTTCAGTCTTATTTTTTACTATTTCATTCAATGAATTAATCATTTTCTCTTTCACTTTTAAGATTAATTAACCTTTATTTAAACAAATTTAATCCTTTTTTGATTTAGCTATTAATTCAAAAAATTGAGCATTTTTAACAATCTTAACTGTGCTCTTTCTACTCTTTTCTTTCTTTACAGCATAATCTAAAATCTCCATCTTTACATCTTCATAATCATTAAGAATCCTAAGAAAAGCTTCCTTACTAATCTTCCAAACTTCTGCTTATGATTCTGCTATTGCAGATTCTCCTCTTGCTCTAGATACTAAGATATCTACTTCGCCAAAATATGATCCTTCAACATGAATTAAGGTTCTAATTTTGCCATTTTAATCCTCACATTTTGTAGCCAGCCTACCTTAGATAACAAAGTAAACAAAATCTGCAGGTTCTCCTCTAAAGAAAATGGCATCACCTTTATTTAAAAATACAGGAATCATTGATCGAAATAATCTTCTTAGGAAACCTCTTGGTTTATTTTAAAGGAATCTAATTTTTTCAATAATGTCTTTAAATATAAATTCACAAACTAATCCTTATACTAATGGAGGCAATTCTTATATGATATCTTCTTCATTATAAAATTCTAACATTTAATTAGAATGAGAAAAAATAGAGTTTTAAATTGACATCAATAATCTTTCATGTGTTTCTTTAGGTAATTGATAAGTGTGAGCTAATTCATTAAAAAAGATTTCTCTTTCTTTAATCATAGTTAATTTTTAAGATAATTTAGCAAATGTAAATGTCAATGTACCCATAACATAAGCAAAAAAGGCTACTCCCAAAAATTAAAAGATTATTCCAACAACATATTCCATATTGTTTACTGGTAAAATATTACCATATCCAACAGTAACCAAAATAGTCAATACAAAATAAACACTAGCTATATATTATTCAACAGCTGATGTACCATCTGGAATATATACTACAATCCAATTATCATTTGGATCAGGACTTATGGTTCCAATGAAATACCAAAAGCATCCAGCTAAATGTATAACAATAAATGTTAAAATTATGAATTTCAAGATTAGACTATATTCTTTATTAAGTTTTAAGAAGAAAAACAATTTTTGTATTGTTTAATGTTTTATAAGATTACCTACTCTTAAAACTCCAACTAATTTATATATTCTTGGTAATCTTGCCAGTCTTAACAGTCCATTAACACTGGATGCTCCTGGAAGTACAGAAGGATCTAATATCAAATATAACGGGAATGTTGAAATGAGATCAATCCAAAACCATCCTTTCATGTAATTGATAGCAATTTTTTTAAATTCAACTATAACAATACCTCTTTCATCTTCATAAGCAGTGAAAAATGTAAAAACCATATCAAAGAAAAATATACAATCTATTGTTAAATCTAATCCTAATAATTCTTGAGTATTTGTTTCAAAAGCTAAACGAACAGGAAGGATTAGTACTCTAATTTTGTAAATTAATGAATTACACATAGATAAGAAGAAGAATCATTAATCCACTCCAGGTGGATTTAAATCTTCCATAAGGATTAATAATACAATTAGGTAAAATTCTTTCAATAGCATTGGCTTCTTAAGTTAGTTTACTTAATTTTTCATCTAATTCAATATTTCTTGGAGCCTATTCTTTTTCCATAGATTTATCTGGGCTAAATATATCAAATTCAGAGCTACTGTCTAATGATGTTAATACCATAATACCGTCTTAATTTTATAGTGTTTATTATTTTTGACTTGGTTGATTGGGGGATCTGCTTGATCCTCTATTTGGAGAAGGAGTTTTGGCAAATTCAGCCATAGGTTCTGCCATTGGTTCTTCTTAACTTTATTGATTTTCTTTGACTTAATCCATTTGTTCTGAAGTGTTTAATTATCTTTTGTCACTCAATCTAGGTAAACGGAGTTATTTAATAGATTTTTTTCTTGAAGTTGATTCACTTTGATCTGATTCTTCTTCTTCTCTAATACTATTATTTTTAAATCGATCTTATAGAATGGATTCCAATTACTTGATTAAGCATCTTCTTTAGCTGCTTCCAATTCTTCTTAATCTGCTATTTCATTGAAATCAACTAACTAGAGATTTTAAAAATTAAGTTTGTTCTTTCTTCTCATTGGAGTTTCATCTTCATCACTCTCAGAAACTTGCTTTTTTATATCTTTTTTATTTCTTTAAAATAGAGATGCCGGAATCATTAAAATATAATATTAAGATAATATTTAAACTTATTAAATAGGTATTCTGAATTGAATTGCAATAACCTTAGTGAATTGTTATAGAAATACGTTTAATTCCTATATTATAAAATCATTTTTGACATTTTTCTTTGTTAAATATACTTAAAATATTTATAAACATAATATTAATATGATCCATTCAGATGAAAGTAGTGGAGATCACTTCTCTCCCAATTCTTAGTATAAAACTTTCTTATTTTAGACACAACAACAATCCTAATTCAAGTCTAAAAGATAATGGAAAGAAATACGCAGTAATTGATCATTAGATTCGGGTTTAATTGCTTAAACGTATTTTATCTAAAGCAGCAACAATTAAAGAGGCAGCAAAAGAATTTGGAGTCAATTTTAGTACAGCAAAGGCCATCTTATAAACTTATAGAAAAGAAGGAAGAATTGGAAAAAAGAAAACTAGAGACAGAAACAAAAAAAAGAAAGATGATTCAGATTATCATTTTATAAATACAAGAAAAGTGTAATCTATGTATGATTTGGAAAGAGAAGCTCCTTAACATAGAAGAACATTTTCACCTGATTTGAGGGTTTGTTTATTCTAAATAACTATTTTAGCCTGCTGATAGGACTATAAATTAACATCCATCAATAGTACAATAGCAATTAAATTATTTAAATTCTTAAAGTTAGATAGGTTCCACTCCAAATTTAGATGAACCTAATGCTTAGATGGCTTTAGCGATATGTTAAAGAGAGTTGGCCCAGTAAAAAATGATTAATATGCAATTATTAATGATGCTTCAAGTATTCATATATATATGTATACTCTAGACTTATCAAACTTAAGGTTAATAATTATAGATAGAATAAGTCAAAGTAGAATCAGATAAATAAAATTGAAACTTAATTTAATATTTATTCGTGAATCATGTATTTCTCAAATCCTCAATATTTTAACTATCTATATTCAATTGATTTTAAAATCAAAGTCCTTAGTTAATTTAATTTAACAACTATATATTTAAAAATGGAATTATCTGAAAACTCCCAATCAATATCAGGCTGGCTCTAAGAATATGACTAAAAGACAGTTCCACAAATTACTAAACCTATAAATTGTATATTTTATATTTAATATCTATATAGAATAAGCAATAAATAAAAAGAAATTGACTAAAAGAAGTGTGAGTTTGTGTTAACATAGATAAGAGTAAGAATAATATAAATCAAGTACTTATTTATAATATATTATAAGATCTATTGCTATAAATTAGAAATTAAAGTTAGATGCCTCTACCAAATTACAATATGAATAAAAACAATAAAATATAGGAATTAAAGAGAATAATGGAATTTCTTTAAATTAATGAACAATCAAAATTCAATGCATATCATCAATATCAATAAAATCATAATTTAAAAGAAGAAAAATAAGAAATTATTCAATAAACTAAAGCATAATTTAGGATTAAATTAAAGTAAAGATCTTATTTAATTGAGTTCTTCAAATAAATAAATTTTATAACCATTATAAGAAATGAATCAAATAAATGCTTCAACTGATAGACAATAAAATTGTTAGACTAATAATATAAAACATAGAAAGACACATCTCAAAACTGATAATAATCAAGATTTAAAAAAATCTTCATCTATTCATAGAATACTTAATATAAAGGAAGTCAAACCAAGAATGACAAAGTAGTTAAATGAGGTATAATATAAATAAAAGGAATATGAACTACTTTAATTGATGATAGAGAAACACAAAGAAAATGTGTAATAATATTTACCTAAAAAGAACAGATACTTAAGATGATTATATAATTTCATTATCTATTGAGTAAAGCACCTAAAATTAATGCAATAGTAGCTGCAATAAATAGTTCCCATAATGGTATTCCAGTTTTATCTCTTAAGGCTGTTGATATATTTTCTTCAGGTTAATCATTTTATTCTTTTTTCTTCTCTAAATCATAGATAAATGATTTTCTATCTATTTCATTCTATAATTCATTAATATCAAATTTATATTATTCCTATAATATAAAAATTAATTAATATACAATCAATTTAGCTTATTCATGATATTTTTATTTCAAAGAATCTAATTTAATTTTCATATTCCTATCTTCATCAGTTTATATTATTTTACTCTCTTAATTATTTTGATTAATTAATCCTTAATTGAGTTGAGCATTTGAACCTTATAAAAAACGAGATTAAACTATTTAACCAACCGATTACTATTTTATATCACTGGGCTGTTATTATATTTTTTATGATTGCTATGAGGAATTTAGATCTTTTCTGATAAGACTTACATTTAATTTTTATTTTTTGAGAAAACTTGACCATCTAGAATCATCATTAGCAGCTGCATCATATTTCTATTTTTCAACAACTTAAATTAGAAATTTATCTTTCAAACGATGTTAAATTCTTGATTGATCACAAATTAATAGAATATGAATGTCCTAAGATGATAAAGTTGTAATAGGTTGTTCTTTATCATAAGAAATTACATAGTAATCAGGAGCTGTAGTTTTGATACGAAACATCACATCTTAAGGTGTATTGTTTGAGATTTTTACTCTGGCATATATCTTCTTTTGATTTGGCACAACCTCAAATTCTAAAGTTTCTGGTGGATTAATTTCAACTGAACTACTTATTAGAAGATTATAATTACTTTGATTAATCAAATTTGTTATCTGATTTATACTTTGAATCCATAAGAATTTGATTAGTATATTATATAATAATGTTAATATTTTTATTACAAATAATCTCAGCGACTTATTTGTCAATCATATCAGAAGATAGTAAATTAGCATCCATTTAAATAATACAGCCTAAATCAGGAAACACAAAACGATTAGTTTATAGATTGGGGACAGAAGATGAGTAATAGAATAACTAAATAATAATTAAGTTAATGTATAATAAGTGTGAATGGTGAACCATTATTTACATATAAGATAAAAGATCATGAGTTCGAGATCTTAACAGGATTTTCAACATCTGATGGAGTCAAAATAGTAGATCCAGAGAACAAATTTTATTTCCGAGATCTTTAATAACCAATGTTATTCGTTTTAGATGATTTTGAAATTCCATTAGATGGTTGGAGTGATACAAGAGTATCATAATGTTAGACAATACAAAACTATTTCTTGGGAGGACCATGTTATTTTTCAAATAATACAGTATCAAAAACATTTGTAGGATTACCATCTCATGAATACATAACAATATCATTTAATTTTCATTTTATTGATTAATGGTAGGGTGAAATAGGATAATTAAAGGTAGATAAACTAATTGTATGGTAAGATACATATAATTGGTGTGATAAAGTAATGCCATGGTTATGTTATAAATAAGGAATTAATAGTTGTGGAGGAGAAGCTCCAGATTAAATAGGATAAGCAATTAGAATAACATTATATCACATAAATTCATTTGTAAACTTAGAGTTCTCAACAACTTTAGGTAAGAAAGATGCATGTTAAGCATCATGGGGTATTGATAATGTTGCTATTTATGTATATTGATATAAATCATCTTTTCTATTATTACACATAATAGTGATAGTTCATTCTATTGTAAAGAATTGTTTTTCTTAATTCCAAACCTCTTTTTTGTTCTTCTTTCAAAGAAATAAGTGTATTCAAATGATTCCATCTATCTTTCCAATTTCTCTCTTTTATTTACTTTCTATAATCATTATATCAATATACCTGAACATGAATGCCCATCTAATGGTTTCTATTTCTCTTTGTCTTCTATATCTCATATAAAAGATCATTCCTAATAAAACAGTTACACATTATAATGTATAAGTAAATGGTTCACATACATTCCATCCCCATTCATCTACCATATATATACCATAATAAAATGCTCCAATTTGTAATAAAGATAATACAAATAATAGAGTTAACCATCTATAACCAGTTTATTCAGCTTATGCAATCATTACATCTAATTGTTCTCTTTACTTACAAATTTCAGCTTCTAATATGTTAATTAAATGATGTAACTCATATAACTTATCTTTAGTTGGTTATTTTAATATTGATAATCCTTATTCCATTACTTACACTATTTCTTTTTCTGTAAGATTCTATTATATGTTGCATGAATTCAAAAACCATGATAATGTATTTGCATGACTTGGATCCATTCCCATATTAACCATCTAAATATATTTCTATTATGGAGAATGTTTCAATTATGTTTTTTAATTTAACATCTTAGCTTCAACTAATTGATAAGCTGGTGTCATTGTAAATTCTTCATCCTATATCACCAATTTAATTGCTTTATTTTTTTTGTCATTCAAAATATAATTGAAAAGATTGCTACTCAAACTTAAATCTGTTCCATCTAAATTGAATTCTACTTTTGTTGATTCTTCTAATTACAATTGTTCTTACAAAGTCAAAAATGAATATTATTAATGAGCAAAAAACATTTTTGATCCCATAATTAATGGAAATGTCAACACCAGTAAATCATCTTTGAATGTTATTTATACATCTATATAATATTTATTATATTTATACTTCTTTTAGAAACAATATGCCAATATTATGATCTATGATTAAATCCTTTAAACATTTTAGCAAACCTTATCATTTTTATCTTTTTATTATATATATATATATATATAAATCATCTATTCATTAACTATTTAACTACTATATCCATTGATGGTCTCTTTGTCTCATCCTTACTTCTCAAATCATTCACTAATTGTAAGATATTTTTTGGAACATTCCTAGCTGGCAATTATTCATTTTTCATTGCCTTTTGAACAATCTCTTACATCTCCAAACAATCCCAAGGAATCTCTCTTGCAAAGATCTCCCATAATAAAGTACCATATGCAAACAAATCAACACTCTTATCATAAGCCTATAAATTAATATTTATTATCTTAAAACCCTTTTAGCAAAAAGTTCAGGTGCCATATATGTAGGTGTTCCACTAAATTACTAATATCCCTAATTCAATTCAGACTAATCATATCTATATTATATTATTACACTTCTCTTTGTTAAACCAAAATCACATAATTTTATTGTCTATCCCTATAGAAGTACATTATGTGATTTTATATCTCTATGTACTACTCCTGCTTAATGCATGTATTAAAGTACTCTAGCTAATTAAATTGCTATTGAATATTTGAATTGATCATTTATTTGATGACTATCTATTTCAAATCTAAATACTTAGTTTTATGCAATAAATGATATAAACTTCCACCTTAAACATATTCAGTAGCAATTACTAAATTTGGTGGTTTTGTACAACAAGCCATTAATAATACAATATTTGGATGTCTTAATAATGATAACATTTCTATTTCATTATTGATTTCATCCAATAATTGTTATGTAATGTTAGGGTTAAATATTTTCTTAATAGCAATCTATAATTCACAATAAGACTTACTTCTGTACCTCTCAAATACCCTCTATGCACAATTGAAAAGCCTCCTTATGAAATAATTTCATGCACTTCAAATTCATTCGAATCTATCTCTAACACATGATTAGTATGTTGTAATTCAGATATTTGTCTCACTGCTCTATTTTGTGTTTTTGGCCTTTCTATTATTGGCTACCTTTCCTGTTTTGGCTATTGATTTGATCCTGGACTTATTTGAAACACCTTCTGTAGAATTTAATTCAATTAAGGTTAATGGAAATGACCTTATAATGCTTGGTATTTAGGTAATAATGGATTATTGCTTAAATTCAAACTTTATAAACTAGACATGTTCAATAATTCTTCTGGCACTTCTTCAATACAATTGTTGCTTAAATCAATCTCTTCCAGATTCAATAATCCTGCTATTTTAGATTCAATTGATGTGATCTTATTAAAACTAAGATCCAAATGAGTTAATTTCAATTAATAGATTTCAGGTGGTATACTGATCATAGACTTACCTGAAAGATTCAATCGAGGCTCTCCTGAACGCTTTATTCTTCTTATGATCAATTAAATATCCTCCATAATAATTTTATAATAATATTCAAAATATTTCCTTTATTGAAATAGTCATGAACTTAAATTCAGTANTCATAAGCCTATAAATTAATATTTATTATCTTAAAACCCTTTTAGCAAAAAGTTCAGGTGCCATATATGTAGGTGTTCCACTAAATTACTAATATCCCTAATTCAATTCAGACTAATCATATCTATATTATATTATTACACTTCTCTTTGTTAAACCAAAATCACATAATTTTATTGTCTATCCCTATAGAAGTACATTATGTGATTTTATATCTCTATGTACTACTCCTGCTTAATGCATGTATTAAAGTACTCTAGCTAATTAAATTGCTATTGAATATTTGAATTGATCATTTATTTGATGACTATCTATTTCAAATCTAAATACTTAGTTTTATGCAATAAATGATATAAACTTCCACCTTAAACATATTCAGTAGCAATTACTAAATTTGGTGGTTTTGTACAACAAGCCATTAATAATACAATATTTGGATGTCTTAATAATGATAACATTTCTATTTCATTATTGATTTCATCCAATAATTGTTATGTAATGTTAGGGTTAAATATTTTCTTAATAGCAATCTATAATTCACAATAAGACTTACTTCTGTACCTCTCAAATACCCTCTATGCACAATTGAAAAGCCTCCTTATGAAATAATTTCATGCACTTCAAATTCATTCGAATCTATCTCTAACACATGATTAGTATGTTGTAATTCAGATATTTGTCTCACTGCTCTATTTTGTGTTTTTGGCCTTTCTATTATTGGCTACCTTTCCTGTTTTGGCTATTGATTTGATCCTGGACTTATTTGAAACACCTTCTGTAGAATTTAATTCAATTAAGGTTAATGGAAATGACCTTATAATGCTTGGTATTTAGGTAATAATGGATTATTGCTTAAATTCAAACTTTATAAACTAGACATGTTCAATAATTCTTCTGGCACTTCTTCAATACAATTGTTGCTTAAATCAATCTCTTCCAGATTCAATAATCCTGCTATTTTAGATTCAATTGATGTGATCTTATTAAAACTAAGATCCAAATGAGTTAATTTCAATTAATAGATTTCAGGTGGTATACTGATCATAGACTTACCTGAAAGATTCAATCGAGGCTCTCCTGAACGCTTTATTCTTCTTATGATCAATTAAATATCCTCCATAATAATTTTATAATAATATTCAAAATATTTCCTTTATTGAAATAGTCATGAACTTAAATTCAGTATTGTAATTTGATTATATCCATACATTTTAATAATTAGAGTGATATCAATGATGAATTATTACTTAAATTCATAATATTTAAAAACCTATAACTTAGGTTATTCTCATATTAAGAATTAAAGAAATTAATAATTAATTCAATATTTTAATTATATATAATCATGAATTCTTACAGCCACTCATTTTGATATATTCTTTAATATCTTATATACCGCAGTCATTTCACCCATTAATATATAATAAAATATCTTTTTATAGTAATACTTATTTATTCCCAGATATCAAAATAGTTAATCATTAAATATTTTTATATTTCTAACCTTTTTTATATATGATTATAATTTATATATTCAAATTAAACATACTTCCTGAAATCAATATCTAGAAATTATTTGATTATTAAATTTAATTCATAATCCTTATAAATCTTATCTAATAATTTCTATTAGCATACATGAAGATGAATTAAATGACAATATCAATTAATATTAAAATTTTTAAAAGTAATTGTTTATTTTTATTATGTATAAATAAAAAAATCATCTACTATTGAATTTTTTACTCAAATACTTTCTAAATCTCTCAATTACTACTATGTAATTGTGTTTTGGAAAATACCATTCATAGTACCGCATATTTTCAAAATCTCGAATTAATATTAACTAACCAACTGAACCAATCAAATCCGAAAACTAATCTAAAATATCATTATTACTATAGGTTATGTATCAGAGCGATGCCAATTTATACTTAAATCATTACCATTTAATTTAGTTTGAGTATTCAACATATTTGGACTACCTAAATTACTTTACAATTATTGAACCATCTCTTTACTTTATAGTATGCTTGTTGAATGAACTGGCTATTATTAAGATTATAATGAAGATTTCTTATCTTAACCTCTATCAATAGTAAAGCTACTACTGATATTGGATTATCTTTTTATTTATTCTTTTGTAAATAGCATCAAAGGAGTTTTATTAGGTTATTATAAAGGAGAAGGAGAATTACTTACAACGATTGAATCATTATTGCTATTTACATTATTATTAGGCTTTAATCTTGTGGTTCCATTTTCTGATGCTTTTAAAGTTCTAATTGTTAGAGTTCTATTTATATTTGAATCTGTATGAACTCGATCTCTTTCTCTTCCTGTAATCCCAGTTTTATTTGTTTTTGGAGATTTAATACTTTATTAATGAGTATAAGTTTGAGTTAAATATTTTGATGTATGATCTTCATCTGCAAATAATTGATATTCTTCTTCTCTATCCTACTTACCTAAAAATTAATCTACCATATCTGTATTCTTCGAAATTATATTAAATTGTTATGCCCAATTAACAGCAGTGATACTAATTAGATTTTATTAAGTCAAAGAGGAAATTCTCTTTTTCTCAAATCTATGGTATTTTAATCTGAAATTGGGGATAGTATATGTACTATTAGAAACAATTTTATTATAGTTAGGTTAATAAAATACTGCAGGACACATACATGTTTCATGGTGGTCCATACATATATAGCAAATCTATAATATAAATAGTTATTTATACTTTATATACACATCTTTGATTTTAATGAATCATTCTATCATACCACATTCTGTATATCTGAAAATCTTAATTATGCATACACACTAAATCATAAAATTATTGATAGTCAATTACAATAATTTTGCATCTTGATTTTGCCACAATATTACAAGGTGATAATTAACAAGCAAAAAATTCATATTGATTTACAATACTAAATTTTTTTAAGATTTAAACTCTTCTATTATTAATTTTAATTGATAATTCTCCTTCTAATAAGAATATCAATTTACTAACACCTGAATTCTCTTATTAAATTATTTCACCTTATTCTACAGTTTATTCTTTAACAAATTCTGATAAACTTGATTAAAATTATGGACTAAATTATTATTTTATAAATGAAGATTTTTAAATTATATCCAAATAACTATGTAAATTAAGTGATCTTCTTAATTCATTTGGAAAATTCAATTCTAATTAACTAGGATGTGAATCTACTTGTTTATAATTCTAAACCTTTGACCATAATAATTATCTAACTTAATGTTATATTCTGAATGGTTATTTACTCATTGTATTTTTTCTTAATAACTATTCAAATAGTTCCTCTTTTTTTTTTAAATCACTTGGAAGTCTAATAAAATTAAGGAATTATTGTGAAAAATACAATACTACTAAAAAACTCAAAATTCTATTCACTGAATTATAAATTTAATAATTTTAATCCTATATTTAGAATTCAAAATTAAATAATAAAGTAATTTACTCACTTAACAAATGTTTATAATCTAAATCATCATCATTTAATAAATTTCTCCAAAAAAGTGCACTATTATTTACATGTATTATTATTATTAATATTGAAAATAATAACCGAATCAATTTTTTTTCAGTCAAAATATTAATTGATTTCAATAATTAATAGAGTTTAATCACATTTATTATATTTGCAAAAACAAAATGAGTTTAGTATAATGCCAATATGTTAATACTAATTATTGGTAAATCTATAAAGCAACATGTTTTGTAATCGATTACTTTAAAAATTGAATATAAAAACACTATGATAACGATATAGTCTTACCAAATATTAATAGTAATTCAATTCTGTCACAAAAGATAGGCACCAAAATACTATATGAGATTAGGATCAATATTAAACATAGATCCAAAAGAGTTCTCTCATAAGAATCTTTTAAAAATAATTTACAATTCAAAGGTTCTTTATCTTCTGATTCTTCATTTATAGTATCACTTGCCTTATCCTCTAAGAATTTTTGAAATTTCTTTGTGAGATTCTATTATTTTTAAGAAATCCTTAAATTATAGAGTAATTTCTGAATAAAGATTCTTGTAAGTCCTTGTACATTGTATTTGCGTAAAGAGCTAGAAAATTTATTTGTTACATAAAGAGGCTAATTCACAGATTAATCTAAGGGAGAATCAAATTTATCATTTTCTTTTAAGGAATCTTATTTATATATTTCCTTATATGTTTATGATTTATATAAGCCCCTATTAATCTCCAAAGGGTTCTTTTGTTTTCGTTTCTTAATAGATACTTCAGAGTCTACATATATTGACTCGCTTTTCTAATCAATAATCTTTATTCCCATTTATGTTAAGTTAGCTTGTCTGTAATGTTGCCCTCTAAGAGGACCTTATGAACGATGAGACATCATTATTAAATTTAATGAATAATTTATCAGATAACATTAAAAGCCTAAAATTTATGAAAAGAACTGAAGATGAAGTCAAACCAATAAATAATTAACAATGGTAATTAAATTTTACAATTCCATAAAACTAATATTAGCAATTAATGTAAAATCGTACAACAAATACCAAAGAAATTTTAGACATATAATAAAATTAATGTAGAGATAAATATGAAAATCAATGAAAACAAAATCATATTCATGTCATTATGTGTTTAATTTTTAATTTTTTTATATAAGAGTCTATGTATTAGTCAAATATGCCTTTCTTAGGTGGAGAAGATTATTGTGTTCTCATTATATTTTAATTCCATTATTTATTTTCGAAATATATTCTTCACAATTAAAAGAAACATGAGGATCCACTTTATTTATACATTTTGATTTTTGGAGAACTGTACTTTTTTTCTGCACTTAAAGTCGATTATTTTTAGTTGCTTTAAATAACCCTATTTTTATTTTTAATCCTTAAATTGGATTGAATAAATTTGCTTTTCTGAGCTTTATTGATTATTGGCTCAAAAATTCAGTTTTATTAAATTAGATACTACCTTTAATTCCTTTTTAGATGGTTGAATCATATAGGTATATAATTATATAATTTATATTTCAATATTTTATTTACATTCTATAAAGTTAATAAAAACTAATCGTTTTTATAAAATAAGGTTAGAGTTATAAAGTAACAAATAATCATAAAACCTATTCATTTTATACATAAAAAGGAAATGAATTATATATGTAATTAAATAATTATAGAGAATTATAATATCATTTAAATTGATATCAATATAAAACAAATTCAAGAATAAGGAATTGTTTATTTATACAATTAAGATATATATATACATATAGTATTCTAATACAAAATATTTTATATATAAGATGAAATCAAATATTTAATTTGGTCATGGTTTAAATAATAGATTAGTTTGATTTCTTTTTGTAGTTCTGGAAGTAAAGTAATTTGTATCTACTGAGAATGAGACTTTTTTATGTTTAACATTTGTATAAGTAGATTTGATTGAATAATTTCTCTTTAAAGCTTAAATATGTTAACTGGTTTTTAAAATGCTTCTAACACTATGATCTTTGCTTGCATTACTGGATACTTATTCACGAAAATGATCACTAAATTAAACATCTTGAGAATCTGAATTACGAGGATTATTTTGCTAACTTCCAAAACTAGCTATTATACTTTTTTCTTCATCTTTTAAAGTTTAGAATGTTTTATTTTTATCTCTTGTTGGAGTTTTTTATTTGAAAGAATTTACAGTCTAACTCACTTAAGAATTATAGGTCACTGTGTCATTATCTTTTTTAGGTGCAAATTATGAATATTATCTTGGTAAGTAAGTTTTAGATGGAATATTTTGCATATGTTAAAAATCTTATGAATTTTAGAATGAGATAGATTGATTAAAGTGTGCACTATTGAAATCTGCTGAATCTTGTTTACAATCCTAGAATGACATAAGTTATTATTATGATTGATTAAGCTTTTCCGACTATTCTTTTTCTTCTAATTATCTAGGTAATCATGTATAAACTACATCTATTTTATTCGATATCTTACTTCCTCTTCAATATCCTTCATAAATCTATTTACTCTTGTTTAAACAACTATCTCTGTTATATGTCTTTATTAAATAAATGTAGGTAATTGCTAACTGTTTTCAAGACTGTTTTCATCAGCAATTAAATTATCTTCCAAATCAGTTCTACTCTTTTCATAAGTACCTGTTCCTTTATTTATTATAGATTTTGCTCTTTAAATCATTTTACTATCCTCTTCTGATTCTATGTTTGACTGCACATAATTGGAGGAAGTGCAGCTATTGCAAGAACCCATAGATTTAATGTATAATTAAAATTTAAATTAATCTCAGAAATTGTAATTTAAGTTACCTAGAACTAGAATCTTAATAAAAAATAATGAATTAAATGAAATATCATTTTCAAGTGATATAATTTAATAATAACAATATACTACTAATATCAACCTATTTAATATTATAATCATATGAATGTATGAGAGGGGGGATTGAATAACAATTGAATTGATTAATAAAATTAATGTAAAACAAAATTTTTGAAAGCGTTTTTGTTTGTTTAATCTATGCATTCTGCTCGATGATATTTTCATTTTCAGCTAAATTTCTTTTCAAAATCTTCGCATTTCATAATACTACCATTGTAAGCAATATATATATTATAGATAGTTACTTCTTTATGAGACAACAATTAATATTATCATTTGCACTTTATATAAAATAATCAAATATAATAAGGAAAAGAAAGAAAAAAAAGATTCTTAGATATCCATTTTATAATTGATTGTCACACAATTTAAAGAAAGATTGAAATAAAATAAATTAACTATTCCATTTTCCATCACCTATGGAACTGGTGCCTATTGTGGTATGACAGCCTTATCAAAGATTAGTATACCACTGTAATTAATTATATAATAAATTAGCTTTTTAGCATTAAGAAGAACACTAATATTTTTTGTTTTTGTTGTTTAAATCCTAATGGGAAAAAAGAACTAATAAATAAGCTTTAAATTTATTATTTCAGTTCTTTTTATTACTTCAGGAGCAATTATAGCAGGTATCTTATATCAATAAATATCATTAGGTTTAGATCACTTCAATGATGATATCTAAGGATATGTATTATTAATAATTAATAATATGCTCTCTGCAATAAGTTTGCATTTAGCTTAAGGATTAAATTAATCTTAATAATTCAGTCCTTTTGATTTAGTTTACAATAATAGTATCAATTTATGGCCAGTCTTATTGATAATAAGCATAGTTACAAAAGATATTTAATCATTCTTTGAATTTGAATCCTTATATAGAACAGAATTTATGTTAAGTTTCACTTTAGTTGCATTATTTGGTTTCTTTTTAAATTTAGCTACTTATAATTGTACAATGAAAAATTCACCATTTGCAATTGCATTAACTCATAATATAAAAGTAATTATATTATAATATATTTAAGGATATTTTTTCAACTATTTTAAGTATATTAGTATTTGCAGACATTTAACCAGATACTTTTTTAACTTTTGGGATTTCGTTGTCCTTTGTTGGATCTTTTATTTATTCATTAACTAAGATGCAAGAAATATAAAAGAAATAATAACAAAGTATTGAATTGACAAATCAAGAAATTAAAGTTTTAATTAAATAATGAGAGTAGTATATAATTAGTGATTTCATATAAAAATCATTTTAATATTTGAATCCCTCTTCTATTTTAAATTGAAATTATTTGATTTTCTTAATTTAAAATTAATTCCCCTAAAATAAATAATATAAAATACCTCTAATAAATACTTAATCTACTGAACCTAAAAATAATTTATTCTTAAATATATGTTTATCAATTGAAAAAGTAAATATTTAATTAATTTTTTCGAAATTTAATTTCCATGCCTTTAAAGGATCAAATACAACTAAATCTGCAATCTTTCCTACTTCTATACTACCTCTATCTTTCAGATTTAAATATTGAGCTGGTCCTGAAGATACAAGTTATTATAATTAATTAAGTTTTGACACCATTCTTTTATATTTTAAATTATTAGTGTCTTTATTATAGAAAACTTATTTAATTACATTAGGATCTTGATCCTTTTTACAAAATAATAAAGTCCATAAAGCTTAGTAAGTACATCCTAAACTGCATAAACCACTAACAGCTTTTCGAAAATCTCCTTATTCTTCAAATTTATATAAACCATTAACATAAAGATGTGAACTTGATATACTGCTAATCCAATTATTTTATGATATTCCTTTTTATAATAATTGTTTATTGTATTTTTATCGAATTGGAGGATCAGATTTGTATTTAGTTACTCCATCATTTATATCATCACTATCTAATAAAAGATAAGGATATCCAATATCACTAAATATTTAGTTATTGATAAGTTCTTTTATCTCCACTAAAGAAAAAGAAGAAGAAAATCCATTAAGAATTATGTTACAATTAAATTATTGTTTAATTATCTTTTTCACTTTTTAAATGGCAAATTTTTCCCATGTTGCAGGTCGAAATGCTAAAAAACATAAATAATCTCTATTGAATCTATTATTATTATTTTGATTTTATCGAGGTCTTGATTCTGAAAAATTCAGTAGTAACATATCTCCAGATCCATGTTTTACATTTGATTTATCTTCAACTTAATGTAAGACTAAGGCAAATCCAGTCTTTGATTATCTTCTTTATAAAAGTCCTTAAGTAGTTTATGCTCTTGATCTTAGTCTGCATTCTGATTTTAGAGAGAGACTTTCTGGTGATGATATATCTGATGATTGTATAGACATTTGAGGACTATGTCTTTGATTGGAATCCTATTAATTTGAATCTTTTTTTGATCCTAAAGGAGATTCTTAATCTTGAGTGGAAAGCTTAGTTTCCATCTTATATGAATGATATTATGGAAATTATTATTATTATTATTATTATTATTATTATTATTATTATGATTATATACTATCGGATTCATCATAAGGAAATTTATAATTCTATTCCATTTTTGGAGCATCTTTATAAGTTATAAGTTCTGCTCTACTAATTAAAGATATTTATGATTGTTCAGTAATCTATTTAGATTTTAATTTATATATATTAGATTATAGTTTTGGTGACTATGGAGTATCCTATTAATCTTCAAATTCTGAAATTTTCTTTTCATCTGAATTCTTATATTTTTTAACTATATTTATATTGAATAGATACCTATTTCCTTAATAGGAGAATTACTTTCATTCAAATAATCCATTTATTATAAATATTTAGGATCATCATTTTAGATATTTTCATCATCACTAATACATGATCCTGATACTCCATCTGCATCAACTAAATCTAATTAAGTAATATTTAATCGTTCAGCAAATGGTTTACTTCTGAAAGGTGATGTAATACCTAGATCTTTATCAACAGTTTTTTAAGTATGTAAAAATAGACAGGCTTAAGAAGGCAATTGTTATAAAACTGATTGTAATTCTTGGATATCTTTAAAATATGTTCCAGAATAGGAAGGTAGTAAATGACAATCGAAACAAAATGCTCCTAACTTCATTAGTAAATCGATCTATACAAATATAGGACTTGAGTGTGTACATCCTCTTTTTATAGAATTTTAGCCATTTAAATAAAATCAGTTTGTGATTTGGATAGCATCTATTAGACTTGTGATTGGTACGTTTCATTCGGATCCATCTCTAAATTCAGTTAGTATGGTTTGTTAACTATTAAAGATGTGCCTCCTACAATTGCCAATCTATTAGAATAAACTTCATACTTAGTAAATTCTTCAATATGATTCCACATACTTAATGATACATTAGTATCAATGGCTGCTGCCATAAGCACTTGATTTTCATACACATACTTTATAGGGTATTGATTTAATAATTCATTAGGTTCAAGTAATATATGTTTGATGTACTCACCCTCAATGCACACATATCCACTTATTAATTGATCTTTGTATAGTATGTATTTGCTCTGTATTGAGTACTTCATAAATTAAATATAATATTATGATTACTACTGAAATCAATTCAAAAGACCCTCTTTGTAATATTGACTAAAATGAAAACTAATAAGAGGATAGGGAAAATAAGGTAAGCAAATGATTAAGTAGAGTCCAAATGAGTTCATAGTTGTGGAGGTTGAAAAATAATAGGAATAATCTGAATTATAAGAGATCTATGAAGAATAATTAGACAAGTAATAATTGAAGTTAAAAGAATTGGAGAGATTGGAAAGAATCAAAAAGTACTTAGACAATATCATTATTAATTAGAATACCAATTACTTTGAAAAGATAACTATCTACAATTAATGAATTATCAGATCAATCAATTAATAATAGTTATTCTCCTTAAATTGACATTGATCATCATTAATCTAAAATAATTAATAAAGATGTAAGAATTAATTAAAACTAATAGATTTTATTTCAAATCCAAGAAGAAAATAAATAAACAGAACCTAAAAAGGTTTATAAGTAGAAATAACAAAAAAAGAAATTAAAAAAGAAAAAGAAGAAAAAGCAATTATCATAATAATAAACTCAATCATCTCTACTTATTCCAGAGATTAAATACTAATAAAATATGAATTTCAAATATTATTATGGAGATAAAAGAATAGATTGTAGTTGGAAATTACTGTTTAGTTATTTTACAATAATAATATTAAGTAATATAACCCTATAAACTATTGAGATTATAAGATATTCTGAAAGTGTATGTAAATTATAAGGCATAGAGAATATATTTATTTATGCAAATTAATTATTCTATATTTTGGGAAAAATTGGATTATTAAGTTTAAATTATCAAGAATTTACAAATACTTTACCAAATAAATCAAATATACCATTATTCAATTCAGTTGTCTTTAGCTCAGTTTTTGTTGTATTATCAATGCCATTATATGTTTTTGATTTTGTATTATGTTAACCAAGGAGTGAATTAATAACACTTTAAGAAAGTCTTCAAATATTAAATTTTTTTGATTGGGGAATGATTTCAGTTTTAACAATTATTATTATAATGCATTCTTGTTTAAAGATTTCACTTAAAAAGAAAACTTGGAAAACATTGAAGTAAATCATTAAAATATTAATAGAAAATTTCTAAAAGTAATTTATTATTTAATATTGCTTCTTGTACATTTATTATAAATTTTAGTTACTGTGACATAAAATTTTAAATCCTATTTACCTGCTATGATGATGGAAAACTTTTACCTATTTTTTTCACTTTTGGCAATGATTTATTTATCCATTAGAAAATTTTGTTTTCATCAAGAACCCTTTTAATTCACACATTAAAAATTATCTAATGAACCTATGATATTAATTTCAGATGAAAAAATAAATAATTGGGCATAAGAAGAGAAATTCTCAGAAAATGACTCCATTAAATTAACTAAAAGAGCTAAATTAAGTTCATCTATAAGTTAATTCAATAGTGCACAAATTACAAATACTAATTTTCTACCTTAAAAAGACTGAAACACTTTATTTATTTATATTAAATTAAATTATTATTATCTCAAATGTTGATCTTAGCAGGAATGAAATTAAAGGATTTATCTGAATATACATAAGAGCCTCAACCAACTATCAAACATTTAGATGTTTCTGTAACAAAATTTTTATTTATTTTAGAGTAATCTATTAAAATCTGGAAAAGAATTTAGTATGTTTCCGAATTTAGAAACCTTGATCATAGATAATAACTACTTTTTCAGATTAGATGATTTTCCAGTTTTACCATTTTTAATTACCCTTAGTGCAAACAAAAATACTTTTAATAATTTTGAAATGTAATCAACCTATATATCCCAGGTTTATACAACATTGTAAAGACAAGTTTCCTAAACTAAATCATGTTAGTTTAATCAAAAATCCCATTTGTCCCATGTTTACTTAAGGAGAAGAAGAAAATATTATGTATTCTAATATCGTCATCAATAGTTATCGAGCTAAATTCATTTAGGAAATTCCTTTATTAAAGAATTTAGATGGTACTCCTGTTAATCCACAAGAAGCTGATCCTAATTTTTGGAAATTAAAATAGTAAACAAAATTATAGTAAACTTAAGTATTAAACTCTAATTATTATTTGTAGAATTATGATGAATAAAAAAGAGGAACAATTGATTATAATACTAAATATCAAAAACCTAATAGTAAAACAGTCAAAACCAAAAGTGAAGGAAATAGATTTGTAAAAAATACCCATTTATGACATTTATTTTTCGATAAATTTTTATTGTATTTTAATATGATTAATTATTAAACCCAAATAATATTAATTAAAAAAAAGGGTTGTCAACACGAGGACTTCCCAAGCGGTCCCCCACCTTAGTACTAACCTCGCCTTAAGCCGCTTAACTTCGGAGTTCGAATGGNAATTATCTAATGAACCTATGATATTAATTTCAGATGAAAAAATAAATAATTGGGCATAAGAAGAGAAATTCTCAGAAAATGACTCCATTAAATTAACTAAAAGAGCTAAATTAAGTTCATCTATAAGTTAATTCAATAGTGCACAAATTACAAATACTAATTTTCTACCTTAAAAAGACTGAAACACTTTATTTATTTATATTAAATTAAATTATTATTATCTCAAATGTTGATCTTAGCAGGAATGAAATTAAAGGATTTATCTGAATATACATAAGAGCCTCAACCAACTATCAAACATTTAGATGTTTCTGTAACAAAATTTTTATTTATTTTAGAGTAATCTATTAAAATCTGGAAAAGAATTTAGTATGTTTCCGAATTTAGAAACCTTGATCATAGATAATAACTACTTTTTCAGATTAGATGATTTTCCAGTTTTACCATTTTTAATTACCCTTAGTGCAAACAAAAATACTTTTAATAATTTTGAAATGTAATCAACCTATATATCCCAGGTTTATACAACATTGTAAAGACAAGTTTCCTAAACTAAATCATGTTAGTTTAATCAAAAATCCCATTTGTCCCATGTTTACTTAAGGAGAAGAAGAAAATATTATGTATTCTAATATCGTCATCAATAGTTATCGAGCTAAATTCATTTAGGAAATTCCTTTATTAAAGAATTTAGATGGTACTCCTGTTAATCCACAAGAAGCTGATCCTAATTTTTGGAAATTAAAATAGTAAACAAAATTATAGTAAACTTAAGTATTAAACTCTAATTATTATTTGTAGAATTATGATGAATAAAAAAGAGGAACAATTGATTATAATACTAAATATCAAAAACCTAATAGTAAAACAGTCAAAACCAAAAGTGAAGGAAATAGATTTGTAAAAAATACCCATTTATGACATTTATTTTTCGATAAATTTTTATTGTATTTTAATATGATTAATTATTAAACCCAAATAATATTAATTAAAAAAAAGGGTTGTCAACACGAGGACTTCCCAAGCGGTCCCCCACCTTAGTACTAACCTCGCCTTAAGCCGCTTAACTTCGGAGTTCGAATGGGATCCGGTGCTTTAGGCTTAGTATGGCCGACAACGATATTTTAATAGTTTACTATTATTTATAATATTGAATTAAATTTATTCATTAATCAATATTTATTCTTATCCTAAGAAACATTTTGAATCTTTTTTTTCTATTAAAATTTTATATATCATCTTAAGAAATATATTTATAAAGACCTCATTATATTTTTCAAATAATATATTCTCCCTTATTATATTTTTTAATCTAAAAACTACAAATTTTTTTAACTTGATATTTAATATTATGAAAAAATACTTAATTTATTATTTATGTAAAGAATTTTTAAGTAGTAGATCCATCAAAAAAATAAAAATTATTAACAATCTACAATTTTCTTATAAAAGAGTAAAACAAAGATTTAATTTGTTTTACTCATTTATTTAATTCTTAACTATAGATATATTGAGCTTTAATATTTTTTAATTACAATTTTATAAATTGTAGTAGAATAATACTAAAATATTATGTTTAATAAAATTATGTATGGATATATTTAATTTTATCTTCTTAAGATCAATCAAGATATTCGTAGATATTTTGAAAATATTCTTATTTTCTAAATCTACTTTCTAAGAAGGATTCTCTTTATAAAAATCTATTTCTAAATAGTACTATATGTTTATTCCACTTCTCTAATGATTTTATTAGTTTACCTCTTAAGATGAATTGATTAGATTTAAATGTAGAATTTAATTTAATAATTAAATTATATTATGATCAATACTTTTAATAGAGTTATGTATAAATATAAATAAAAATGCTATAATCTAATTGATTGTTAAAGATGAAATGAAGGTTTCGATATAATGAGTATATCTAAGATATTGCCATATAAAATATTTAAAAATATCCTTATTTTTCATAGTTTTCTTTATAGAAATTATGTATTAAAGTGATAAAAAGTTTAGAAAAAAAAATTAATTAAATAAATATGAATTAACAAAAGCTTAAAACTAATAAAGAGCTTTTAGAGAATTACCTTAATTAGGCTTGTAAATAATACAGATCAAACGAAGTTGTGTCAACTTCAAAAACTACATATCGGATATTATATGAGTATTATTGAAATATTAATAATTTAAGTTGGGCCTATGAATTTCCAGATGACCAAGCTATTTAATTAAAGTTCATCTTTGAAGAATGGCTATATAAATATCTTCAGACTTAAATGATTCCAGAATTATTAACTTCTCAAGATTTTATCTAATCATTTATTTTCGAATAAGGACTATTTAAAAGTTTGTTAACATATTTCTCAAAACTTTTCTTTTGTTATGATAACAAATTAGGATCTTAATAATTTTACATTGTAGAATTAGGTCTTTTTGTTTTTGATAAACTTGTGCTGTCTCATGACATAATAAAATAGAGATATAAATAGTCCTTTATTGATAGACTGAATTAGATAAGGTTAAATAATAATCAAAATCAGAAATAATAGCTACTAAATTATGTTGAGGTAAAAATTCATTTATATATTTAAAGATATTGAATCTAAATCAATTAGCTTAAAATAAAAGATTAGAATTGATAAGTAAGGACAAAGAGATTATTATTAATGTAAAAAATACATAAAAAATGGCTATATTATAATCTCCAGAATCAACTTTTGATTCTCTTCTATTTGATACAGTTTTGGAAGGAACTAAAAAATTCTATGCAGAATTATCTCTAACATGGATTTCTAGGGGTTCTAGTACAGAATATATAAAATAAGCAACAAATTAAATAACAATAGAAGAATCTTTAAAAGAAATTTTTTACTCAAAGTTCAAAAATTCAGAGGAAATTACAAGAAAATTTATATATGAAATGTTAGAATAAAATGTAGATTAAATCATCTTAAATCCTTAAGATGGATTGCATCAATAATTTCTTTAATTGAGAAACAGTTCGGATTTATCACCAATTTCAAAAATATATTAATTATACAAGAATATACCAAATCAAATTGAAAAACAATTATTAGAATTTTAATAATTTATTCGTAATTAAATAACTTAAGTGTTAACAGAATCTGAAGAATGTGGATAAGTATAATAAATGCCATAACAATAAGTTAAATAAGCATAATAATAATAAGCAAATAGAAGTTTATAATTACATATTGCATAAATTGATAATCTTTAAAAAATTTAAGAATATTGTATGAAATTAGTTTAAATTTGTTTTGATGGTTCACATAGATTTAGAAATCATTTGGAATTAACATTTAAGGAAAAATTAAATACAGCTGAAAGATTTTTGGATAAATTATCTGTATATATTCATGTGTCTTTAAAAGACAAATTAAAAGAAACTAGTAATGAAGAGGATAGATAAAAATTTGAAAAATTCAATAGAAATATGTTGGCTTTCATATAATTAATTAATTGTAAAGGCAAATTATTTTAAAAAATTACTGATAATCTCAAGTCTAGAATCTTTAGAGGAGAAATAAAGAATTAAGGATATGAAGAAGAATTTTTGAAATCATTAAGAAGAGAACATCCTGAACATTTACCATCTGATTTATTAACAGTTTGGAAAGATTTTAAATATTATAGAAATTTAGACAATGAAATATAAGCATTATTGTCTACAAAAAAATTGATTTTAGGTACCAATGTTCAATTTACCATATTTACCAGAACAAATTCTTTAAGGGAGTTTAATACTTAAAATAGAAAAGACTGTATTAAACCTCCCTAATAAATTTAAGATTGTATTATTTAAATGGAAAAGTTTTATGAAAAAAAATAATAAACAGAAAAAAAGTCATTGGTTTGGAATTATAAAATAGGATAATCAATTATTAATTACAAGTAATTATTATATAAATATTCTACCTAGATTTGGACCATCAAATTAATAAGTAGGCAAGATTATAGTTTCTAATTTATAACTCTTCATCATTCTTTACTTAAAATAATATGGAGGAAGATCTAAACCAGAATTATTAAATGACACTGGTATCAATTATGAAGAAGAATTGACCTAATAAATGGAAACACTTTTAGATTTAAGACTTATTTTTGAGATAGAGGGAAAGTTTTATCTTTAAACTGAGTAGGCTAAATTAAAAACTTAACTTATTCCCAATAGACCTATTTCTTTAGTACCTAAGAAAATTGGAGAAAATACTGAGGATTAAATATTATTGAAAAAAGAAAGAGATCTTAAAATTTAATCAAGTATTGTAAGATTAATGAAAACAAACAAAGAAATGTATTATCCTTAAATATTTGCTGGTGTACAAAAAGGATTACTTGGATATTATGACTTTTCAGCATAAGATATTTTAGCTTAAATTGATGAACTAATCAATTCAAATTACATTAAAAGAGATGAAAAAATAAATAATAAGTTTTAATACACACCAGTGTGATATTAATAATCAAACATATCAGTATTATTAAGATTTTATCTTTCTTTCTCTATATCTAAACAATAAAACAAGTCTTTATTTTCTCTCCTATACTAATAATTAAATATGGCTTATTGCTCTCATCAATTCTCTTATTTCTCAAAATTAAATTTTTATATTTAAATAGACTTTGATAAATGCTGATACTTAACTGCTTCGTTGTATTTCAATTCTCCTTTCTGACAACAAAATTCTCTGATTAATTTTCTAATATTTATAATTATTTAAAATCATATTTAACAAATATATATCTAATCTCTATAATTGTAAACATAAAAATACTGATTTTAATGATTTTCATAATTTATAAGCAATTATTTGATTTCAAAATATATGATATCTATGATTAGTAATAAATTTAAATACTAAAATAAAATATTATATTTTCAAGTCTTTTATCATAAATTGATATTAAAATTTATTTTGCTATTTGATATATTTCTTAGAATAATAAAATTTATAAAGTATATTATTTGATTTTTATTATTATAATAAATTAAAAAATGGTTGTATAATTCATTATGAATATAAACTTAACTTTGTTTGAATATATTCATCATATGGATCAATTTATGCAGCAATCTAATAAAACTCTAAGAAATCTTCCAAACCTATTTCTTCCATAATTACAGCTTTAAATTTTAAACAAGTAAAATCTTTTTAGTTTTCTTTTAATGCAAAATTATAATATTTTAATGACTCTTACAACATTCCTAACATTCTTAAACAATCAGCTTTTCCAAAAAGTGAATTAAAATGTTTTATATTAATTTTTAATGCTTTATCAAATAGTAATACAGCATCCTCATATCTCTCCAAAGCTCTTAATGCTTCACCTTTAACATAAATATGTGAAATTAACCTTTCCCAAAATTATATTCTAACTTATCATCTGAGTCGAATTTCATACATCTATCATATTCTGCAATAGATTTTTCAAATTACCCAAGATTTCTTAAAGCTTCAGCTTTATAAAATATGGCTTCAATATTTGTAGAACAAATCTCAAGTGATTTATCCAATAACTTAATGGCTTCATCAAATTAACCTTTTGTGCATAGCTCAAAACCTAAATTAAAAATGTTTTGTTAACCTTAGTCAAAATATTGTTTTGATTCTTTTTAAGTGTTTATTGTTGTTGTTGATGCAATTATTTATACAGGTTTGAAATTTTTTCTATCTTCTTATGAGTTTAATGTATAAAGTTAATTGAGAATTAAGGATAATTTTCTTACTTAATCCTATAAAATAAATTAATATTTTACAGGATAATCAAATGAATGAAGCTTTTTAAAAAATAAACCTAGATCTTCAATAGTCTAATAACTAATAGATTTTCTATAATTTTCAATGGGAGCAATTAATGTTTGAACTGAATGATTAATAAACTTGATTGCTGCTTATATTTCGTATTCCATCCTTCTTAAGATTGAAATCATATTTTATTATGATGCTTCAATCAACACAATTTATTGCTCAATTTAATTAAGTTCTTTAAGATCTTGACTATGTTCTTTATGTTATTCTTATTTGCATAATAAACATGATGCAGTTCTAAAAGGACATTAAATATTTAAACAAAGAGATAAAACTTTTTGATTTTCATGTCCAGAGACTGTGCAATTAATATTGTTTTATTACATATTTTATATTTTATATTTCTTATTAAAGTATTAAATTATTATTAATTGAAAATCTTACTTGTTAGCATAACTTTTATTGTAAATGAAGAGAGTAATTATTTAATAGAAGGTATAGAGAAAATTTAATAATTAAAAAAAAGTTCTCTAGAAAATTACATTACTGTTTTATAGATTAAATTATTCTGATATTCTGTTGAAATAATTAATTGATTATTAGTATAATAATAATTAAGATAGAAAACAATAAAATTTTAATAAAATCGAACAAAAATGTTTTGATCTTATTTATAAAATCATTATATGTCTTTTAAGAATGCAGGTTATCTGTATCCATTTTAAACAAGAAAATTCTTAAATAATTAAGATGCTTGTAGATTTGATAACTTAAGTTATAAATTATTAAGTTATTAAGCATTCTTTAATACATATACTTAATCTCTTTTTTGTAATTTACTTTTAATTTTCTCTCTTAGATCTTTCATTTATTATTTTTAATCTGCTTAATTTTAAAGTTCTGGTTTAACAGTTTGTAGAGTCCTTACACGGTTTCCTTCTGAACTAATTTTATTAAGTTTTAAATAAGATTAATCGGTGAGAAGATGTTTAATTACTTTTTTATGTTATTCATCATTAGCTTATTTTTAGAAATTTACGATTTTATTCATTTTATTTAAGCTAGTAGATGTTTTGAAAAAGTTTTTAATATCATGAGTTATCATACTATCGCTTTTAACTAGAGATAGAGTACTTGATTTTTCTGTTCTAAGAGGTTTCAAATGCTTTTGTTTAGTTAGATAATTATCGTTGGATAGAATTTTTTATAAACGAAAAAGTGAGCCTTAGGAGTTTAACAAATTATTCATGGCTTTTGCATTCTATCTATTTTTAACATTTGACATTCTTAATAAAATTAATGTTAAGAAGAGATAGTACATTAAGTAAATAATCTCTAGAGGATGAGAACTAGATAAAATTTGAGAGTGAGGTTTTGAGACTAGTATAGATATTAAGTATGGAATCTTAAGAGAGAACTTTAATGCAATTGAATTATGTAGCTAGAAGATTAGAACGATAATTTACATATTTTAAGTATGAGTCATCAATATCAATATAGAAAATTAAAATCTTAATTGAGAGAAGACATTCTCCTTAAATTAATAAAGTCATTGTAAATAGAGAGATTTAAACAATATGAGGTAGTGTTTAATTAAGGAGAAACTGGTCGAAAAATGTATTTCATTTTAGAAGGTGAAGTTTCAATCCTTGTTAGAAATCAAGATCATTTGGATACTACTATCAACTAGAAAAAATGTAAGAGAAATCTTATATGTTTAGGTAAATTGAAAAAATTTGAAGATTTTTTGTCTATTCGTTATTCTAATTTTAGATAAGTGGCTGTAAAAAAGTAATTTGATTATTTTGGAGAAATAGCTATAGAATAGAGAATACCTAGAACAGCAACAGTGATTTCAAAGGAATCCACAACTTTAGCTATATTAACTTATGAGTCTTATTAAAAATTGTTGAGAGATATTACATAAGAAGCTATCACAATAAGATCAGAGCTCATTGCATAAATATACCCATTTGATTAATTAAATGAAACTTCATTGCAATAATTATTACATGATTATGAAGAAATTAATTTAAATGGAGGAGCATTATTATTTAAAAGAATGTAGAAAGCAGACTGTTTGTATTTAATTATCTCAGGAGAAGTCTTAGTATAAAAGTGGGAAGAAGTGAAAAATAAGGATGAATATGAAGATGAAAATATAATATAAACAAATATGATGAGCAAATCTAATAAAGTATTAGTGAATTTAGGTGTTTTTGGTAGAGGTTAAATGATTGGTGATTTTGAATAATTCTTAAATCTAAAATAAACAATACCATTATTAAGATGTACTTAAGGAGTAGTCTAAAATTAGGCTAAAATATTTAGAATATGGCAGAGTTAATTTAATGAAATTATAAAACATACCTTAGGTATGAATTGGTATGAAAATTATCTAAATGAAAAATATTAACAAAAATAAAATCATATCATTCCTAAAATTTAATTGAAAAATAGAAATATTAGAACATAATCAAATGTAACTATAATAAATGGTTTTAAAGATTAATCATATATTAAAATATCAAGTAATAAATACAAAATTATTTAAAATGTTGAAGAAAAATTACCAATTGTTTCAAAATAATAATCTCCTAAAAGAAAATTACAATTAACAATTGATTATAAGGATAAGACTAATCTTAAATATTATAATGTTGTTACTCCAAACTTCCAAAATAAACCACCATTAAATTCAAACTAAAATTTTTCAATGAAATACTTTGCAACTACAATGAAATAGAAAATCTTAGATTAAAAAAATGAAGAAAGTATTTTTAATTTTGGATCTACAAAGTATTTAAAAACCGAACCTTCTACTGATTAAAATATTCCAACATGTAATACAATTCTATTGTCTCCAAGATATTCTAAACTTATTAAAAAAGAAACTAGTTTTCATGGATTTAAATCTTGACTTTATTTTAATTACATTACATTTTATTTAAATTAAATTATTAGATTTTCTTATTCTATACTATAATAATATATCAATCTTAACACTTAAAACTTATAACTTAAAGACTTATCTTAATTATAACATATATAATTATAATATTTTTGTACTATTTTATGAATTTGTTTTATAATATATTGAACTATAATTTAAAATGGATAATTAAATGTTTAATATCTAATAAGTTCGATAAAAACTTAAAAGAATCATTACTTAATTTTATTTGTAATATTTTATAAATTTTACCCATTCTAAATATATATAAATTAAAAAATTATAAGAGTCTTGTATCTCTTTAAGATATTTCTTAGTTTATAATTTTAGATTAAAAATCATAAAATTGTATATAAGCATAAAATTAAAAGATATTAAAAATTATTGAAAAATGAATTATTTTTAAAAGAATTTAGAGTGAAATAAAGTAAAGTTCATATATAATGTTTAGTTTGTTTGATAATTTATAATCATATTGTCATTTTTTTCATTAATCTATTTTATGGAAGATTTCTAATGCATAAGTCAGCTTTATCATCAGAAATTTTATCGAGATCATCGAATTCATAATATTTTTCAGTAGTGACTCCTTAAATTTAATTAGTTACTGCAAATCTCTACTCTGATCTATTTCTTTTAGATTTACTATAATCATATTACTACCATCTCTAAGTTTAGCTCTTCTATCTTTTTTTAGCTTAATTTCCTATTTAGAGATAATTCAATTGTGGATCTTCATCTTCTGATGTCGCTTTAGGTTAAAACCTGTCTGTTTATCGTTTCCTTTATTATCTTACTTATTCATCTTCCACTATCTACCTTCTTATTTGTGTTCTAGGTTCATATTATTAAATCATAGGCGAACTACAAATTGATGGGAAGGCTTTTTTTTCTTGTGAAGCATTTTTCTTTTTGTTTTGCTCCATTCTGTTCCAATAAAAAAATGATAGAATCATTAAAGTGAATGGGTTGAGTTAACTTGTTTTAGAAAATTAATTTTATTATTAGTTCTGAAATGATTATGGAGATAAAAATAACATTAATATTTAAAATCAATATTTTATTGATAATAGATATTTTATTTATTCATTAACTTAAATACAAGCTAACATATATCGATCAGATGCAACTTAGTTTTTAATTTAATTTTGAAGAGTTAATATTTTAATGGAAACAATAAAAATAAAAATATTTCTTCATGATAATATTAATTTTTAGAAAAGTTTCCATTATTAATATAATAATATTTCAATAGATATTAAATATATGAAAAATTCATTTAAATCGAAAAAGGTATATCAATTTTGATTAATAATAATAGTTCAATTATGAATATAGCATTTAATTACAACTCAGTATAATATTTTTTAAAGATAATAAAAACCTTAGAATTAAATATATTCTAAAGTTTTACTATTATTTTACCTATTATTTTTAATTTATTTATCCAATTTATTTTTGATGGGTGAAAATTGATGATAGACTTATGACTTAAACATTAATGGACAATATATTATTTAATTAGAAAATCTAGAGTAGAAGATACATTTGTTAATCCTTTATAAAATATTTCACTTTAAAAGGAATAATAACATTTATAAAGTATTTTTATTGAATACATATTCAACAATGGAAATCAATGAACTTCTGGTGACAATGATTCATATCCTAATACAAAAAAAGATGGATTAGTAAAAGAAAACTTAAAGGAAGGATAAAGACTCTTTAAGATAATACACAACTACAACTCTGTGTAATTTAAACGTTTACTTTATGGACTATCTATTCCAGATACTTAACCAATACTTTTATCTATTTAAACTAAGGATTAAGCTATAAAGACAAGATAGAGTATTGATTTAGTTATTCACAATTTTTACATATTTTTAATTGATCATAGCAGGAGTATGTGGATAGAAATTTGATTAAGTTAGTGTAAAAAAATCATTGAAACACCTTCTTATATTACTTTCAAGTTATAGATTGACTAGATTAATGTGATTAACTTAAGAAAATATGTAAAAATTCTTAATTGTAATTGAAACTATAGAGTTATAAATACAATGAAAATGGAATTATCTATTTTAACACATAGAAGAATTAAATATCCTATTGGCTATATATTTTTATTGTCAGATGGTTAGGAAGAGGGAGTTTCAGGAAGAGTTTCGAATGAACTTGAATAAAAAAATGTTAAAGAGCCATTTACAATAAATACTTTCATTTTGGTAAAGATTGTTTTTCTAAAATTGCCCATTTTAAAGAGGGATAATTCTATTAGTCAATAATAAAAGATCAAGAAAGAATAAATCAATTAAAAAAATTTTATGGAGATAAATGGTTACAAAATTAACAATATTTACTTTTTTTTTATAAATCAGCCACAATAATTATTGGGAGTGAGGAAAGATTTTATTATTGAGACTGCTGTTTCAGATGAAATGATAGATGAAATCATATATATGCCAATTTAGTTTAAATAGTGAAAGGTTCAAGTTGTGTCTCATTATTATAGAATGTAAGTTGCTGAAACTTTTAGAAATGTGATTAATTTATGCTATAATCTATAATACTAATAGGCTCAATAAATGATTATTGCATTATACTAATAAATTAATTATTTGATTTTGAACAATCCATTGATAAATTTGATCTATTAGGATCTGCAGTAATCTCTGAAATATTATAATACAATATAGTAATTCAAATTATTTTAGGTATTTCAATGAAAGAGGTAGACACTATCTTACTCAATTTTATATGATGATCATTTATTAATAACCTAGAAGTATTGAGTTTGTATCAAAAAATCTAAAAGTTTAATGATATGGATATATTAAAATGAATAAAAAAGACAGCAAGTTCTTTAATTAAGATAAATAAATATGAATAATTATGTTTAAAATTAAGATTCGAAACTATATAAAAGATATAATTATATAGAATTGTTAATGGTTTTTTTTATAATTTCATTTTTTTGTTTATTTCTTTTGTGATTTATCATTATTTATTACTTAAATAATTTCTCTTTATAGATCATCATCCATGTCTTACTTATTTTTGGATTTAGCAGATTTCACTTTTTATTGTTATGATTTATTTTATGTAGTTTATTATATTTATTCACCATCATCATCAGAATTTATGGTTTGAATGACCTTCTATTACTATTTAAGTTATTGTTAATGTTTTGCAGCTGGTTATATTGATTCAGAATCAATATCATCAAATGGATAATCTTATCCTGATTTTATAGATTTGTCATCAAACTAAAACATTATAAATTATAAATACCTTTTCAGATTTTTTTCTCTTTTTGTCATTAGTTGTAATACCTTATTTTTCATTATAATCTTTAATATCATCATCATATTTGCTTTTTGCTTAATTATATTAATCAATATATGGCTATATAATCTAAAGAATATTTACTTGTTTCTCTTATTCACTCATGGAATTCCATTTTTATCCAGCCATTTATGAAATTTAAGTCAATTTAACTTCTAATTAATAATCACTCTAATCAATACCTGGATTTCTTTCTAAAACCTTTTCGCGATATTTCTGACTAAATAAGAAGAAAGCAGTAAGAGGTCTTTTTGGAGCATTAGGATCACGTTCCTTTTTCTTTTCAGATTTATCATTACGAATTTCAACCACATGTTATCCTTTCAAAAATTACTAACAAAATTATTCCATATGGGCAAAAAAAACCTAGAATTTCTTTGCAATCTCAAAACTCTAATTTATAATAACTATATTTGATACAAATTGTTTATCCTCCATTTTTTTTCTTAAAAATAATTTTATTAAAAATTATATGTAACCTAGTATTATTTATCATTAAAAATAAACAATAATATTAATTACTTAAACTTAAATGAAACTAGCTACTTCATTCAAATTCTATCATTTTTGTATATTTAATTCATTTTTAACATAAAATCAATCTATTCTGATTAATTCCTCCACAAAAATTTCAATAGTAAATAAATACTTATAGGCATGTCTAAATATCTAAAATCAATTAATAAACAATTAAATATTAAAAAATCAAATGGGTGTTTGCCAGTCCTAAAAGAATTCTTCAAACTTGAAAAGAAGTGGAGCCTAATAGTTTATCTTCATAGACTTTGACAAATTAAGGAAATATAATGAAGAACGATAGAACCTTGACAAAAACAATTGTCAATAGCAATCCTTTTGCTAAATTATTTGTTAGGATAATAATAATAAAACCTCAAATCTACAAACATACACTTACAATAATGTTTAGACCTAATAAATTGAAATTAAAAAAGAGTGATTTCTTTATTTTTATTTAATCCACTCAAACATATGAAATCTCTATAATTATCTTTTTAACTATTAAGATCTTTCATTTAAATTAGTCATTCTACATTAGACCATAAAATAAAGAAATAATTCAATCTAAGAAGCCAAAACTGTTTAAGTTTGAAATCTTAAGCAAATGTATAGTGGATTGTTATTTAGTCATTTGTTCAAAATTTATTCACTCTAATAAGAATTTCCAAATCTTAAAAAAGAGTTCCAACTATAATTTTGTTGAAATAGCCCTATTAATTAGATTAATAGAAATACCCTAGTAAAATATATATTCAATTTTATCAATATTATATTTTGATTAAGTTTGAATATGATGAAATGTTGCCATATAGGATTTTGAATTTTTAAAATATATTTGTATATACATTTTAAGATTTAAAAGATATCATAGATAAATTAACAATAATAGAAATTATATTAGATAGATTATTTAGTTTTGTAAATTATTTAAGAATAACTATTTTAGTTTAGTATTTTATGAGTGCATGTCAATATTGCATCTTATAGAAGTTATTCTTATAATAAATAAAACAATTAATTTATTATATAATATTATTTATATAAACACAGAATTAATAAAAAACTACTATTAATTTTATTTAATTAATTACATTATATATTTACTAATAAAAAAAAAAATAAACAAAAATTAATACAAAATTATATTTACCCTATCAGTTTTTTTTCGAATTGTTAAGTACCTTATAAATTTCTAGAACTTATTCCCAAGTTTATAGTTATGCAAATAGATAATTTTTTAAATTTTTTCTTTATAGTAATGAAATGATACTAATTCTATTCGCGAATATCATCTGTACCAACCATTCCATTGAGATATTTAGCTAAATGAAGTAATTATTTATCTTGTTTATTCTCATAGAATGGAATGATAGGAACACCATTATCAAATTAATAGTAATAACTTATTGCAGAGTTATCAACTAGAAGAGTTCTAGAAATTGAACGATTTTTGATAATGGATAAATCCTTAACATATAATCCTTGATCAGAAAAACAACAATGTTCTCTTGATAAAACTCTAGATATAATTCTTTTTGGATCAATATATTCAACAATCTAAATTAAAAATTATGTTTTACTCGTTTTGCATACTATCCATGTGAAGCAGTGAATACTATGATCTCAAAATTAGGTTCTAATAATTCTAACATCATTTATAAACCAGGTCTAACAGAAACGCCTACTTAAAATGTTTCATCTTAAGAAAGTTTAATGATTAACTTTTTATCACATGGCAATTTTAAATCTAAAGTGCAATGAACTAAAGTCTCATCCAAATCAAATAATAAAGTATACTTTTTAGTATCTATTTATTTATAAAAATATATATAAAAACCTTTTAGATCATTTGGTATAGTAACTGGTTTTGGTTTGTAAATTATTTTAGAATAAGTGCATTATTTAAATGATATGAAACTTGATTAAAAATGATCCTTAAAAAGTCTGTTAAAATAGTTTTCTTTACTTTCAAAAGCATTCACAACATCAGAAATATAATATATTGAATTAGTCTCTTGCATATTTGTATTTTAAACAATTCTTGGTGAATCTTTTATACAAAATATATCACTATTTTATTTTATTATTGGTCTATATATAAATTTTGGAGCTGTTTGCTTTCTTTATAAAATTCTTTAGTTATCAATGTTTTATTTTTCAGAAGTATCACTAGGTTCTGTTTTATGAATGAAATTTTATTTCATAACTCGAGACATATTCTTAATAGTTAGTACTCTGCTTGGATTAACTTAATATATTTTATCAATTGATAATGAATTCTCTGTCTGATTGGTTCGAAAAGTCTTCTATACATCAAATCGTAAATTAATTGAATCACTTCTCTTTGGTTAACGAGCAGTTAATTATGGCTATAGAAATTTAAGATTTGGTGAACTCTTTTGATGTCCTTTCATTTTTATTTTATTTTATTAATTTTACCATATCATACAAAAACTACACATAAATCAAAGGATTTTATTGTTTCTATTATCCTTACTAAAATAATTGATTCAATAATATTCATATCATAATCAATTCAATCCAATTTCTTTATTAAATTAATCTTACTATATTTTACTTAATTATTCTTTAATCAATTATTAATTATCCTACATATATTATTATATTCTTATTATCTTGTAATTAATATACATTTAATATTCTATTTCTAAACATTTTTTTAGAAATAATTACTATCTATCTTAAAAACAATTTATATTTTCTGAAAATATCAAACTAATTATTCTCTAAAGTAATCTTTTTTAAATATTTATAAAGAAACTTAAAGGAGCTTAAGAACATGTTTAAATGTACTCATTCTAACCATACTATATTTAAGCAAATATGTTAACAAATCCAATAGATTTAATATTATTTCCTTCGATAATTTTATGTTCACATCAATATTAAATATTTTAAATTAAAAAGTAGTAGATTGAATGAATAAAATTGTTGATTATGTGGAATTGAATATTAGAATATACATTTGTTTATGCCTATAGACGATAAAAGATAGAATTTTGATCAATATTTGATATCTGTTAAAGTGGAAAACGCTAAGATCAACCATTAGTTTTAATTCAATTTTAATCTTTTAACATTATTTTCTTTTCTCTCAAAAGAAGAAATTTATGTAAAGTTACAATTAAAGATATGAAATATAATGGATTAGATGATAAATGAAAAATACTAGATTAAACACATTATCATTTAGAGAAATATCAATGATGATGATGGATCTCCATTTTTCTTATGTTTGCACATTTAGCATCTTAATCCATAAGAATTTCAAAGTCAGCAGTTACTCCAATTTTGAGACTATCATTTTGATATCTTTATTAAAAGCGTGATCTCTTTTCAGTTGGACTTAGAGATTCATTTTAAAAGTATTCAAATTATAATGCTTCTTGAGCACTCACTCTTTTATTATGATCTACTTCTAGCATTGCTTTAATTAAATGAATAGCTTTATAAGGAACATTAGCTTTCTCCAAGACTGTATAATCTATAGAACCATTTCTTATTACATTATAAAACACATTAGATTCTTGCATATATCTAAATGGATGAATATCTTCTCCTGAATATAATTTATACAATATTGCACCACAACTATAAACATCCATTTTATCACTATAGATTGGATTGTCTTATTATGCTTCAGGAGCTGTATACATACCAGCTAATATAGATTAAACATTTGTATCATATTATTTTATAGCAAAATTGAAATCTACTAATTTTAAAGTATCTAATTTTCCAGATTATGCAAACATAATGTTAGCAGGTTTGATATCCCTATGAATAATACCTTCATTCTTTAAATAGACCAAAGCTTATAAAAGAGCCTTACATTTAAATTAAATAATACCTAAATAATAGTTTTGCATTATTAATGTGTTGTAATAAGATTTCTCTCTAATAATTTTGATAATGTTTAACCTCCCATTAATTCCATTATAATATAATAATATTGTTCACCTTAAAAGTATTCTTTGAATTGAATGATATGATTATGTTCTAAGTTCTGATGCATTCTGATCTCTTAATAAAAATCATCTTTTCTTTCTAAACATTTTAATGCCCAAAANACTTATTTACATCAGATATTCAATCCACAAAATAAAATTTAGATTTAATGATTATAAAAGATAGAATTTTGATCAATATTTGATATCTGTTAAAGTGGAAAACGCTAAGATCAACCATTAGTTTTAATTCAATTTTAATCTTTTAACATTATTTTCTTTTCTCTCAAAAGAAGAAATTTATGTAAAGTTACAATTAAAGATATGAAATATAATGGATTAGATGATAAATGAAAAATACTAGATTAAACACATTATCATTTAGAGAAATATCAATGATGATGATGGATCTCCATTTTTCTTATGTTTGCACATTTAGCATCTTAATCCATAAGAATTTCAAAGTCAGCAGTTACTCCAATTTTGAGACTATCATTTTGATATCTTTATTAAAAGCGTGATCTCTTTTCAGTTGGACTTAGAGATTCATTTTAAAAGTATTCAAATTATAATGCTTCTTGAGCACTCACTCTTTTATTATGATCTACTTCTAGCATTGCTTTAATTAAATGAATAGCTTTATAAGGAACATTAGCTTTCTCCAAGACTGTATAATCTATAGAACCATTTCTTATTACATTATAAAACACATTAGATTCTTGCATATATCTAAATGGATGAATATCTTCTCCTGAATATAATTTATACAATATTGCACCACAACTATAAACATCCATTTTATCACTATAGATTGGATTGTCTTATTATGCTTCAGGAGCTGTATACATACCAGCTAATATAGATTAAACATTTGTATCATATTATTTTATAGCAAAATTGAAATCTACTAATTTTAAAGTATCTAATTTTCCAGATTATGCAAACATAATGTTAGCAGGTTTGATATCCCTATGAATAATACCTTCATTCTTTAAATAGACCAAAGCTTATAAAAGAGCCTTACATTTAAATTAAATAATACCTAAATAATAGTTTTGCATTATTAATGTGTTGTAATAAGATTTCTCTCTAATAATTTTGATAATGTTTAACCTCCCATTAATTCCATTATAATATAATAATATTGTTCACCTTAAAAGTATTCTTTGAATTGAATGATATGATTATGTTCTAAGTTCTGATGCATTCTGATCTCTTAATAAAAATCATCTTTTCTTTCTAAACATTTTAATGCCCAAAAAGACTTTTAAATAATGTCTTCCACTTTAAATACTTTACTATCTGCTCCTTCTCCAATTTAGCGATTACATTTATACATACTCACTATTCCATCAAATAAAACTTTGCATGCTATTATTTTTCTCATTTCTTCTAAATCCTTATGATTTCCTTTAAAGAACTTTACTTTCTTTTTAACTATAATCCCAAATGCACGAATTTTTTGTTACTCTGTATACCAATATACTTTATTATCAAAATTGAGTAAACAAATATACTTTGAATTTTGTGATTTAAACTTTCATTGTAAGTATAAGATATACCTTATTAATTCTAATTTAATCTGAATGGATATTCACTGTATAATAGGAATTCATAAAATAATGGATACGTTCACAAGTAAATGAATGAATCACAGGTAATAACATGGTTCTGGAAGATTTATATATATATTATTATTTCTTATTTAATATATAAAAATATTGACAATATAAAAAAGAAAAGAAATTAAAAAGGCTTTTTAAATTATGATGCTGCATTTCAAAATTGTGATAAATCAATCGTTATTAAGCAATAAGTTTCTTCCATATTTTTTTAATGCATAAACTACATCCATAGCTTAAACCGTATTTCTTTATGCATGTTCTGTGTATATGATAGCATCTTTGACCAACGATGACAAGAAATTAACTATGACATCTCTATATTGATAGTCTAATAAAACTATACCTAGTAGTTGGATAAGAATCTGAAGAAATTCTTTTAACACCTCCTCTTCGAGCAAGTCTACGTATATCACCATTGGTAATGTGCTATCCTCCCTTTTTTTCCTTATTCATTTTACTCTTATGTCTTTTAGCACCTGCTAGTTTACCTTATCCCATTCGTTTGCCCTTTTGGTTGTCCATTCTAATTAGATTAATTTAAATTTAAATTAAAATAAGCGCTAATAATTTTTTTTATTATAAGTTTATATAATCATTATTTAGAATTAGAGTTTAAGATTAATATTAGAGTTTTTACTTAAAATAATAATAATTAAAAATAATGAATTATATTTTACAAAAGATCTTCATATTACAATATTTCATAAATAAATATAAAACAAAAGATAATTCAATTAATCAAAATAATATTACAAACTTTCCTTTATTAATAATTTTTAACTTTAAGTTTATGTAATAAAAATTTAGAATTCCTTTTAAAAATTTATAAAACCCTCTCTTTTTATTATTATTTATAATTTTAACAATACATATATATAGATATAAAAATCAAGTTAATTCTAGATCTTTAAGAATAGCCAATCCATTGGTACAATTTTTCTTCTCTTTGCTTCTACTTCTACTTCGACTCGATCTTTGTACAACAGTGTTTTTACTTTCTTCATAACCTTTATTTAATAATTAAGTTGGAGCCAACTAATCTAGTAAATTAGGATGCTATGGGAGAAATTGACTGATATTAAAATTCAATGGCAAATGATTTTTAGCTGATATTAAAACCCTATTTTACATCTGGCTTCTTGCACTTATATTCTATTTCCCTTTATTTCTGCATTATTCATTTCTTTAATAGCTCTACTTGCATGTAAATTGTTTCTATATTATATAAATGCATAAAGTTCATCTTTCACACTAATGTCCTCTATGAATCCAAACTAACCAAAATTCAAAATCAAATCCATCTTCTTTAAGTTACCAATCTTTCCTATTTTATTAAAATAAAGTTATCATACCAATATAAATACGATTACTGGAACTTAATACTTCATCATAAGTTTTTTAGAGATCCACTTTCAATGTTTCTCCTTTACAATTCTTTTCATTCATATATAAAATAGCTTCTGTTGCACATTATTATGTAGGATATTCTATTAAAGCATAAGTTTCTTTAAAAATTATATCTAAAATCTTTCCAAATCTATTAAAGATCTCTACTAATTCTTGACTAGTAAATTTATGATTTAAATTTCCCACATATATTTTACGAGTTGATGATGGTAATGCCTCCTTTAATAGGTCTTCTTGTTTCATTAATGCTTTTGAAAATTAAACAACTATTCGATTATTGCAAACAGATCTTCCATCTAATTCATACTAAGCCATTCGAGCATCACTCTCATAATAATATTCAACAAAGCAAAAACTATCCTTATCCTCAAAGCTCTTTATTAAACCATACTACATAAGCAATTTGTAAATCTCCTACTTATTTACTTCTTTCACTTTTCCAATATACAATTTTTACATTTAATTATATGTATTAATAATAATATATATTAAATAAATGATTATATCAATTTATTATAATTAATGTGTAAATAAAGAAAATATATAAGAATATTGTATTAAATTATTTAAAAATACCAATAAAATAATATAAAAAATATAATATAGTTATTTTTTATAGGATTTTCAGGTGAAATTTTTGAATAATTTAGTCTAAATTAATATCATTCTAGTTGCAAATATGATTAACCAAGGAAATTTAATAATTTTATATTAGAATTTAATATGTTTAATAAAATCCTCGTTTTTTTATGATTTATATATATGAATATTTATACATTGAAATTTGAAGAAACTACTCTAGAGAATTCATATCGATAACATAAATGTAATTAATTGTAAAGTCCTATTCTTATATACACTTATGTTTTATCAATAATACTTGTCGGAAGCTAACTAATATATTAATTAGTTAATCATGATTATACATATTTGATACACAAATTAGTAATACTCTTTATAGTAATGTTGCTATGCCTGTTTTTTAAGCAATTTAAGAGATTTCCAAACTTAATTTTACTGTTAATTAACATTGTACTAGTATCACTTGAAACTGAATCAAATTAATATAATACTTATCATCAAGGATATTTGTTTGGTTGCAATTAAATGCTTACACATGCAATTTTATTGATGGGTTCTGATTTTTAAGTAGGTTTATTTACGAATGTTATTCTAGCAATAACAAGAGCAGCTATCACTTTTGTTAATGAAGATTATTTAACATTTCAATAATACCTATACACAATTTTAGTTACTATTGGTGTCTCAGGTTTATTATATTAATCAGAATTATACTAAAGAAGATCTTATTTATATTAAACAAAAGACACAACTTGGGGTATTATTAATATATTATATAAATAGAAAAAATATTACCGTTTGTAATTTGTAAACCTTTTTTAATCTTCAAATTTGACAAAGATGCTTTTTGTTTTTAATAAATAGCCATAAATAAATCATTAACAGAGAGTTAAGAAATGTAATTTGATTCAGTAGGTGATTTCCTTAAGGAATGTAAATATGAAAAATTGACATTACAAAAATATTTATTTCAAAAATATGAAAAGTTCAATAATTTAGTAAATAAAATAGATTGTGAAAAATTAGAAATCTAATATAAAAAAAGTAGAATAAAAATCAAATTGCTAATCTATTTTGTTGATACAGTTAGATTTATGATTGTTGTAGAAACAGTAGATTAAGCTTTCATTGATTTAAAATATAGATACTAATATAACTTAAAAGAAATCACCCAAAAGTATAATAATTAACTAAAGAAACTGGCTAAAATCTTAAATAAAAAACTAAAAAAATGTAAAACCTAAATGCTTAGTGAAGTATCTATTTCAATACTCGAATTTCGAATACTATAATCAATTAAACTATAAAAATTAATCAGAATCAATATGTAATAGATATTTCAAAAATTTTAACATATATTTCATGTTAATTATAAATATAACATATATTTCCATGCTAAATAAGATTATATCATTTACACTTATAAACCAGAACTATATTACTTTATAATATCGATAATTAGATTATCAAATAGAATGTAATAGATATCATTCATTATTGATTAAAATTAGGAAGCATAAATTCCATAATTATCAATTACAGGAATCGATAAATTACCTGATGATTATTAATTTTAATATTGTTAAAAAACAGTGTTTGAAAAACACATATAAGTTTTAAATTGTAAATATGATGAATTATTAATTTATAGCTCATTTTTGGATATTTAAAGAAGTCCACTCTTCGTTTAATTAACACTATACTTTTGAGAACATTTCAAATGATCAATTTAATTTGTTAAATTAATAATTTTGAAATTCATAATTTATAAATCATATTCTTTCATTATTTATTCGACTACAGCTTTTTGAGATTTGTTCAGAATATATCAGATAAATATAAATAATTTTAATTCTATCTAAAAACTACATTGGAATTGATGGTTTGCAATTCAATAACAATTATAAAAATATTGTAATATTCGAAGTGAATTATACTTTATTATAATACTTCAATTTGTCATATAATTTATGAAATAAAAAAAATTATAAAAAGATGGGATAAAAATTTTAATAAATAAAAAATTCAGTAAATTAATGAATATTAATGTTCAGAAATCGTTTACATTAAATAGTAAAAATAGAAAAAAAAAATTTTATTTTTTGATAAATGAGCATTATATTAAATTATTAGGCTAAAAATAAATGAACAAGACAATTTATTCTAAGAAACAGAAAAATGAATATTAATTATAAATATAAAATTATTTATAGTATTTAAAATGAAATATTTAAATATTATAAAATTAAAAAAATACACTAGAGGCTTTAGATATAATTTATTGTTTTTAATCTTCCAAACTTTAATTAATCTGAAGTTAAAACTTACTGTGCTACAACATTTGTGGCTATTATTTTTCATGCTTAAATTGATTTTTAATATTAATTTAGGCATATTTCGAATATTTTATTATTTGATGTGACATGCTCTAACAAAATAGATATTTTTATACTTTTTATATTTTATTACATAATATCTCCAAATATATAGGTTTAAAATTGTGATATCTGGATAAAAGCTTAATTTAGAAATTCTTATATANATAATATCGATAATTAGATTATCAAATAGAATGTAATAGATATCATTCATTATTGATTAAAATTAGGAAGCATAAATTCCATAATTATCAATTACAGGAATCGATAAATTACCTGATGATTATTAATTTTAATATTGTTAAAAAACAGTGTTTGAAAAACACATATAAGTTTTAAATTGTAAATATGATGAATTATTAATTTATAGCTCATTTTTGGATATTTAAAGAAGTCCACTCTTCGTTTAATTAACACTATACTTTTGAGAACATTTCAAATGATCAATTTAATTTGTTAAATTAATAATTTTGAAATTCATAATTTATAAATCATATTCTTTCATTATTTATTCGACTACAGCTTTTTGAGATTTGTTCAGAATATATCAGATAAATATAAATAATTTTAATTCTATCTAAAAACTACATTGGAATTGATGGTTTGCAATTCAATAACAATTATAAAAATATTGTAATATTCGAAGTGAATTATACTTTATTATAATACTTCAATTTGTCATATAATTTATGAAATAAAAAAAATTATAAAAAGATGGGATAAAAATTTTAATAAATAAAAAATTCAGTAAATTAATGAATATTAATGTTCAGAAATCGTTTACATTAAATAGTAAAAATAGAAAAAAAAAATTTTATTTTTTGATAAATGAGCATTATATTAAATTATTAGGCTAAAAATAAATGAACAAGACAATTTATTCTAAGAAACAGAAAAATGAATATTAATTATAAATATAAAATTATTTATAGTATTTAAAATGAAATATTTAAATATTATAAAATTAAAAAAATACACTAGAGGCTTTAGATATAATTTATTGTTTTTAATCTTCCAAACTTTAATTAATCTGAAGTTAAAACTTACTGTGCTACAACATTTGTGGCTATTATTTTTCATGCTTAAATTGATTTTTAATATTAATTTAGGCATATTTCGAATATTTTATTATTTGATGTGACATGCTCTAACAAAATAGATATTTTTATACTTTTTATATTTTATTACATAATATCTCCAAATATATAGGTTTAAAATTGTGATATCTGGATAAAAGCTTAATTTAGAAATTCTTATATAATTGGTATAATATTATTTTATATATATATTCTAAACATATTAACTTTGATTGAGTTTATGTCAACTCCTAAAAATTAAAAAAACAAATTATATTTAACTTTTAAATTTTAATTTTGAAGAACATAATTTAATAATAGGAAATTAGTTTATATATTAAATATGGAAAAAGTATTTAAATTCTAATACAAATCATTAGAAAAGGATTTTTGGAGTGGATACTCTTCAAGATTTTGAAAGATGCTCTTTAAAATGGACTTGAATCTGTTCAAATTATTTCAATTTTGATTCTAGATTTTCATCATCATCATCACCAAAATCATCTAATTAAAAGTCAGTTTATTTTTATTTAGGTATTTTTTTTTATATTTCTAAATCTTCAAAGTCTTGAAATTATCCTACTTTTTATAACTATCCTTCCTTTTTTTTAGTTTAACCAGTCTATTGTTTCATTAGAGATGATTCTCTTGAAAAAGAGCTTTATCTTGAATTTTATCTAGAACGACTTAACTCAATAAATATATATATAATACCCAGTAGATTTTTATCCAAATCTGCCACCTATCTATTAAATTACAGAGGGTACATAATTTAACATAACAGAAGATTGTTGACTAAGATTTGATTCACATAATTTATTTTTTTTTTCAGGTTTCTCTGAAATTTTAAATACATCATCTGATGCAAGTTCAAATTCTTTACCAGATAATCTTGGTTGTTATCCATCTGAAGATTTGGTAGAAGTAGTTGATTAATCATTCCAATCAAATTTTCGATCTAATTAAAATCCTTATTGTTAAGCAATTTTTTAGAATAAACTAAACAAATATTTATAATCTGGAGTTGAAGTAAATTTAAGTTTTTAAACATAATCCATATATCTTTAAATCTCAATTGGTAAACCTTTACATAAATCCTTACTATCTAATTCCATTTTGAGTTTACCAACTAATTTAGTTTTTTCTTTATCAGATGAAGAAGTAATATTTTACCAAGGTAAATTACCTTTTAAAAGATATATAAAGACATATCCTAAACTTTCTAAATCATCACGTCTTGATAATTCATATCCTTTATGTGCTGGAATACTTGCATATCTAGTAGTACCCATAAATGGTTTTTGTTCTTAAAATGGACTTAAGATTAAAGAAGAAAATTACATATGTTGTCCATTGGTTTTATATTTTTTAGATATGCCAAAATCAACTAGATAAACTGAATTAGTATCATTGCCTCTACCCATAAGAATGTTTTCTGGTTTAATATCTCTATGGATCACACCTCTTAAATTTCAAGATTATTGATTACCTTTTATGAACTTCTTCAATTATGTCTAGTATTTGTTCTGCCAAATTACATACACATTTTAGAGAGAACTTTCTAAATCTCTTTAAATAATGAGAGAGATCTCTACCCAGTAATTACATGGCCATACAATTAGTATTATATTCATTACCATACCAATAGAGTTTAGGGATTCCTACAAGTATTTTAATTATCTTACCTTAAACTCCTCTTAATTCTTCTATTATTTATATTTCTCTCTCTAAACTTAGCATATTACCATTTTCTTTTTCTACTTTTAGAGCAACATATTCTCTAGAAACTTTGTCTTAACAAATATAAACAACTCCAAAGGAACCTTTATATATAATTATATATTACCTGCACTTAGTTTCTCTTTCTAGACAAACCTTCCATAATAAACTCGATTTTTTTCTTATTATTACATTAATTATATTATAATATTTATTAATCTTTCTCATTTAGATGTAAGTCCTTTAGCTTTTGGATAATTCTGCTCTTATAAATTGACACTCTTTTTTGCAGATTCAATTCTTTTAGAAGATGGTCTCTTTTTAGCTGATTATGGTTTCTTAGCAGATTGTAATCTTTTTTGAACTTTTTTCTTTTCTTATGGTGCCAATTGTTCTTCTCTTATTAGTCCTTCTTCTGTATATGCAAAATAAACATTTGGATGACTTAGTAACTCTTGTAATTTCTCTTCGCTATTAATTTAATCAGCCACATTCATTTATTATTATTGTTCTTACATTGCCTATTAGATTTAAGTTTTTGTCATTTTGCCGGAATAATCTAACCCTTGGATTGTCCATGCTTCTGCTGCTTCATTATACAACGCCAACATCTACATAGTCTCTAAAAACTTAGGAGGGATGAAATAATCCAAAATAAATTACTTCAATTTAACTTCTTATAGAATCTCTCTTTTTCTTATTTATAAATCTTCAATTTCTTTAGCCATGAATTCATCAGTCTCTTTATTTTCAAACTCTAATTAACGAGTCTTTTATTAAAGTGTCTTTATTCTTCTTGTCTTATCTTCCAATTCCTCCTTAATTGAATTATATTTAGTTTATAATTCTAAATTGAATTCTTCCTTCTTCTATAATTCTAAAGCTCTTTTTGCAGCTTCAGCTTTCTCTTTTTCAATCAATTTTCTTGCCTCTTCTAATTCTTTCTCTTTCCTTCTTGCTTCCTCAACTTCAGTATGACCATTAACTAATTTTTATTCCATCTTCTAAATAGTTTTAATAAGTTTTTATTGTGTTTCTCTTGCATTATTAGCCAATTCCTCTTTCTCTTATAATTGCTATTTATAATGTAATTTTATTATACTTTCAATAATTTCATCTTCTCCTCTTCACCTAAATTTTTTTATTAATCAATCTTCCTTCTTTCCTCTTCTATCTTCTTTTTTAATTCCTCCTTCTCTCTCTCTATTATATTCTCAGCTTCCTTTATCTTATCAACATTCTTAACCTTTACTACTTTCTATACTAAAACTTCCTACCCAGGATTCATCATAGCCCCTCCACCTTCAATTGATGCTTCCAATTATTATTTTAATCTTAAATTTTTGATTAATTTCTATACTTCATAATTTCCTCTTAAAATTATCTAATCTAAGCATCCTTTGGATCTTCATTAATTTTAGGTTCATTCTTAATTTACTTGGCTCTATGAGCATATCTTAAAGTTGATATAGTTTCATCATAATTATAATCAGCTGGACCAATATTGGCAATCATTACTGTCTTTGTATTTCCTCCCAAAGAATCTTATAATAGTCTTGTTAATTTTGAATCTCTATAAGGTATATGTTATGATTTATTATCCACCAATGCACTGATCACATTACCCAAAGTTGTTAAAGACTAATTAATATTGATAGCTTCCTTCAATCTATCTCCTGTTGCATGAGTCTTACTTTATCTCTCACTACCTGCTAGATCTACTAAATTCAATTTGCCAACAGTCACATGACTCTATCCTTACACCATTTCATTTGTCTCTACTATTATTTAGAACAAAGAATGTGAACGAGATGAATCCTAATTCATAGCTGTAGCACCTACAGCTCTATTCTCTCTTCCATGTAATAATTTCTCTCTCATTTCTTAAGGACTCTCAATCATGAATTTACTCAAATCTTTTATATATACTCCTGTATCTGGATTCTCACGTATCTCTAATTTGTTTTTAATATTCTTTGAAAGTAAATCACGAATCTCTTCATTGTATAATTCCAAAAATGAAACCTTCACTAAAAATTATTTATTCTTTGCCATATTTTCTATTCTCTCAAATATATGATCAAATGTTCGAGGAATAATTCCTCTCAATGTTGGAGGATCATCTTTACCTTCCATAGTATGTGTCTTCCCTGTTCCTGTTTGACCATAAGCAAATATTGTTCCATTATATCCTTCCAATACACTCTCTACAATAGGAGAAGCAGTTGAATTATACACATTTTCTTATTAAGATTAGGTGTCAAAGATTTAATCAAATGTAAATTGTTTTGGCACCTCATCCACTATTTTTGGATTTCTCACAGTCACTTATCCATTCTTAGTGTCCATATTTACTATACAAACACGTCCATCCTTCTTTTCTGTCTCGTTTATAGGACGACATCGAATTACGACTCGTACACATTCAAATTTCTTACTCATTAATTTCTTATTTAATTATATTTATAATGTATTCTTTTGATTCATAAAAAAGATGCAATTAAATACAATAAAAAATAATTCCTAATATGACTCTCAATTCATTTTTATTCATAATATTATTTATAATATATTATAATAACAAGGGATTTATAAGGTTAATTCTACTTAGAATATCGTTGTCGGCCATACTAAGCCTAAAGCACCGGATCCCATTCGAACTCCGAAGTTAAGCGGCTTAAGGCGAGGTTAGTACTAAGGTGGGGGACCGCTTGGGAAGTCCTCGTGTTGACAACCCTTTTTTTTTATTTTTTCATTAAAAAAATTACATTTTCATTTTACTTAAGGTGATTCATGAATATTCTTAAAAATGTATAGATGCCGAATTTTAAATCTCGTTCTAAAATATATTTTATTTTGATTTACAAATAAAGAGACAATCTCATTCATAAATGAATTCATTATGAATCAATAGAAGTCACTCAAAATATGATTTTTGGTTGAATATTAATTATTATTTTATCATACTTTATATTTTAATATTTCATCCTTGAATTATGGGCTGTTCCATTCAAAAACACAAGCTTCCCCTATCTCAATAAAATATATCTGTAAACTTAAAAATTAATATCTTAGCTCTCCGTTAAAACTCAAACTCCCTAATCTTCATAGGATATTACTGAGCGAGAATAAAATCTAAAAACTTTGAAATAGCTATTGAAAGGCTCGAATTTTGCTATTTCATAAGTGTAATCAACTAATAGCAGAAGAAGAAATAATCATATATAAAAATAATGATATTCGATATTATGTTTATGCTGATATATTTAAATATTAATCTAAAAATATGATTTCCTTCTTAAATGAAGACAAATGCTTGAAATAATCCTTACTTTGAATTAAATTTAGGTATAATTAGTGATGATCATATATCTATTTAAAAATATCTATTTTTATATTAAAGTAATATTAGATGTGGGATTTTATTATATACAAAAAGATGAATAGATAAATCTGAAAATTATTGAATAACAAGTTAAAAGTCATTCTTTTTGAATGTCTAAAAAAATAATAAAAAACATTATTTATGATATCAATATATAAAATTAAGTTCCTTTTAAGGAATTACAAATTTTAAAGAGACTTAAAAATAATATCTGACAGTTGTGATTTATTTTAAATTTTTTTAAAATAAACTATATTAATTTGGATTGATTAACAATAAATTACTTTTTTTTTTTTATTTTATTATATTAATTAAAGAAATATAAATAAATTCACTAGTTAAAAATCAATATTTGTCATAATTTTAATTTAGTGCAAGATTAATAATCTATGATGAGTTCATTTTTCTATTTATTTATTTTTAGTATATTTAGGAATATATTGTCAAATAAAAATTTGGATATTAAAAATAGGCTATTCTTCTTTTATAGTCCTAACATAATCCAAAAATTGAAAATTATTAAATATCATTTGATATATTCATTCATTTTAAACTTTCTTATTTTATGAGAATGTTTCTAAGATATTCCAATGATTTACAATTAAGAAAATGCTTAATTTGGAATATTTAAGGTATTNTAAATATCGTTGTCGGCCATACTAAGCCTAAAGCACCGGATCCCATTCGAACTCCGAAGTTAAGCGGCTTAAGGCGAGGTTAGTACTAAGGTGGGGGACCGCTTGGGAAGTCCTCGTGTTGACAACCCTTTTTTTTTATTTTTTCATTAAAAAAATTACATTTTCATTTTACTTAAGGTGATTCATGAATATTCTTAAAAATGTATAGATGCCGAATTTTAAATCTCGTTCTAAAATATATTTTATTTTGATTTACAAATAAAGAGACAATCTCATTCATAAATGAATTCATTATGAATCAATAGAAGTCACTCAAAATATGATTTTTGGTTGAATATTAATTATTATTTTATCATACTTTATATTTTAATATTTCATCCTTGAATTATGGGCTGTTCCATTCAAAAACACAAGCTTCCCCTATCTCAATAAAATATATCTGTAAACTTAAAAATTAATATCTTAGCTCTCCGTTAAAACTCAAACTCCCTAATCTTCATAGGATATTACTGAGCGAGAATAAAATCTAAAAACTTTGAAATAGCTATTGAAAGGCTCGAATTTTGCTATTTCATAAGTGTAATCAACTAATAGCAGAAGAAGAAATAATCATATATAAAAATAATGATATTCGATATTATGTTTATGCTGATATATTTAAATATTAATCTAAAAATATGATTTCCTTCTTAAATGAAGACAAATGCTTGAAATAATCCTTACTTTGAATTAAATTTAGGTATAATTAGTGATGATCATATATCTATTTAAAAATATCTATTTTTATATTAAAGTAATATTAGATGTGGGATTTTATTATATACAAAAAGATGAATAGATAAATCTGAAAATTATTGAATAACAAGTTAAAAGTCATTCTTTTTGAATGTCTAAAAAAATAATAAAAAACATTATTTATGATATCAATATATAAAATTAAGTTCCTTTTAAGGAATTACAAATTTTAAAGAGACTTAAAAATAATATCTGACAGTTGTGATTTATTTTAAATTTTTTTAAAATAAACTATATTAATTTGGATTGATTAACAATAAATTACTTTTTTTTTTTTATTTTATTATATTAATTAAAGAAATATAAATAAATTCACTAGTTAAAAATCAATATTTGTCATAATTTTAATTTAGTGCAAGATTAATAATCTATGATGAGTTCATTTTTCTATTTATTTATTTTTAGTATATTTAGGAATATATTGTCAAATAAAAATTTGGATATTAAAAATAGGCTATTCTTCTTTTATAGTCCTAACATAATCCAAAAATTGAAAATTATTAAATATCATTTGATATATTCATTCATTTTAAACTTTCTTATTTTATGAGAATGTTTCTAAGATATTCCAATGATTTACAATTAAGAAAATGCTTAATTTGGAATATTTAAGGTATTTTCTTTTTTTTACTTTTATTATTTAAACTTTAATATATCTATATATCTTCAATACAATTAGTTTATTATTTATTATGTTCTAAATCATAATGTTCCAAATATTTAGCAATCATTTTATAAATCAAACTTGAATGAATTTAAAATAGTATATATATATATATAATTCAATTTTAATCAATGACTAAAATTATCAGGATATAGAAAGATAATCAAGGATGAATAATATTTATTAATGATGAATGGTTTGATATATATGATAATTTACATATAGATAAATATTTAAGATCTAAAATAGACTTTTTTATATAAATAGTTTATTTATTAATGGAAATAAATAAATAAAATAAAAAAGAATAAAATTAAAAACAATAAAATATTAAAAGTTTACTTTGCAAACAAAAATATTAGATGAAATACAGGAGCAATTGATCTACATCAACTTAAAAGTAATGGTTTTACAAGAATTTATTTATAGAGTATCATAAATTAAGTCTAGTTGAGTAAAATAAGAATTTCAATTGTATTGTAAAATTTAATCAATCTCTTTTTTTTCAATTTTTTTTAAGTTAAAATCTTTATAAAAGGATGTATAAAGATTTCTCAAGCATCTTCCTGTCCTCCAAATCGTTATTCAAGATGCCTTTTTAATATAAATTTTTAAATCTGTTGCTTATTTAAATTAAATATTTTAGAATTTCAATATTTTTACCTGTAACATATTCGATCATTTTTCTCTATCATTTTGCCTTTTCATTTATAATGTTA